TTTATTTGTATTTTGTATTTGATCACAAGGTGGTGTTCTGCAAGGAGGAATGTTAAGACTTATTTTATTCCTCGTTATACAAAACTTTTAGTTTGGTGTAAATGTCACATGTTAGTCTTAGATTAAAATTTTCTTCAATGTTCAATTCGTCTTGTTGAATACGCTTCTGTGCCGCTTCTGCTAGCTTTATAAGTTTAGATTATATCTTCCCCAATGTAGCAACGAGTAAATCCCAAAGTGCCCTTCTTTAACATGCACTGTAAGCACCCTAGTCTTTGACTTTTAAAGCCGCCTCTGATATCTGACATCGTTACATTTAACAGTTACATAAACAAACGACAGCAAGCTGTAAGGAGTGAAATCCCAATGAGAGTCCTCCTATAACTTGAACTGTATAAAGGTGTTTGACTGTCTAAAGCCGTCTCTGACGTCTGACATCGTAACATTACTGTTACAGAACTAACGATAGAATCGATGTTTCCCTTCTGTCATATTCTCGAACAGAAATAAACCGCTCGTTAACTCAGATGGATGGTTCCATCGTTAACGCATTTATGACGAGTGTTTATTCTGTTTTGGGAGTAGGTAGAAGATTCCGAAAATGACATTTCTGGCTTTGGACGAGATATTTTGTAAACAATTTTAGACCTACTTGGTTAAAAAACTGTAAACTGGCGATAGTTACTACAGAATGGAGTATATTCAACTAGAAAGAAACTGTACACTCAAAATCATATTTTTCAAAGCAAGGTACGGAATTTTATGGAATCTGTGTGAATTAAGGTTGAGAAGTTGAGAAGTTGGAATAGGTTTAGTTCAATCAATAAATATTGGTGTTTGTCATCATATTTTTTATTAATATTATTCTTTGCACAAATATTTGAGCACGCACTCGTTAGACATTATCAATATTTAGACATTACTCATTTCCCCATGCCATGTATGTGGTAACTATGAGATCATAAATATAAACGCATATTCTAAGCACGTCTTTGAAGATTGCTACTAAAAATAATGGTTTGCCGAAAGGAATATTGACGATCTATAATATTTACGACTGGGGTCGTAGAGTTCATCTAGATATTTTTATTATTCCCTTTCGTTCTGATTTTCGTAAAATTTCAATTGAAAAGCAATTTAGGGCCTATTTTATTTTCTTTTATCTGGGGGCACGGCAGTGCCCCCGCCAAGTCGAGCGCGAAGCAAACACTGCCGTACCATCCTTTACTGGAACCATTTCGCCGCATTTTCAGGCCCCTATTTGAGAACCTCTGGATAAGACCAGAACGCAGAAATTTTCGTCATCTAGTAAGCTATAATCACATAGTTAAAATCCAAAATTTCAAGTCTGTAGGTCATTTAGTTCCGAAGTTAAGCGAAAGCAAAGTTTCGCATTTATGACACTCACTCACTCACTGATGATCATCAAAATAGAACTAGTACTTCCCATCCAAGTCACACAACATTAAGTATAATAATAAAGAAATCGCAGTAAGGAACCATCATAGACTTGGCACGACTTTGTCTAGATTTCATTACTTTTTAGAGATAAACAAGCAGCTCCATCGAGACTTGGCTAGTTTTTTACAGAATGTTTTTGGTGGGATAAATATGTCTGTATTGTCTGTTTTAAATGGCAAACACCCTGCTGTACCCTGTATTATTAATGTATTATTATTTTACCCGCAGTAAAATTACATAAAGCGGTAAAATCAATTTTATTGAATTTTGATTGATCACGTTTTGCGTGTTCTAATCCTCCATTCATACATTTTATTACTTTATTGATCCTTAGTCCTTACACCGGTATTGTACACGTGTTTCTATCCTATTCATGAATAAATACACCACGAAATTTTCGAGCGTATCTATTAGTTTTACTGTTTTCTTTACTATCTTCATTTCTACACAATTATTTCACCGTTCTTTGCAAAGAACTAAAGTTCCAGCAAAGGAAAACTTTTATTATGCCCAATGTAAGTGGCCATTAAGGAGCCGTGTCAGTGTCAAGATGCGGCGATGCGCAAACCGATGCGCGCGCACCATCCAATTTTCCTCTGGTATCGAATCAGCCAGTCACTTTTCCTAACCTCAAACTTCAAACACCGCCCAAACAGCTGTTCCGAATGTTAAATAACTAACGTAATTATCGGCACTAGGGCCGAACAATCGAACGCACCGTCTAGACGCGTCGGAAGCCATTACGAAACTATTTAAATTTAGAAACTGCTTTATTTTTTTATCGGTTTACGGTTTTCTTGGCTTTCATTCAGTTTTCGGCCAGTGCTGTAAGCTGCTAGCCGTACTATTTTCTCAATTTCATTATTTTAATTTTTTCTGTAATTTATTGTTGTGTTTTTAGCCAGTGTTAGTTATTTTGCGTATTTTTGTTTTATAGGTTACGTTCAATACGTTAGTTGTGAAATGGTACTATCAGTGATTTTTTACTAAACCGTTTCTGAGCATTTATTGTGAACATGACAGTGTGTAGTGAACGATACAAATGAATATTTTTGTGTTTTTGTGTAAAGACTAGTGTTAACATGGAGGAGTACGAGTATGATTTCGCGTACGAGTGCCGGGTTGGTATATTGCGTACTTTATATCTAGTATTACATGCATGTTGATGATATAATTATTTGATTTCTAATCGTAAATAAATACTGCTGTAAAAAAATAATATAAACTTCCCGTGAATTTAAATTTATTCACTGTGCAAAAACTGCATCGAAAGAAGACGTACGAATGTAAGTCCCGTATTTGACAAACGTGTTCCCAAGTAATAATACTAACCACGCACCGGTTTTCTTTCAAAATGTTACATAACGTTGTTGCTATGCCGAACCAGTCGTGGTCCTTGCCTTTTTGGAAAAAACAAAATGTCACCGGTCTGTGATTGACCGGTTGCCGGTTGCAAAACGGTTATATATGCCATGCGCGTTCCATTGACAAATATGGCGTAAAAAAATAAACTGCCGGTGTTCGATTGTTTAAAAAAAATGCGCAACGAAATATCATCAAGGTATTTTTTGATGTAAAGATTTGATGATATTCCAGCGATTGAGAATTTTCTCAATAGGTACTTTAAATTCGTCTACAAGGAAAAATGTATTCAAACTACTTAGGCATTCAATGATTTATCAAACTGAATCGAGAAACCGAGTGTAGACGTTGTTTTGAATATCAGCTCTATGTAACATAGGTATTACATACGTTTTAAATTAAAATAAAATGAAATATGTAGTATCTTGATCTACCTTGGTAGAGATTTTTTAAAGGTAAAGATTTCCACCAGCTCGCACTAAACTTTTCGATGACTCTTTTATAATGCGAACAGCTAGGGACTGGAATTCGCTGCCTGCTGCTGTCTTTCCCGAAGACTACAATCCGGGCCTTTTCAAGGCGAGAGTAAATAGGCACTTACAAGGCAGATACGTACCATCCTAGATTGACATCCCACTTAACATCAGGTGCGATTATGTTCAAATAACTGCCTTGTTAAGCATAAAAAAAAATTGACGATATTTCAGATTCAGATTGTTTCAAATGTTCGTTGCTGAAATCCTACACGCCTACCAGAAAAATATTCAAACTTATTTAATTAATTACAATAATTACCAAACCAAATCGATAAATCGAAGTGTTGTAATTCGTTAACTCTCTCGTGTTCAAATGATTTCTAATCTACTTATCCTGAGAGAAAATTGTAACTTGATTTTTGGAAGGTGATTATTATATTTAACTAGCTGACCCGGCGAACTTCGTACCGCCTTAGCGTAGAGATTTTCTTAATTTTTTTTTCCGTAAGAACCATCCTTGGACTTCCACAAACATTTAAAAAAAAGAATTATCGAAATCGGTTCAGCCGTTCACACGTGATGCCGTGACAACGCGAAACGGGTTTCATTTTTATATATATAGATGAGGCTTAACCGAGCATTGTCAAAGCATTAACAATAAAAACCGATTTCTTAATTTAACGCATCGCTTGACGAACGGACGTGGAAAGCGTTCCGTGTTATGAGTACGCGCGATTTATCACATTTTCACACAGACCGTGTTGGATGAATCGCGATTTACATAGTTTTCTATGTTATCTTATTACGAGGTGAAAATTAAATTGTTTTACGCTTTAAAATTATAAGAATTTAATATGAAAGTTGACTTTTCTTTTGAATAATTCAAGTTGATAAAAACTTTAGGGATGGGATATGTTACAAAAATCAAAAAATCAAAATCAAAAATATTTATTCAGTTTAGACCACAAGTGGATCGTCAAATATAGCAAACAATAAAAAGAAAAGGTAGCCCTTATGGGGCACTTTACATGTCTCCTTATCTTTTGGGACCTACCAGCGCTTCGAGACAAACATATGGCAAGTGCTGAGAAGAAACGCCGGAACAAACTCAGTCACCGATTACAATTGATCAATCTGATAATAAGAAATAGACTACAGCGAATTTAGAATAATTAGTCTCCCCTCGATTCGCATAATTATGACATAAATGAACAAAACATTAGAATACTCGCGCTATTTTATGGTCTAACGTAATAAAATAAAATAATTATTTAACCGAGTTCATTGTGGAAAACCTTGGGGGAGGCCTTTGTCCAGCAGTGGACGTCATTTGGCTGAAAAGAAGAAGAAAAGAATTATTTAACCGAGTAAAATTTAGTTTAGTATACAGTATATTACGTAAACTGATCGGCAGATTATTATATTTTTTACAAAAATTACTCTTATTACCATGATTATAATGGCTCTCCCAAGGTCAAAGTTGTGTACTATTTTATCGAAAAGCGGTGTGTCTTTATATCATAATGTAGGCCTTAATAAAATTGAAGTTAGATCCAATTTTGATCGCGATTCTTTTTGGACTTTCGATATCGTGGTATACTGGTACAACAGAGCTTGGGACTTATTTATATTTATCAATAATAGACCTTAATATAGCTTCAATAGAGTACAATTCTGACCGTCCTTCTCTATTGTTTCCAGCGGCTGGTTGAGGCCATGGCGCCGCGGTCGGCGCGGTCCTTCCGCCAAGAGTTCAACATGCAGGACCTGGCCACCAGCACCGAGCACACGTATACGACGCACTATACCTCGGAGAAGTAAGTGGATAGCTTATGTGCTTGTAATAGGGATTAGTTTGCAACGAAATTGACAGTAGATGTGCCTATTTCTTTTTTCTAATCGAACATAATTACTGGCCAGTTTATAAAGACTGCCTTAATAAGAAAAAAATATTTAAGAAAAAATCTTTTGTCATTGAAGGACAGAAATTCTAAATTTGAATTTAAATTTTCAATTTGACTCTTGGGACTTGGAGATAGTTATTATTTTGTATTTACCGAACCTTCACTGGTGGCGATTTTATTTGGTTGTCATTCTTCCTTCAGACAGACTATGCTGATTTCCAAGCAGTTCCAAATGAGATCATAAAACATGTTAGTTATTAAACATTTTAAATTAAATTGTTATTAATATTTTCCCCCAATTACAACAGATATGTCAGGACGTCACATTCGACAGAGCTTGACGGATCTCCCATTAAATCAATGGCCAATGGCAAACTGAGCTCGCCTAAATACACCACGAAGACCATCATCGGCGATGATGACCGACCTGACTTAAGGAATCTCAAACGGGTCCACAAAATGTACGAAGGCCCGAACATTATTGAATCACGAGGTATAGTTCACCCCGAAACGAGGGAAATCTTGACTGTAGGTCAAGCAATCAGTATGAGGATACTTGACGTACGAACGGGAAGGCTACTGTCCTCCCCAGAGACAAGACAGACTATGACTATTGAGCAGGCAGCTAAAGAGGGTCTGATAGACCCCAAACTAGCAGCCAGGCTAACAGGACCCTGCGGTATGACAGAAGACGGAAACGAAGTCACGCTACTAGAAGCGATACAAAGAGAGCTGTACGACGCAGAACAAGGACTCACTGACCCAGCAGAGAAGAGAATTAAGGTAACAGTTGAAGGTGACAAGCCAAGCACGCAAGGAATGAGTATCTCAGACGCCCTTAACTGTGGACAAGTCGACCTCCAGAGAGGTCTCTATCGACTACCCAACGGAACATACATCTCTATTGCCGAAGCATACCAAAGGGGATACCTCATCTACAACGAGATTATCAAAATCAAATCGAGCGCTCTGTCGTTATCCGACGCCATAAGCCAAGATCTTGTAGACAATAACGGTTGGATATTGGACAGGAATTCGGGCGATAGGTTCCAATTAGACGTTGCGATTAAAAACGAATTAATAAACCATCATTACAGAGAAGTTGTAGATCCTAAAAACGACACTAAAGTTACGCTTGCTGAAGCCATAGAAAAGAACATCATAAATACTAAACATTCTAAATACGTACACAATATCACAAAAGAGAAGCTTTCTTTCAAGGACGCAGCAAACAAACGGTTTATTTGCAAACCTATGACGCTCAAAGACGTCTGTGATAATAATCTTATGACTAATGACGGAAAAATACTTTCTCCTACAAATAGAACACCTTTGAACATTTTAGAGGCAATTTCTGCCGGAGTATTAGATAGCGACAATGTAAAGTGTATCACTGATACAACAACCGGTCAACTTCTGACGCTGTCTGAGGCGTTGGCAGCTAAAATTATTCTACACGATAATAAATTCCGCGATAACTTGACAGGTGAAATTTGCACCATCCCTGAAGCAGTCGATCGGGGACTAATCACGTCTGTTTCCCAAAGATCAATCTTCGATATTGATGGATTCAGAGACCCAAAAACTGGGGAATTCATTTCGTTTAATTCCGCTCTTAAGAAGGGCTATTTAAAATACGCCAACGGCGAAACTTTCCTAAAATCCGAAAGCGGTGATTTCGTTTTCTTGGAAGACTGCACTAAGGTTGCTATAGTCCGTCCCGAAGTTTTAGAAATGTTTAACCGTAGGATAGGAATTTATGAAAACGGCAAAGAGCTGACTGTATTAGATGCAGTCTTTAAAAATATTCTCGATCCTAAAACCGGTAATTTACTTGAAGCATCGACAAAGAAACCTATTCCATTCAATAAAGCTGTCGAAATTAATATGATAACTCCCGAAGGAGCCGCATTGTTGAATTCGCTTCTTAATATTACTCTGACTTTACAGACTGTAACAAAAACAGTGAAACGGTATGTCACAGTAACTAACACCACTGCGACTCAAAGGTCCGAAGCAATCCTCACATTTGCTGAGGCAATCAGACGTGGTCTCATTGATGAAACAACTCAAACTTTCACTGACCCCACGACAGGTACCGTTTTCCCCATTCAACAAGCTCTCGACGAAGGCTTGCTTGGCGTAGAAAAGAACGAACCTCGGGTCGTTCGCATCCCTGAAATTGCCAAGAAAGATCTAGTGCCCGGTCAGGTAGTTGAACTTAAAATTACTAAAAAATCGTTTATCCCGGACTGGCCTACAAGTCCAGAGGGCAAGGTTCAGCGGGACAACAAACCCGAGACAATCAAAAGCCCCGAGTTTGCCACTCGCGAAATCATTCAGCCACGTGAAGGGCTGATGAGGGAAATAAGGACAGTAACGTCAAAATCTATTGTAACAGAACCCTCAGTCACATCATTGACTATCAAAAAGAATACAATCGAGCTTCCTCGTGGTGGTTGGACACTAAGGGAAGCTATATTCCAAAATCTTTTTGATCCAAACACAGGTGTATTCACTATTCCTGGTACTGACCGTGTTATGGAGCTTGACGAAGCATTAAAACTTAACATTATCAACTCAGATTCTGCTAAAGTAATCCACCCTAAAACCAAGAAAGAACTTTCGTTGTTAGAAGCTTTAGAAGCGCGCATTATTAACAGTACAGGTCATTACAAACATCCAACGGGCTCTGTTACTATGAGAGAAGCAATCGATCGTAGTTATATTATTTTTGTAAAACTTTCCACGACTGTGTCATCACAAAAAGTTATAACGATTACGTCGGTGGCCGGTATGCCTGATAAAGTTGAACTGTCTGAAGTTGGCGATATAGTGAGTGAAGAACAAACCGTTTTGGAGCCTCTTCAGATTAGGCCTGGGGTTATCTATGACCCTGCTACAGCATTAGTCATATCAACTACGTCAGGTGTATCCGAAAATATTGTAGAAGCAGTTGAACGTGGCCTAGTGCCTTCTAATACTGTCAAAGTTACTGAACCACAAACTGGTAAACAAATAACATTAAAACAGGCAGTCGACAAAGGTATAGTCGATAAAAAAACAGGTGAATACAAAGATAAATCAGGTAAAAAACTAAGCCTTGCAGACGCGGCTAAGATAGGTCTTGTAGCAGTGGTAGGGGCTCCGTTAGTTGGAGCATCGAAAATTATACAGGTAGTTAAAAGTACTATGGTAGTAGATCCTAAAACAGGAGAAAAAGTGCCTATGGAAGTAGCATATGAGCGGGGTCTAGTTGATCCTCTTACTTATCAGAAGTACGAGGAATCAATTAGAGATCGGTCACCTGAGAGTGACACTTCAGTACACGAAGATACTGTACACCACACAACAACCACGAGTAAAGTAACCTATTCCAAAGTTACAAGCGAACCCACGACTACTAGTACGGTAGTTATCATTGATCCTGACACAAACGAGAAATTGCCCTTGGAAGTCGCCCTTCAGAAAGGTTTAATTGACGTTGAGACTTACAAAAACTACTCTTCGCCTGACTTTGCAGTCCTTGGAGATAAAATTCCCCAAAGCACAAGTACAGTAACATTTGAAAAAGTTATTAGTCAACCTTCAGTAACAACTGTAGCTACAGTAGTAAACCCTCAGACAGGCGAACAAATACCAATTGATGAGGCGTATGAGAAAGGATTAATTGATACAAACACTTACGAAAACTATAAACAAACTTTACATGCGAAAATAATAGAATCTGCTAGGTCCACGCCTACTGGGAAGAGCACAGTAACAGTTACTCAGGTCAACAAACCAGTATCTGTTGGTGCCGCTGTTTCTGAAGGTTTTATAACTGTAGAGTCAATTCAAAATAGTTTGTCTGCGGACAATAGGAAAGTAATAGAAGTAGGTCCATCCGCGAAACCACAGACAGTTAGGACATCTGACATTATCCAAATTACAAAAACACAAACTTTGGAAAAACCGAAATACAAGGTTAATATTCCAAAGGAAAGTGTTCTACAAAGTCAAGTTCTGGAAACTAAACCGGTTGTGCTACAAAAACTTAGGAAGCGCGTGGTGACACCCTTGGAAGCGGTCGAGAAGGGTTTATTGAGTAAGGAAACAGCTTTGATTTTAGATGCCGTCAAAGTTTATAAAGATGAAAATGGTATGCCTATAACACTTGATAAGGCCATAGAAAAAGGCTTAGTAGATGAAAATGGTGGAGAAATAAAAGACCCAGTTCACGGGGACATTGTTACTATCAAAGAAGCCCTAAAAAGGGGCATTTTAGATGGTGAGGGTCAAGATGAAGTATTGATTCCATTGGCAAAGAGCTTATCTATTGCAGAAGTATTAGAACAAGGTTTGTTAGACCCGTCCACTGGAAAAATAATCCATCCCGAGACTGGCAGCCTCTTGACATTACGAGAAGCTATTATTTGCGAGATAGTTGACCCGCTATCAACCGTTACTGTTTCCCCCGGCAGAAATATAACACTCGCAGAAGCGATAGAAAGAAACATCATTGACAATGATAAAAACCAAGTTCAAACTAGTAACGGAAATGTAGATTTAATCACAGCCGTTAATGCCCAGATATTCCCGGAAACAAAACCAATTTCGTCCGTAGAAGAAATCCCGCCTGCTTCTATGACCTTATCAGTAGCTATTAAGCGAGGCGTTATCAACCCAAATACTGGAGAGATGAAACATCCTCTCACTGGAGAAGTGATGCAAGTCAAGGATGCTGTAAAACGAGATATGATTATGTCTATCCCTTACCCACAATCAAAGGACACTGTGACATTAGAAGACGCTATTGAAAAGGACTTAGTCGATCTAAAAGCAGGTACATTTACTGATCCTAACACATTAGAAATTTTACCAATAGACAAAGCTATGGAGCAGGGTCTACTGGCCGTAAAGCCGAACACCGATGCTATGCAAACCACAGGAGTGGTCACAACGATCACCGAGACGTTTACTTCTCAGCACACAATAACAACCAAAATGATTGAACTTCTTGCTGACTACGTGTTAGTTAGCGCCAATGAAGTTAAAAATACTAAAACAGGGGAAATAATTTCTATGGACGATGCCCGTCAAAAAGGTATTGTGCGGGATGAGCAAACAAGTAAGGAACAGTTCATCACCAGTGACACTAACATTAGCTTCGAAGAAGCCTTGAATCTCGGATACATAAACATTGAGGAAGGTACATTCACTCACCCTAACACAGGAGAAGTATTATCAATCTCAGAAGCGGTAACTACTGGTGTATTAAACACAGAAGTTGTTCCATCTGAGACTGCTAAAGTTGCTTCACCAAAGAAAAGTTCAGAAATGCTAGACTTGAATGATGCGTTTGAACTTCTCTTTGATGAAAAGACTCAAAAGTTCAAAGATCCTAAGTCTCCTAACAAAACGGTTACATTGAAGGAGGCATTAGATAAGAAAATCATCAACCCAGATTCTGTAATATACAATGTTGAAGCTGGCAAACCTCTAACGCTCCAGGAAGCTGTTGATTCTGGTTTGATTGATAAGAAAACAGGTAAAATAAAGGAACCCAAAACAGGAAAATCTGTTGACATCAAGAACGCCGCTAAAATGGGATTAATTGCGGTAGTGGCTGCTCCAGTACTAGCTGGTATGGCTGTCGTTCAAGGAGCGAAAGCAGTGACTAGCAAAATCATAAAGTCTAAAGAAGAAGTTCCCACAAAGCCTGAAAAACCTAGTCGAATCACTAGTGTCGAAGAATCGTCAAAAATTGTGATTGATCCAAAAGCAATCCTAAAGCCTGTTAAAAAAGATGATAAACTTCCGCAAAAAGATCAAAACACTAGCATTGAAGAGTCCACAAAAACTGTGTTTGATCCAAAAGCAATGCTAAAACCTGTTAAAAAAGATGATAAACTCCTTCAAAAAGAATCTCCGGTTCAAACTGGTACTGTAGAAAAAACGCCTAAACCTTCAGATGTAACAGCTACATTCCTGCAAAAGGAGACTATTGTCTCAGAGGCAACGCATGAATTTCCCACACAAAAAGACAAAATGGCTCCCAAAGATGTTCCAACATCGAGTAAAAAAGATGAAAGCGAAACGAAGAAAGGCAAAAAAGATAGCGATTCGCCGGTGCGAGAAGAACAAACTACTGTTGTTAAGACTATCTTGACAAAGGATTCTAAAGTAACTACTCCTGAGAAAGACCAGTTAGCTAAAGAGAAACTAAAAGAATTGCCAAAATCTGTCTTAGAGACCGAAGAAGTAAAACCAGATGTGCATACTACTGTTAAAACTATTGTTACTCAGTTAGAGACAGAATATGATGAAGCGGCCCTTAAAGTGGTCAAACCAAAAGACAGAGTTAAAGAAAGTCCCTTAAAAGAAACTCAACCTTCTGTACCCGAACCAAAAGCACCTATAGAACCAATAACCAAGGCCAAGCCAATTCCTTCAAAGGTATCGGAATCAGAAGTTCAGCCAGAGAAACGTAGCACGGACACTACAACTGGCCCTGCTGATCACAAAGCACAATTACCATCACAGAAAGAAGGTAAAACTACTCCTGAACCAAAACCATCATCAGTCAAAGACGTGTCACCACAAGAACCTTTAATTGACGAGCCAACCTTTGATGAGCAAAAGCAATTTGATGGACAGCCTCTTATTCAAGAGTACCGTGAAACTACTCCAGATGGTCGTGAAGTGACGACTATCGTCAAAACCATCGTAACGCAGTCAGAACCATCTGAGTATGTTACAGAACACTCTAGTACTGTAATTACTACTAAAGCATCTTCAGTAACGACAGTGGAGATAACACAGAATGAATCTACCTCATACCACGTCGTCACTGAGGAGATTGTTGGACCACACGGTGTTACTGAGACTACTATTACACAACACGAAATTGACGTAGATCAACCTGATAGATTTGATGACAGACCAAGCAAGGATGGTGACATAACGGCGCCTGTTCAGGGCACCCAAAATACAGCAAAAATCGAAACAATAATACCCAAGCAGCCAATTCAACAAGTTGTAGAAACCGTAACTCGAGAAGTTTCTTACATCCCGGAAAAAGATACGCTTGTTGGAGACTCGACGTCGCCAACGACAAGTGTACAAGAAAAGACAGAAACGAATGTTCTTGTTGAAGTAACTCCTGGAGTTATTTATGATCCAAATACGTCTGTTGTGATCTCAGCGGCATCCGGGGTCTCTGACAATGTCCTAGAAGCCGTCGACAGAGGCATTGTGCCAGCTGAAACTGTACACGTAAAGGATCCAAAGACTGGCAAAGAAATCACATTAAAAGAAGCAGTCGACAAAGGTATCGTTGACAAAAAGTCTGGTGAAGTCAAAGACAAATCCGGTAACAAGATTAGTTTCGCTGTTGCTGCTAAATTCGGCCTTGTTGCCATTGTTGGTGCTCCCATCCTAGCTGCTTCTAAAGTGATTGAAGTAGTAAAGAACGCTGTCGTGGTTGACCCAAAAACCGGAGAAAAATTACCCATCGAGGAAGCTCGTAATCGTGGTCTTATTGACCCAGAAACGTATAGGCAAATCGAAAAATCAACAACTGAGATCTTGCCTAGTAGCGTAGTTGATGAACAAGGTAAGCCTTTAACAGAATTATCTCAAATTATTAAGCAGGTCTCCACCACAACCATTGCTGGTCCTAAGGAAGTAATAATTACACATACTACTGAACACACGCCTATTGTCACTGAAAGCTCTACTACTACGACAGTCGAAAAGACATTAGTAGGCTTTGAAGTGACCCAAAGCGTCAGCACAACAACAGATGCTAAAACTGGTTCAGCTATGCTTTTGGATGCTGAAAGGCAGCCATTGCGAGTAATTGATGAAATAACTGAACAAAATGTTACAAAAGAGAAGCAGGAAGAAGTGAAACCCCTTCACGAAAACATCCAACTAATTGATGCTATCTCTCAAGGCAAAATTGAACCTAAAGTATGTAGGATCATTGTAAATGGTGTCGAATCACCTTTAACTGTACAAGACTCTTTAGAACAGGAACAAATTAGTAGGTTTACCCCAGTAGACGTAATGTCTAAAAACTTAGTTGTTGTCAAAGAAACTGAACCGAAATACTTTGTCGCAATATCGCAAAAGTTAACGCCAGAAGAACTCTCAGAAATGGGAGTTTATGATATTGAAAAACAAGTATTCTTGAATCCAGAAACAGGTGCTAAAATATCTTTCGAAGAGCTCGTCTATGGGCTGCATGTATTTGACCCAGAAAATATTCTCGTTAAAGACCTAGGTTCCAAATCCGATGAGTACATCTCGTTTGACGAGGCAATAGCTAGGCCCATTATTGACATAACTACCGGCCACATGGTTAACCCCAAAACCGGAAAACGGGTGCCATTCCTAGAATGCGTTCAAGTAGGGTGGATCGTTGAAAAGCCTGAAGACGTGACAGTTTCTGAACAAGTATCGTTTGAAACGGCTTTCGATCAAGGTCTCTACAATCCTAAAACCGGTGAAATCAAAGACGTTAACACAGGGAAGTTAGTTCCAATCGGCCAGGCCATTGAATCTGGCCTCGTAGATCAGGAGTCGCTACTCATAAGAGTTCCTAACTCTAACGAAAACATTCCATTAGCAGATGCAGTCGAACGCGGTATTATTGAAATCCATGAAGGCGTCATAACTATTGTTGAGACCCATCAAATTATAGAAATGTCGGTAGCTATTCAACGTGGCTTAATCATTCTCACGCGCAGACCGATTTCAATTGAAGCAGTTATAATTCAGGACATGCTAGAACCGAATACAGGTAAAATCAAAGATAAGGTGACTGACCAACTTGTTACTGTAGGCAACGCGGTAGATAGAAATATCATTCACCCGACAATCTCTGAAATTAAAGACACATCTTTAGAAAAATTCGTCCCTCTGGCTGAAGCCCTTGACTCGAAGCTTATTCATCCAGAAACAGGTAAAATTAGAGATAAAAAGACTGGCAAAGACATTCCATTAGACGATGCACTGAAACGAGGCCTACTGGCCACGAAATCAGTAACGTTCTCATTATTTGATATTATTGAATTAGGATACTACTCTCCGGACACTTGTCAGATTTTAGATCCAAAAACTGGAAATACAGTTACCCTCGGTAAAGCTATCCAAGATAAGCTTGTTGACGTTTCAGACATCAAAATCAAAGACGACAAGTCTGAGGCTGTTGTACCATTCGATAAAGCTGTAAAGGCAGGTTTGGTTGATTTAGAAAAAGGTGTTATTACATCTCCTGTTTGTAACTTAAAGGACGCTTGTGACAAGGGCTATGTACTGAGCGACAAAAAGCCATGGACGTTACAAGAAGGTCTTGTTCAAGGATTTTACAATCCAGAGACAGGCCTTTTGACTATAAACGATGTCACTATGACACTCGATGACGCAATCAAAATTGGAAATATCAATCCTGAAGCTATGACTGTTAGGAACTCCGTTACAGGAGACATTATATCCCTAGCCGATGCTATCAAACTAGGCATTATTGATTCTAAAGAAGGCAAAGTCAAAGATCCTATTCGTGGTGATAAAATTTCACTCACTGATGCTTCAGAACGTGGACTTATTGTTCCTGCCAAACGGAAACTTAGCTTGCCCGAAGCTGTATTCAAAGGCTTCTACGACCCTAAATCAGGGAAATTCTCGCATCCTGAAATTAGAGACAAAATTCAAACAGATAGGGCAATCAAGAAGCGTATGATTGATCCACAGTCCACTTTAGTACACGCTGGTGGTAAAGTAATTCCATTCGAATTTGCAGTAGAGAAAGGCATCGTTGACGGCCGAACGGGAACTATAGTGCTAGGAGAAGAAAAAATAGATTTCCGTGAAGCTTTCGAAAGAGGTATATTAGTCGAGGTTCGCAAACCCATGTCTCTAGTTGAAGCTCTTGAAAAGGGAGTCTACAACGAAATCACGGGTATGTTTATGGATCCACAAACTGGCAAGAAATACACACTCGCTGAAGCAATCAAGCTTAACTTGATTGACCCACATTCAGTTCACATTCAAGACAACAGGTTAGGTAAATGGGACAAGATTACATTGCCTGATTCCATTCAAATCGGCGTAATCGATGATAATACAGGTAAAATAAAGAACATCAATAACGACAATGAAGAAATCAGCCTTCGCAAGGCGTTCGAAATAGGTTTACTCGTTGATAGCAAAGCACCAATCAGTTTGCAAAGAGCATTGCACCAAGGTCTCTATGATGATGCTTCAGGTAAAATCATTGATCCAACAACAAACCGTAAAATCACTCTTCACGAGGCGCTCAGGCGGTCAGTGATTAGCCCGAAATATCTTTGCTACTTCGACAAGAAATCGGAGAAGCCTTTGACCTTAGCCGAGTGCTGTCGTAGCGAAATCGTTGATAGACGCAATGGTAAATTCCATGAGCCTGGATCCGATGTCCAGGTTTCGTTATCCGAAGCCATGAGCCTCGGTCTAATCGTCGACATTGAAAGCGCTGGATTCACTTTACATGAAACATTATCAATGAACATGTACGATATAACTGAACTTGTCTTTATTCATCCCGTCACTGATAGACCCATGTCGCTCAAGACTGCTATAGTCGAAGAACTTATTAACCCTGAAACGTCACTAGTTAAACATATTCCAACAAGTAAATACATCAAATTAGATGAAGCTATTAAGACAGGTGTCATTGACGACAACAACAGCGTATACGTCTTGCCTAACGGCAATCAAATTAACTTGCTAGATGCTAAACACCGCGGACTAATCGTGACTGCGAAGAAAAACCTTAGCCTTGAAGAGATTATTAGGAACGGCTTCTTTAGGGCGGATAACGGCAAGATCGTAGATCCCAGCACTAATGAATACGTCGATATTAACAAAGCAATTGAAACCAATTTATTAAACCCCGACTCGACTGTCGTTAAAGATAACGTTACAGGCAAATTCAAGCCTCTACCAATTGCGATACAACAAGGTGACGTTGACGTCACTAAAGGTAGAGTTCTAGATACAAAGGCAAAGAAAACGTATAGCTTAGACATCGCGTTCGATAAAGGTCTATTAGTTACAGTCGTCCAACCAATCACGTCTCAGACGATTACTAAACGGTACGTGCCAGAAAGTTCTGCTTCCAAGGAACCGGTTCTTAGGGAATTCACTTTAGATGAAGCTATCAGGTACGAATTTATAGACCCCGAAACAGCGTTAATAAAAGACCCTCGTAAAAACAAATACATTCCATTAAGATTAGGTATCACTGAGGGCATTATTGACAAGAACGCGAAAGGTTCCTTCGACACGCAGAACAGGACTCGTTCGTTATGCTTCGTCTTTGAAAACAGTTTAATTGTGTACGTTAGAGAACCAATGACGTTTGAGCAAGCGATTGAGAACGGGCATCTCAACGTGGCCGCCGCTCGATTTACTGATCCACATTCCAATGAAGTACTAACTATTAAAGACGCGACCACTTTGGGATACATAGATTCCGACACGGCTCTCATAAAAGATAATCTCAAAAAGAGGTTAGTAAAACTCCCCGAGGCATTCCGCAAAGGCCTCATGGATGCTGAGAAAGGCAACATACTGGACACTGAAACATCTAAGCTGAACACGCTCTCAGCGGCAATAGAGAGTGGGCTCTTGATGACACCGAAAAAGAGTTTCACGTTAATAGAGACTCTAAACTTCGGTATTTATAATCCGACCACCGGAGCGCTAAACGATCCGTTCATAACCACGAGTGTAATGGATCGAAAGAGGTTGAATTTAGGCGAAGCCATCAAACAAGGCATCGTCGATCCATCAAGTACAGTAGTCAAAGAACCCGAAACAGGAAAGATTTGGCCATTGGTTCAAGCGATAGAACAGAAGCTAGTCGATCCCGTTGAAGGCAGACTGACGATTGATCCAACCAAAGGAATCAGTCTCGATTTAGTCAAAGCTCTAAAGAAGGGGTACTTACTGCCAGCAGAAACTAGGGTAAGTTGTTTTGTTTTTTACGCGTATTTTGTGCTTTTATCAAGCAAAGGTGTTGCTTTACATCTTCCTATTTCCATTCTTAGACGGTGATCTATCTATCTAAAGCGTTTGGCTTTAAACATTGGCATGGCACGACACCCACAAACTTACCGTGTCGAGTTCAGGGTTAGCTGTTTTTCTTGGTGCCGTCACAGTTTGTTGTGTGGCAAACACTAATTAATGAATACCATCATAACAACAGTCATATTTCCTAGAACTTAAGACATCCGTGCATACAATTTAGATTTTTTATTCTGTAGTAAAGGCACATAGTACACAGTAACTTTTTTGATTGCCGTATTGTTAGTCCAACACATTTTTTAGGCAGAAAGCTGCTTTTATAGTTTGTACAGACTGAATAGTTTTTTTTTCATAAAATGCCTTGTGTCGTTTTAGATGCTTAAGTTTAGGTTATAGCGCTACACAATTGTCAGTTTTTCCATTGAATCAAATCGGGAAAACTACCAATTGATGAGTGTGCTTATTCACATGTACTAAGGCTCGATGTATGTTGTTTTTATTCCAGCCGTTGCCTGCGATGCTAAAGAACCCTTTTGAGCTAAATCGTGAATGCTTGCCTGTGAGGGATCATAATAACGACGATCAACTATCACCGTTTCGTCAAAATCTAACCTCCCATATTCACACTGTGCTAAGATTTTACGAATGTGGTCAAGGGGCGTGTGTCCCTAGCGCTGACCTGTTTGCTTAAATGTGTTTGCTTCCTCATTCTACAACCAGCGACTTATGACAGCTGGCTTATTCTAAGTCCAATTTTAAGTCCCCAAAAGTATGACATACTCATTCCTTGGACAGTGCTCACATAGATGCATGTCAGCGCCATGCTATTGTGATGTGGGCTAGAGAGCCACTCGCGATGCAAACATTCACATTCTCATGAAATGGTAAAACATTTACTTCAAACACAAACATGGAAGGTAGTATTTATGATTCATTTTCGTCTTATTTTACTTTATCGACAATGAGAGACTTTATCTCATCTTATATTTTGTCTATGTATATTAAAACATCGTTCATAGAGGCTGATACTTGGTACAGTTTTTCTTTATCTACTCGTATAATTGAAAACACATTCGTAAGCTGAGAAAAAGTCTCATCATTGATTAAATTAAATGTAAATTCCCAGTTTACATCTACGTGTACATTTTAATTTACTTTGGAAATTTTATCTTACCTTACTTTAATTGTACAAAAATAAATTTCAAAGTTTCAGATTTTTCAAGAGGTACTCTTTACTTTTATACTTTTAACAATTAACTCTAATCAACGTTACTATTAATATAATGGTTATTGAAGATGGTTACCATGTTACTCGGTTCATACAAATGTCAAAAACTTTACTCAATAACATCACAAGTTTTTGGTATTTGTAAATACAATTAGATATCACTGCTTGCATGCCACGCTTTTTGCATGTTGTCTCTGTTACTTGTTACTTGAATGCTCTACGCAACGTTGTTGACTGGTTGTGTTGTCATCATGCTGTACATAAGCTGTCTGTTGTTTGTTGCCTTTGTCTATGTCTTTTTATCTAGGTTTGTCTATGCTTCTGTGCGTAGTCGACGTCGCTTCCCTTTCAGGATGTTAAACTTAGCTCTCTTGCATGGTGCTAAGTTTAATTCTACGTTTGTTTGTAAATACTTTTTGATGTGTGTACATATACATAAATTGCAACGTAAATATTTCACAAAAAAGCACTTTTGATCTAGTTTTTTTATTAAATTTAATGCACTGAATGTAGATTATAGATGCATTGTAAGATATGCTCGGTAGATATAGAGAAAGCACTGAACTTGAATTGTGGGAAGTTCCTGAATGTTTTGTTTGATTTTGGAGGGTAAATACTAATGTTTATTTTTCAAACGTGTAGCAAGCAGTCGAAGAGAAGTACAGACTTTGCGATGAGACGCTCTCTAAGCTATTGGAATGGATCGCGGTGGTCGAAGAGAGGTTGGCTAACCAAGAGGCCGTTAAAGAAGACATGGATGAGCTGCGCAACCAGATTAACATTCTTAAGGTAATTATAACTACGAATATATTGTACAATCCGATAGAATACTGCGCACCGCACTCACTGCGTTCGCCCCGTCCGTACCAGAGCGTAGTTGTGACGTCACGGCTGCCAAGTGCGCAGTTAAATAAATCGGGTTATACGTACCTTTTCACATTTTAGAATGTCTGTCTATATTGGAAAACGGGCTAACTAAATGGTAATAGGAATTTATAATGCCTAATTGAGTCTCTCTAGTATTAGCGTGACAAATTGCTCAAGTGGCGCCACAAATAAGTAAATAGTATTAATAAATAAATAAAATAAATAGTTTATTCATAGCCACTGCAGCGCTTCCTCACGCCTCTCATTTGAAGGCACCGTACCTATATTCGACAGGTGTAAAGAAGAGTGAATAAAGATCATCGCCACATTTCTTTAACTTAGGTACATATTTTGCCCATCGCCACGTTTTTCCCATAACAGTTACAAACATTCCTATGCTCTAAATACTCTAAATATCTGTCTTTGCCTCAACTACAGCTCCTACATGTGAAGGTTTTGTGCTAATCTCTCTCATTTACTTCCAGCTCATCAAGGATGACCTGGAGAGCCACCAGCGGCAGGTATCAGCTTGCGCGGACCAGGCCAAGCAACTCCTGGTCTCCGGCGGAGACGTGCTTGCTCCTCATGAGGTAAAAGATAAGAATAATCCCTATAATGTAATCATAACAATATGCAGACCATCAGCTGTCAATAAAAAACTTTGAACTCCTCCTATGTTCTTCTGATTAATTTCGTTGCGGGTCCAATGACAGTTTAACTTTCCCCCGGGACTTGACCTTCACTGGTTGTGTTCTTATTGGCGGTCAAGCTTTAGATCCTGGCTACACAGGAGTTGCATCGGTGAGAATGGTTCCGTTTTTGTCAATCACCTGCTCTCCAAAATCCAATTGAACCTGAATGGTAACATCCTGATATTTAGAAGTCACTGATGCAAAACAAACCCACCTGCTCTGTAATTAGGATCGATATCCGTTGAACCTGAACAGTATACCCACAATCACATCCTCCTGATAATAATCCACTGTAAAATAAACCTTCCTGCCCTCTACTTAGAGTTGATAATCTTTTTGTACCAACACCACCAAGTCTACCAACTAGTGCATAACCATATTTGGAAGCCATTGTTGCAAATCGGACTGCTATCCAATTAAGGTTGATATCCTCTTTTAACACAGCATAACAAGTCGGGAACACGAATATTTAGAATCCACTGATGCAAAATGAACCCATTTGCTCTCAGTCAAGGTTGATATCCGCTTGTACTTGTAAATGTTGCAGTCAAAACTCATAATCATTCAAAACCACTTTTGACTGCAAAAATCAGTCTTTTATACAAAGTGATATGATTAGTGAAAATTACTTGGAAATCATCAACAATATGTTATAAAACCATTTTAAACTCTAACTTTGATATCATTTGTGCATTCAACGTGCGTGATCACACCTACTTTAGGTACCACAGTAATGCTGTTTTGTATTTCTTATCATATTTTTAAGAAATATAGGTATTTGTCAGACAAAATATAAGTAAAATCATTACTTTGTATGAAGTTTGGACTGATTGGTAAAATTTTAAATCAGGCGAAAGCACTTTTGACTGATTTTTTGCAGTCAAAACCACTTTTAACTGGAAAAATCAGTCAAAAGTGATATCATGACCAAGGGTATCAGTCAAAACCACTTAAAAAAAATTATAAGTTTTGACTGTAACATAAATAACAAATCGGGAACAGTCATGTTTAGTAGCCATAACAATATTTAGAAGCCATTGATGCCAATCGTGCTCAAATACAAACCGCGCTCGGTGCGTTTCTATGAAGATGACCTACTCATTTGTATTAACTCTGCCTCTACTCAAGGTTTAAATCACAATAACAATCGTCCGACAGGTGGCAGCACTGGAGCGCGGCGTGCGCCAACTGAAGCAACGCTGCGACAAGTGCACCGACAAGTGCGACAAGATGCTGCGACGCTTGGCCGCGGCGAGAGACGAGCTTGGGAAATTCAGGTAAATAGCTATTTTCATTCGAATTCAAATTCTTATTAGTATGTAAAGCCTTTTCTGGGCACTTTTATACTTATTCTTTTTCTACGGACCGGCAGACAGTGGTGACTGAGTTTGTTGCGGCGCTTCTTCTCAGCACTTGCCAAATGTTTGTCTCGAAGCGCTGGTAGGGCAAAAAAAGAATGAGACATGTATAGGCTCCTTAAGAGCATTATTTTGACGATTTGCAAGAACTAATTTAATTAGTCTAAACAAATAAAGACAATTTTGATTTTGATTTTTTTGATTCTATAATCAAAATGATACTCAATCATTGATTGCAAAACCAAAATTTACAATGATGATGTATGAAGAATTAATGTTTTTCTTGGAAAATTTGGCCGGATAGAGATTCAGACAGAAAAATGTTAAAAATGGCCTATGTCTATGTCTACTAGTCAAAGTATATTGGGTCAAGTAGTATTGTTTGAAATATACAAAAATGTATTTTCCTTTTTGTCTTATTGGAAAAATAAACTGATCGCCATTTGAAATATTTTTCTAACGTCCACGAATTAACACAATGTCATGATGATTAACAGATTCGATAATGCTGTGAAAGTTGTTTAATATCAAGTATTAATATTCAATAATGCTGCAGCAGCAAATCATTGTTTTTTAGCATCCTAGTTTTGAAAATAATGACGGTACGATTAAGAGCAGTTCAAAACACATGATGAGGAGTTTTCTTTTCCAAAATATTCCAATACATCTCACGTCAATAAAATACTTTTTTTACAGCAACGAACTCAACGCCTTCAACTCCTGGATGGAGAATGCCTACCGCAACCTAGAAGAGAAGGAAGCAGCGCTATCCAAACTGGACAAGCTGCCCAACCAGGGCGAGGACATCAGGGAGTTCGTGTCTGACGTCATAGCTCATCAAGCTGACCTGCGGTTCATCACCATGGCAGCGCAGAAGTTCATCGATGAGAGCAAGGTGAGTTGGGACTTAGTGGTTATGAAATAGAGTTTACTTTTGAATATTAAAACTCCCCACAGAGTACAGATGTTTAAACGGACTGATAAAATCAGTGGAAGTGCGTTACACTACACTGATTTGATATAGGTCTATTCCTCATACAAATAAGGAGCAATCAAAATCAAAAATATTTTATTCAATTTAGACCACTAGTGGCACTTATGAACGTCAATTAGACCACTGGTGGCACTTATGAACTTCAAGTCGAGCCGAGCCGACCAAACTATCGGCCGACTAAAAGTCTGTAGTCTTTGGGGTGCATAACCACTTCACATTGCACGTAAAACTAGAGCTGGCATTTGGGAAGGTGAATGAATTTTTCCCTCCCGTGGGCAACACCTTTTATACTGTTATCTTACATGACATTTATATGGCTACGCCCCCGCATGACTTTTGCAAAAAGTAGCGACACTTAAGGCTGGGTTGCACCATCTTACTTTAACTTTGACAAACGTCAAAAATCTGTCAAACACCATACAAAAAGCACCAGATAACGTTGTAGTCACTATTTTAATTAAGTGGTGCAACTCGGCCTAATAGCACAGTTTATGTGTTAATATTATTACTAACATTTCACCAAGATCAATAGGGTTCCTTGAAAGACATATTTTTAGTATTCATATTTTATAGAGCCAAAGACTAAACAACTTATTTTCTTCCAGGAATTCCTCTCAATCCTCAACGAATACCGCACTACCCTCCCCTCCCGTCTATCGCACGTGGCGCCACCTAGCGAAAGCGCAGTGCGTGAGGGCGCGGCCCTAGCGCGCCGCAGACATGCCGACTTGGCAGCGCGCGCGCAGAGATTACAAGAGAGACTGCGAGGCGCAGCCCTACTGGCTAAACAGTACCATCTGGCTGTGGAAAGGGCTGGGAAGTGGATGCATGACGTAAGTGTTACTAGTCTTTCCCCCACTTTCTTAAACAGGTGCCTATCTCCCTCTGTCTACAAAATACTTACGCTGCTTTTCAAGCAGTCGTCGCGTTGGATGTATGATGTGAGTATTGCCTTCCATCACGTGTCAATTCCCTCCTCAACACGTCTACAGGAGCCCGTGATCGCCTAGCTGTGGAGATAGCTGGCAAGAGGATAACGTGATTAGGTACTGTGGATGTTACCAGCTTATATACCTCCCTTCGAGCGCGCCGAAATTATGCCGACTTGGCTGCGCGGGCATAAAGACTGCAAGAGAGACTCCGTGGCGCAGCCCTACTGGCTAAACAGTACCATCTGGCCGTGGAAAGGGCTGGGAAATGGATGCACGATGTAAGTACTGTAGTTGTTACGAGTTTTATTCCCCCACGACCCTAAACAGGTGGCCTCACTGCAAAATGCTGCTCTTTTAATTTCTGCAAAACACTTGTGCTGCTATTTAAGCAGTACTTTCAGGATCTCTATGCAGTAGGGCAAGCTGTCATGAGGTAAGTACTAGTCTTACATCCTCTCCCGTTATAAGGATCCCGCGTTGCTCTTAACACAGTACCACCTTAGAGCGCGCCGAAAATATGCCGACTTGGCAGCGCGCGCGCAGAGATTACAAGAGAGACTGCGAGGCGCAGCCCTACTGGCTAAACAGTACCATCTGGCCGTGGAAAGGGCTGGGAAGTGGATGCATGACGTAAGTGTTACTAGTCTTTCCCCCACTTTCTAGAACCGATACGACCTGCAACATTTCAAGAAGAGAGCGTATCTTCACCTTAAAGGCCGGCAACGCACCTGTAACGCCCCTGGGACTACGGGTGTCTATGGGCGACGGCAATCACTTACCATCAGGTGATCCGTCTGCTCGTTTGACTCGTCACATAAAAAAACAGGTGCCTTTCTCCCTCTATGTCTACAAAACACTCATGCTTTTCAAGCAGTCCTCGCGTTGGTGTACGGTATGATGTGAGTATTGCCTTCCATCACGTGTCAATTCCCTTGTCAACACGTCTACAGGAGCCCGTGATCGCCTAGCTGTGGAGAGAGCTGGCAAGAGGATACATAACGTGATTCTGATTAGGTACTGTCGATATTACCAGCTTACATATCTCCCTTCGAAGGAGCCTGAGTTGCTCTCAACACAGTACCACCTTAGAGCGTGCCGAAAATATGCCGACTTGGCAGCGCGCGCGCAGAGACTACAAGAAAGATTGTGTGGCGCAGCCCTACTGGCTAAACAGTACCATCTGGCCGTGGAAAGGGCTGGGAAGTGGATGCATGACGTGAGTATCTAGTTATTACGAAACGTTCATCTTCTCCTCCCTTCAATAGGTGCACCGCAAAACGTTCGCGCCTCAGCTCATGCCGCCTCATATAAGTGTATGCATGATGTGAACACCCTTTTACTATTAACCTCCTATGACGTGCCATACATGCCTAAAGCGTACCCTCTGTTTCTTTGGACACATTATACGGTCTCCAAGGCATTGTCTGGAGAAACAAATTATCTTGGGACAAATGGAAGGCAGACGTGCTCGGGGCAGGGCACCGACGAGATGGTCGGACGCGGCGAGGAAGACGGTGGGCGGGAGTTTGCATCGTGCGGTCCACACAGCTTATGACCGCAGTCTGTGGAGGAACACTATCTGTGGTCGCGATCCTCATCAGTGAGGGAACGAGGAAGAAGAAGAATGACGTGCCAAAATAGTACCTATCCCGAAGTACATAAAGATTCGGAGTGTTTACATTGATTTGCTATAGATCGTTTCCACCACGAAGACGCACCCCACCAATTTTTGGTCGAGGGTAGCGCGGGATGCGGGAAAGTTTGATCCGAGCGTCATTATTGGAGTGGATAAATACACTCATGGATAATTTAGCGTGTACCGATAACACTCAAACATTAGCAGAAGAATGTGGGGCGCCTTTCCGTGGATGAAACGATCTATATCGTCGTATTGAAGAGACGGTATTGTATGCTCCCCGTCTCATCAATGTCCCCGCAAAATGACGAACACTGAAAACTTCCTTCTTTTTGGCCCATCTCATGTTCCTTCTCCCATAAAAAAGATCATCTACTATCGACTATCCCACGAGGATATGTGGTCAAGGACCTTGTAGAAACTCCAGTATTAACTCAGAACTTCCTTCTAGATCGAGCCGCAGATCAAGTCAGTCCTGTCGGAGCCGGTGGGCGGCGAGCCGCGCGCAGTCGAGTCCCAGCTGGCCAAGGCCAAGACGCTGCATAACGAGGTCTTGGCGCAGGCCCGGCTTATTGACAACGCCAAGGACGTAAGTGACAACTTAGATCAATATTTTGAAGGCCAACTTTTGTAACACAATATTCTTGTCCAGAACAATTAATTACCTACTTGAAATAATGAATCAAGATAGCGAAAAGCGGTTATCAATTAAGATGGCAAAAAGTGACACCATAGCTTGTTGTAGTCATAGTAAATCTATGGGATAACCGCATTGTAATAGCTCAGAAAAGTGTGTCAACTATTATTTTCACTCTCAGTTTTTTACTTCTAGTTACTATCTACCAAAATGTGATATGGTTCTCTTGTTACATTGTCCTAAAGAAAATACAATTTTGTGATATGAGTAAGCTGACTTAGATTTTGTCTATTAAGAGTAACTTATTATTATTCAGTGCCATTAGTAAGCCTGAAGTTATCCCATGAGAATGATTGCGAATACTAAACACCCTATTTTTCCCTCAGGCATGCGACCAGCTAGTCAAGTCGCTCGAAGGCAATCTCACCCCATCCGAGATTCGTCAGCTAGAAGTCCCAGTCATAGAGCTGGAAGCCCGCTACAGGGACGTAGATGGAGCATTGGGCGCGAGATGCGGCGAGCTTGAAGCGGCTTTATTGCAATGCCAAGGACTACAGGATGCGGCTGAGACTCAGGCCCTTTGGTTGGGGCAAGTCGAGAATGTATTCAAGTGAGTATTGGGGTTAGTTTTGATAGAAACTTGAACAAAGATACGGAGCGCTCTGGATGCAAGATGCAGCGAGCTTAAAAGGGCTTTACTGCAATGCCAGGGGCTAAAGGATGCGCCCTTTGGTTAGGGCAAGTTGAGAACATATTGAAGTGAGTACTACAAAAAGTGATTTGTGTTGTGAACTGGCCAAATGTTCAGTCTTTATTCTTTACTTACTTCGTTTACTCCGATGAGCGAGGGTGGTCCTATTCTACTCTGCCGACATCACACGACTTTCACGTTGTACTATTGACGTTGTGACTACACCGTGTCGTCTTTTACATAGTCTGATCTCTGCCACTCATGCTGACGTCGCTAGCAGTCGGAAGCATTCAAAACTTCGGATTACTTTTTTAAAAGAACTCTAATTTTAACGCGTGCACTTCTGTCTCAGGAACCAGATGAAGCCAGCGTCTTTAGTCCGCGAGCGCCTCGACGAGCAAACCCGCGAGCAACGCCGAGCACACCACGAGCTCGAAGCCCGAAGGCCTACACTGGCCCAGCTACAGGCCGCCGCTGCCGACGCTGCAAGAGCGCCTTCCAACGCGCGTATTGCTAGGAAGCTGCAGCAGAGAGCCGAAGAGATCTATGCCAGGTAAATAAGCACGTCATCAGGGCTCTAAAAAGCAGGAGATCTGGCCGAGACTCGTAGCACTACAGCTGAAGGAGCGTACAGTCCTAATTGAATTAGTTTTTTTCTTTTCTCTTTTTTTCTCTTAGCATAATAATATTATGTAATTAACCTACTACTTAACTTTTTTAATTTTACATGCCATACTATGGCGAAATATTTATTTGTTTTTTGGTCTGAAAGTAAATAAATATGATTTTTGTAGGCAATTAAGCATGCATTACTCTGCGAAATATAAATAGTACATGTAGTTTTTCTGTGCGGTAAAAAAGCTGAAGATTTATACTCTAGGCACTTACATAGAACTTGCAGAAGCTAAAGCTGCATTTCTACAGAATGTTATTGAGTAGGAGAGGGGGGGGGGGGCAGATAAATAGAGTAATTAAATAGATGGTTTACAAGCTGACTACGTATTTATTACATCTACATTGCTAACCAATTTTTCTCTCCACAGATATGAAACCCTCCTAGAGCGGTCCATCAAACGCGGCCAGTTCTTAGACGAAGTGTCGAGCGAACTGGCTCACTTCACTCAGCAAGCCGCTACGCTAGATGCGGCGCACACGCAGTTGCAAGAACAAGCCGATAGCAGGGAGTTGGCCAGGATGAACGCTGAAGAGTTGAGAGCCAGGCTGACGGACTTGGCTCATTACAGGTGAGGCATTGGGTTTGTTAAAGTCCGGTCGCCGAGCACGTAGAATTTCGTCCAATGACCCCAAGCTACCCATCCTTATCGCTCGCGCGTAATTATATTGCTGTCGCGCTCGCACACTCACTGCGGCCGCCCGTCGCACAGTCAGTAGTTACAGGTGAGATTGGGTTTGGTGTCGACTAACTGTGTTCACAAACGATGCTTGCTTAAGTGAAATAGCAAATCGGACGCACAGCGTTGATTAGAGCTCTGTTATTGGTTTGTGACCCTGTGGGTCCACGCGCACTGTGAGACCTCATAGTAATGTTTGTGAATAAGGGCGTAGAGAATAAGCTAAGTGACCATATGAAAGATTCTAACTACAGATATGGATATTCAAGCGGTGCGGGGTGCGTTACATGTGTCGTAACACCATACCTGTCACATATTATAGTGTCAAGATGTTATAGTCTTTTTCACGTAAGATGATCCGTATGACACTTCAAGGTTATCCATATTACGGATACTACATAATATGCAGAATATTTTTGAAAAAAGTATTTGTACTTATTAGCAATATAATAAAAAAAAAATAACTACCTTGTCTTGAAATATATAGTAAAATCTGAGTCTATTGATTATATTTTAATTAAATACGATGTAAAAATATAATTTATTTCATGTACGCAATGTGTGAAACGGAATAGATTTAGTGCTGGGGTATTTCTTGTATAATAAAATCGATTATTTCCGCGGTTCATTAATCGATTGCAGTGAATACTTAGTTATTAAAAACATCACAAAAATCAACTATATTTTTCGATTATTGACTTTAATAAACGTATTAAAAATAAATTAATGGTTTTTAATTTAAAGAAACAGAACCAGTACTTTTTAGGAATCGTTTTTTTGAACATGAACCATGATATTTGAATATTATCAATAAAAAATTGTTACAATAATATTTGTAATTGTAAAAAACATGTTTTTTGTTAAATAACACCTATACAAAATATTTCTCTAAAAGTAGGTTTTACTAACTCTTCGAAAAAAATCGATAGATAAATCGTTATGGTTTAGTTATGTGACATCTCTAAATCTTTCAAACTCGAAACGTCATACGGATCATCTTAGGTGAAAAAGACTATAGTAAATAATATGCACAAAATGACACCTAAGTATCGTTTGCAAATATCTGTAGAAAAAAAATATTGACTACTCACACTGCAGTTTTTTAAATCATATATTTTTAATACTAATCGTGGATTTTTATTGCAGAGACAAGCAAATGCCGCTGCTTGAAGAATGCCTGCGTAACGGCAAGCAACTGATCGCTAAGAAGGACGTCACTGACACACACGTCGTCCGCGACAGGATGAAGGTATGAAATAATACTGAGGGTCTAGACAAAGTGCAAATTATAATCGCAAACCAGTCGAAAAGTAGTCGAAAAGCCCCTTTTTTGTATGGAGTTTTGACGGATTCGATTTTCGATTCGATCAAAAAGTGCGTTTTGTCTAGGGGGGCTGGAAAGCTTGTAATAATTAAGTTCTGTAACTTTACAAAAGATCTCAAAGACACTTGATACAAAAAATTGGTCTATTTCACTTTGATCACCTCCGATCTTATCCATAGAGGATCAAAGTTGATTGATTGCCTGGGTGACATAATCCAGGTGATAAAAGTGGAATAGTTTAAATAATCCACGATTAATCTTGGTATTACCTTTTTCACAAGCCAGAACTATACCCAAAACGTTGTTTAATTTTAGAAAAACTGTTAATTACTTAATTTTGAATCTTAAGTAAACCTCTCAAAAATAATTATATTCTATTCCTAGGCTCTTAAAGAACTTGATTAATGTACCCTTTTAGCTTTATATATATCAAAACACTAATTTCCTATTTCCATCAGGCTTTGGAGAACCAATGGCGCGATTTCAACACTGCGCTGGAAGAGAAACAAAAGCTGTCGAAGCAGCGCGCTGACCAGCTCAATCAATACGAAACCCTCAGGCTGCAGGTAACATGTTAAAAATTAAGAAAACGTCCCTTAGCAAATAAATGTTTTTTTTATGTAATAACGGGGATCTGTTAAAAATAATCTGACCAGAGCTATTCTTTGTGGTGTTTTATGGAGTAATCCCAACTAATATTATAAATGCGAAAGTAACTCTGTCTGTCTGTCTGTCTGTCTGTCTGTTACGCTTTCCCGCTTAAACCTCGCAACCGATTTTGATGAAATTTGGCATAGAGATAGTTTGAGTCCCGGGAAAGAACATAGGATAGTTTTTATCCCGGTTTTTGAAACAGGGACGCGCGCGATAAAGTTTTTCTGTGACAGACAAAATTCCACGCGGGCGAAGCCGCGGGCGGAAAGCTAGTCTTTTATAAAAATTACTTTGTCTACATTGGATAGACGCAGTGGCAGATTTACCGGCTGAGGCTGGGCCAAATGTTGTATGAGAAAAGTTTAAAACAATAATAATGTAAACTTAATTGATTTAAGATATTTATCCAAAAAGGATGGTGGAGCTAAAATAGCCTTTGGAAGACATTACATACTTTTTACTTCCTTAAAATCACTAATTTCCGACACCGCCGTGATCAGACTCGATTAACACATGAAAACACTCATGTATTTGTTCTCAGTTTGGTTAAACTGCAGTCCTATCTTGATCTACCCGATGATTCAAAGTAAATAAATAAATATCCTTGGACATTTTACACTACGCCTCTAGTCCCAAACTAAACAAAGCTTGTACTATGGGTACTAGACGACTAAACATACTTATATACTTTTTTTTTTGTAAATACATACATATTATACATAGAAAACACCCAGACCCGTCACAGAAATTAAAATTCATCATTTCAATTTCTGCCCGGCCGGGAATCGAACCCGGGACCTCTCGGCATAGTAGTAAATGATTCGATGATGACATTCTCTTTCCTCTAGGTGCTAGAATGGCTGCAGGGCATGGAAGGCCGCGTGGGGCGCCTGCAACCGGTGGCCGTCGAACTGGACGTCATCAAGCAGCAGCAGGACGAGCTCCGGCCTTTAGCCAAGGAGTACAGGGACTATAGCAGCACTATTGATAAGGTAAGCTTAAGGGAAAATTCATCAATGAGGGTTTTCGCGTATGAAAGATCCGCTAGACGGCGGGACGTGGATGTGGGGTCTGACTGCTGCGTGATTGGTGGATTTTGACATATCTGTCAATGTCATGTCAAAAATAACCAATCATGCAGCATTTGGACCTCGCGTCTACGTATTGCCATCTGGCGGATTTTTCATACGCGAAAACCCTCATTCATGATGCTCTTTATTATCTGTCTTATCGATGTTTCTCTATGGTATTAGCGCGTTTAATTATCCTAGTCTGCCATAAAAAAAGAAGAATTGGTATGGAAATAAAATTATGTGACGTCACTTCCATTTGAAGCCAATGGATTGGATTTTTATTGATACTGCGGTCTTCTTTCGTTTTGTCCGGACCGGTGGCTAATTGCCCTGATCGACAAAGTTGTTATACATTATGCGCATATCTGACCGCAGATCGCGTGCAGTGTGGCAAATCCTTTATAGTGTCATCTACCCGCAAATAATGCCCAATATCAAATCATATGCTAATCTACCGCCATCTTTCCCAGGTGAACGAAGCGGGTGCGGCGTACGAAGCGCTGACCCGCGGCGAGCGCGCTGACAGCCCTCGCCGAAGGCTCTACAGCCCCACCAAGCACACACGGCACACGCCCAGTAAGTGACAGTTTAGTTTATTTCAAACAATTCTGTATTACAGGCATCCACAAGGTGGACAGATGATCTCATATAGGTTGCAGATTTCAAGAGGCCTATTTGGTAATCATTGGGTTAACCCACGTTCAGTGGGCCGAGTGTGAGTTTATATCAAACACGCTCACTAGTGAGCGCTTTTAAAAAATGTATGAAAATTTTAGTTTTTGAGCGTTTCCCGCTAGGGGCGCTGTACAATCCGTCATTCATTTAATGTCATTTTTTGACGCGCTCACTTTGATGAAAACTCACACTCAGCCCTCAGTAGTAAATGTCCTGTGGCTGGAATTATGATGATGATAATTACAGACACATAGCCGAGTAGATTCTTTAGGAGTGAGAGACAGATCTGACACGACATTGAAGTCTCACGTCCGTTGACGTAGCAAAAACACACCCCTCTCATACTTGTCTACTACCGTAGGAACTATGTCTTTCCAGTATGTATTGGCTCCCTTTCAGGGCACTTAAATATAGATGACCCAAGCTGTACTGTCCCACCAAACTCAATGACCATCGTTCAACTATATAGTTTCCAACATGGCAAAAATCGGAACCAGCGATCCGGTATTGACGGTGGCGCCCCAATGTCAATGTCATGCATAGGACAGTTCAGTATTTTGGAACTATACGTCCCATTTTAGCTTGGTCCTGCCATGTGAAGAATTCACTCGTACTTCAAAAGAGTAGAATCTGAAAAGCAACCCTAACAACATATCCTTAAAGTTCAATTTCCTATCGCAGGCCGCACGCTAGACGGGCGCTCGCCGTCGCCCACCAAAGGCCACGGGCTGGTCAGCCCTGGATCTACTCATTCCACCTCCAGCGGGTTCTCATCGCGTAGATCTAGCCAGGAAGGATTCCATCTTGAAGGTATGTACTGTATTATGTTAACGCCCTTCAACGTACGAGTAATTGGCTCTTGCTTCGAATGTGGGTAAAATGTGGACATCAAATTTTTTGCACACAGATAAAGCCTGGTCCGTGAGCACGTAGAATTTTGTCCGATGACCCCAAGCTACCCATCCTTATCGCTCGCGCGTAATTATATTACTGTCGCGACTGTGCGACGGGCGCCCGCAGTGAGTGTGCGAGCGCGACAGCAACATAATTACGCGCGAGCGATAAGGATGGGTAGCTTGGGGACCTTGGGGTCATTGGACAAAATTCTACTTGCTCACGGACCAGGCTTTAACCTAAATCATATAATCAGTGTTAACTTATGTATCTGTAAATAATACCGTGTTCCTGTACCAATAGATTGACCAGACCATGTCTTGTAGGATAATGAATGCGCTAGATACTTTGATCAGTTTTTTTTTTGCCATATAAAATCATCCCAATCATCATCTTTTATTCCTAAACTGGCACTGGATAGCGACTCTAGATCACAAACATGCCGATTTTTGACGCTAACAATTCTTTAAACTATTTAAATTATTAGCATACAAGACCGAAATGGAAAACATTTAAAGATGTACTGCATATCGTAAAGATGTTTGTTGTTGACTAATGTGTTTCCTAGTGAGCACTTAAGTCGATTAGTGCTGTCACCGTTTCTACTGAGTTACATATTCAGACCTGTGTTCATAAAGTCCGTATTCAAACTGTTAATTTCTCCTACAGAGCTATCGCCAGTACAGCAACAGCTGGGCGAGATCAACAACCGCTACAGCCTGCTAGGCAGCCGCCTGGCCGACCGCGCTTCGGAACTCGACGCTCTGCGAGACGAGCTGCGCAAGCAACTCGACAGCTTGCGGGCACTCAACACCTTCTTGGACAAGGTACGACACTACACAGCAGGTGACGTCACGCAGCAACAGCAGGAGATCACTAGAGCTTGCTAGGCCTCTCATCCGCTTTGCAATGGAGGGAAGTCGAACCTTAATTTCGAACTCCTCCTATGTTCTTCTGATTAATTTCGTTGCGAGTCCAATGACAGTTTAACTTTCCCTCGGGTCAAACTTGACCTTCATTGGTTGGGTTTTTATGGCGGTCAAGCTGTAGATCCTGGCTACACAGGAGTTGCAGTGGTGGGAACGAGAGGAAGGAATAGTCCCGTTAGAGCCTGCTAGGCCACCTGGCCGACCACGCTTCGGAGCTCGACGCGCTGCGAGACNACAACAGCAGGAGATCACTAGAGCCTGCTAGGCCTGTCATCCGCTTTGCAATGGAGGAAAATCGAACCTTAATTTCGAACTCCTCCTATGTTCTTCTGATTAATTTCGTTGCGGGTGCAATGACAGTTTAACTTTCCCTCGGGACAAACTTGACCTTCATTGGTTGGGTTTTTATGGCGGTCAAGCTGTAGATCCTGGCTACACAGGAGTTGCAGTGGTGGGAACGAGAGGTGGGAATAGTCCCGTTAGAGCCTGCTAGGCCGCCTGGCCGACCGCGCTTCGTAGGTCGAAGCGCTGCGAGACGAGCTGCGCAAGCAACTCGACAGCTTGCGGGCACTCAACACCTTCCTCGACAAGGTACAGTAGTTGGCAGCAGCAGCACGGGACTATTCCCACCTCTCGATCCCACCTGCAACTCCTGTGTAGCCAGGATCTACAGCTGGACCGCCTATAAAAACACAACCAGTGAAGGTCCAGTTTGTCCGGTAACAACTTAAACTGTCATCGGACCCGCAACGAAATTAATCAGAAGAACTCAGGAGGAGTTCGAAGTCACCATTAGATTAATGGTCAGCTGAGCACGACCTAACTGAAAATACATTGGATGAATTCCGAGCCTAAAGCTAGCCGCATGGTTCCAGTAGGGAGTACCATAGGATCACGCCCTTTTTCTCTCAAAAAAGAAAAAATATCTAATATCAAGCCTCCCCAACCCATCTGGACAGTTTAAGCAGTGCAAACCAGACGTTGTTTCTACAGTAAAGTGATTGGAAAGAAAGGTCTTTTTCAGATATAGCGATAATCGCGCAGTTACAATTTGATGTATAATGTACGAGAACTGTCCAGCCAAGTACATTATACATCAAAATGTAACTATCAAATGGTTACTGTCTCAGTGCATCGCCTATGAGAACCATCCCGAAACTGAGCGATAACCAGTTGTGAAATATTAGTTTTTATATCCCTTTGGCCTTTGGTGCTCTTGACATTTCACTTGTCCATTACAACAAGGTTAAAACTATCCCTAAAGATACATTTTTAAGTAAATGATATTTCCACAGGTCCAAAGGCAGCTGCCCAAGGAATCCGTGCCCAACACGAAGGAAGAGGCAGACAAGACCATCAAGCAGGCGCGCGCCGTGCTCGAGGAGATGTATGAGAAACAGAGCATCCTCGACTCCACCAAGACCCACGTATGTATTGCCTACTCAATCTAGTATTAGAGGCCGGTCGATCTATTCTCTTAAATAAAACACTGGATACTCATCTTTCACATTATATTGCCTTATCGATAGTGGAAGTATCAATTAATGTAAGGGACATTTTGGCCAAAATGAGTTATATATACCAACGCATTCAGAATTTTCGGCTCTATCGATTGGTATACTTGAAATGTTGATATCTTTAAAAAAATGTCCCTTACCTTAAACATTTTTAGTCGTCTGAATACGACTTTTGGGGAAACAAATGATTTAAAGGACGTAAATTCCTTTTAATAATACAATTCAGCCCTTACCCTAAACTGTTGGTTTTAACTTTTGAACTCATTGAACCTTACTTCATTTAAAACTTTTTGATTTATTATAATTAGGCCCTTACGTTAATATGCATATAGGATATCAATTACTTTTTTTGGTGGTGATATGCATTTAATGCCTCCCACTCCTACTACACTTATGAACACTAAGTTGTCTTGTTTCTATCTTTTTTCTGTTCATTTTTAAGCAGTTGGGTTTTTGACCGAGGGGCTGAAGGCTCTTCAGAAGCTGTTCAATTCCGTCATCAACTGGTTTAAATAAATTAAATGAAACCATCAATCGAGCAAGTAGGATTTTATTATTATTCATCAATAATCAAATTCTGAACTTGAATATTCAACTACAATGTCTGCTCATGAACGCTTCAAACTCGGTACTTCTTTCCCAATTCCATAAAATTCAATACTTACAAAGTGACAAAAAACTTTAAAATAGGTAGTTGAAACAAACCACAGCTAATTTTCATAGTTGACTGTACTATACGATAAACATGTCAGTCAATTTGACAACCTTTGTCAGAAACATTATTCAATGAAAATATTGTCCGAACCCTTAGTATTTCTCTTCGACAAATACTTTAACACATTGTGAACCACTTTTCTTTCACGGCTATTAAAAGATTTTAGCAATTTAATTCACAAAATCAATTGCGCACATTTAAAATAAAGTTTGTTTACACTGTGACAGCAATAGACTGACATACAACGTGACATGTCAATGAAGTTTTCAGTTACTGTTGCCATTAAAAGAAATTAGTACCATTAATTTTCCGCAACATGGCGAGGGTTTTTATGTTCCTGGTCAGGCTATAACACTAGTTTAAGACTAGGCTAAAAACTTAAGAAAGAAGACTTAAGGCCCGTTTTCACCATCAATCCCTTAATTTTTAAATGACCCTGAAATGATGAAAACAAAATGCCTATTATGTGTAACTATAGGGATTACTTAAAAATTAGGGATTGATGGTGAAAACGGGGATAAGGCTTCCCAAATTGAGCGTCGCGGCGCTAAGGGCGTTGCGAGTGACTCGTGAAACTAACGAAAATAAATGTAGAGAAAGAGATAAGAGTCGCAAAAAATGGCAAATTCCCAAGGAGGTTTGGAAAGGTTTGAACCAGGCTATATCCCTATATTCAGATACAACCGTGGGGGCACAAAGTGAAAATTAAGTGTTTGACAGTCACTATTATGGTCAACGCACCTTTACCAGGCTTAAATTAAAGTTCAAAAGCCTTATTATTTGTTAATCGACTTAGTGGGAAAGGTGTGTTTTTATTACGTCAAATGCCGCAAACTTCAAATACATGACAGCACTGTTACGTTGCACGCATGTCACCTACCCTGCACCATTCGATTACCACAGAAACCTATTTCCATTCATGGATGGATCCATTTATGCGCTACAGCTGCAGTAAGCTCCGTTCTCTTCTAAAAGTATCAGTAACTACGTAAATAAGAATCAATTTTCCTTACCGTTTCCTATTTCCTTTAGGTCCGCGAACTTCTGAAGCGCAAGCAGGGCGTGCAGGGCGCCGACCGCCTCCACGACGAGATGGAAGATGTGTCTTCCAGGTGGAAGGCTCTCCACGACGCTTTCAAGGACAAGTAAGTTCTGTTGGTTGTTGTTTAGAAGCTCACACTTCAAAAAAGCATTTTAGGACATAATGTAAATCTACAGCATTGGTTCCCAAACTTATTTGAGACGCGCCCCCTTTCGACCATACAAAAATTTCCGCGGCCCCCCTCCTCCTGTCAAGATTATTTATTTAATGGTCGTATCGCGCAGTCTGGAATGCATTCTCTCAGCGGTCGCAGATTTTTTATACTTAAGTACACAGATGGCCCGCGCCCCCCTTTAAAAGTATTTGCGCGCCCCCCACTTTGGGAACCAATGATCTACAGTCAAACAACAGAGGAGACTTTGTTGCAAAATCGAACGTATTTTAACCACATTAAGGCTGCGTTACCACCAGAGATGTGCGAGGATGCGTAGCGATGGATCTGTAAAGAACCAATAGTATCACTTCATTTACCGAGGCGAGGTAATGTTCAGTTTGAAGCGTTGTCGTGTACAGTCTATTCATTGAACATTGTAAATTAAAAATAATTGGATTTCATTTGAAAAAAATATCAGAAAAAAAGATATCATCGACAATGGTAAAAATTAAAATGACCATAGATTGTCAATAACGCTGCAAATATGCAACCATAAACAATAGTAAAATAACCAATACATCGACATGATTTGTACATTGCATGGTCTTAAATTCTTCAACAATTTCTTTACCAATCATTACCCTTTTTATTAATACACTGTATTCTGTCCAGGATCCGCCTAATGGAAGAAGTAAAGGACTTCCACGACACTCACAGCAACTTGACCCAATGGTTAGGCGCCAAGGACCGTATGATGGCTGCCCTCGGACCCATCTCATCAGACTCCAGAATGGTGCAGACTCAAGTGCAACAGGTAAGCACTAAAGAAAAAGGCAGTATGGGTCTCAAAACTTCTTATGGGCTAAGGCCCATTTCTCAAAGTCATCCAGAGGGCGATAGAGCGCCAAACAAAGTGGCAGTGGGTGGGGCACAACATAGCTCGTAGAACTGATGGCCGTTTGGACAGAAAAGTTCTCGAGTGGCGACTACGGGATAGGCCCACTAGGTGGACCGACGCTCTGGTGAAGATCACGGAATGTAGGTACCTAGATGCGGGCAGAGCGCAGGACCGGTCGTTGTGAAAATCCTTACGGAAGGCTTTTGTCCAGCAAGGGATGTCATTTGGGCTGGAACGAACGAACAGTCTTCTTATAAAGATCGAATAAGCTTTTAATAGGGTTTTCAAGTATGTGATAATTTAATTATTATCCTGGATAATTAGGTAATTGATAATTATTACATAACTTCCTTTAGACCTACATAAAACTAATCAACAATCTCTCCTACAGGTGCAAGTCCTCCGCGAAGAATTCCGTGTCCAACAACCTCAGCTGTCCCACCTGGATGACGTGGCAGCAGCAGTATTACAACGCCTGGAACCGCGATCAGCTGACGCCAACAAGACGGCCCAGAAACGGCAGGAGATCCACGACAGATGGGACGACCTGCTTGGAAGGTAAGCGAGAGAACAGTACTTAGTACGACTTGACTCGACACACGAATAGCGGCTTGACACACGACTAACAGCTTAACTCGTCACATAATAGACCAGGACGAAGCAGGGACACAAAAGATGGGGTCGATTTGCTAGGCAGGTAAGAGAGAGGATGCCACTTAGTAGGTCGACTTAGAGACGGTTTGGTGCAACTAACTGTCCCACCTGGATGACGTGGCAGCCGCAGTATTACAGCGCTTGGAGCCGCGATCAGCTGACGCCAACAAGACGGCCCAGAAACGGCAGGAGATCCACGACAGATGGGATGACCTGCTTGGAAGGTAAGCGAGAGAACAGTACTTAGTACGACTTGACTCGACACACGAATAGCGGCTTGACACACGACTAACAGCTTAACTCGTCACATAATAGACCAGGACGAAGCAGGGACACAAAAGATGGGGTCGATTTGCTAGGCAGGTAAGAGAGAAGATGCCACTTAGTAGGTCAACTTAGAGACGGTTTGGTGCAACCAACTGTCCCACCTGGATGACGTGGCAGCAGCAGTATTACAGCGCTTGGAACCGCGCTCAGCTGACGCCAACAAGACGGCCCAGAAACGGCAGGAGATCCACGACAGATGGGACGACCTGCTAGGAAGGTAAGAGAAAAAACACTACTTAGTACGACTTGACTCGACACACGAATAGCGGCTTGACACACGACTAACAGCTTAACTCGTCACATAATAGACCAAGACGAAGCAGGGACACAAAAGATGGGGTCGATTTGCTAGGCAGGTAAGAGAGAGGATGCCACTTAGTAGGTTAACTTAGAGACTATTTGGTGCAACCAACTGTCCCACCTGGATGACGTGGCGGTCGCAGTATTACAGCGCTTGGAACCGCGATCAGCTGACGCCAACAAGACGGCCCAGAAACGGCAGGAGATCCACGACAGATGGGACGACCTGCTAGGAAGATAAGAGAAAAAACACTACTTAGTACGACTTGACTCGACATACGACTCGTAGTAGACCAGCCTGAAGGGACATTACTTAGGTTCACGACAGATATACGAAACCACTTCCCGCCTGTTAAGAATAAACCCCTATAATCTCGAAGAAATTACCAGTAAAGAAGACAACAAAAAGCTTTAAAGTCTACGTATCATACATTGTTAGCAGTCTAAAAGATTTTAACAAAACTTAAACAATCATACAGTTATAATATCAATCTCTGCTTTGCAATTGGAGTACTCCACTAGCTCCAATTGCAAGTGCATTCCAATAGCACTTACTTACAAAAAAAAAGACCTGCTCGGCAGGTAAGGCACTGGTTGATCATGTTTGGGTACTCGTCACATGGTTTCACTCGTCACATCGTTTAATTTGACAGGCAACTTAAATCTTAACCCGAATTTACTTGTCACACGAGTAAACTGTAACTTCTTTTTCTTCTTCTGCCTCGCTTTTCCCAATCATGCGCCGCCATTTGATGGTAAACTGTGACTCAACTTTACAAATGAATTACGTGGCTTTAATCGTCACACGAATCGTCAAATACAAATCTCGTTAGAACTCGTTGCATCTGACCTCGATACTCGATGTTTTTAGACGCTTGGGTTAACTTGTCACCCAGTAAAACCTGATTCGACGATGTTTATGACTTGGAGTAAGTTAGTAGTACATAATATGATATATCTCGCCGCTTTTTACAACTTTACGACTTCAGAGCATTATAAGAAAGCTCTCTTTAGGCCCAGAACAGACGGCGAAACGCAACTGCAACGAAACTGCAACTGCTAGTTACTTTTGAGTTGCAACTAAGTTTCTGCCATGGCGTCCGTTGAAAGACCACACATGACGCGACCAGTTTCAGTTTCATTCATCAGAATCATCACAAAGTTGCAGTTTCGTTGCAGTTGCGTATCACCGTCTGTTCTGGGCCTTAGCTAAGCCTAAGGAATGGAACTGGTGAGGAAAAGAATCTTTTCTAAAATATATTAAATCTCTAATAAGACCAAGGATATTAACATATCTATTTATTTCCTTCAGACTGGAAGCCCGCGGCGAGAGCTTAGGAGCGGCGGCGGACACGTCTCGCGAGTTCGACGCCGGGCTTGCTCGCCTTAGGGATGCACTACACACCATCGCCGACAACTTGGACAGACTGTCGCTGGACAACGAGCCGGAGGAGCAGTTGAGGAAGATCGAGGTAAGCTTTAATATTCTGTTGTGTTAATGTATGTAAGTTAATATTTATATTAACCGGCAGACAGTGGTGACTGAGTTTGTTGCGGCGCTTCTTCTCAGCACTTGCCAAATGTTGGTCTCGAAGCGCTGGTAGGGTAAAAAGATTATGAGACATGTAGAGGCTCCTTAAGAGCAAAATGACGATTTGTAAGAACTATTTATTAGTCTAAACAAATAAAGAAATTTTGACTTTGACTTTGAATGCCACAGTTTTTTTTACGATGACTTCATGCGGTTTGCACATTCAGCCAGTGATAGGTAAAATGTGACCTGATATCATTTAATTCAAGGTTGCTTAAATTGTGGCTTCGTGCAGCTTGCACATTTAGCCAGTGTCAATTAAGTGAATAAGCAAAAACTTTTATGTAGACTACGTTGAAGTAAACAGTTATTAACCTATTTTACGCGAAGTAAACATTTATTTAACTTATTTAACGCTAATGACTTCAACTTATACTATTAAACAAGATATCTGCTTTTGGACAAGTCACAGTGCGGGCGTCTACAACTTCAATATTTGACTTGATCGTAATCTAACAACAAGTTATTTCTTAGAAACTTTGCATTTATATCATGAGATCAAACTCTTGATTGAAGGTTTGACTTTGAGTTTGCTCGTACCCTTATGCATTTTTGTGAGTTAGACCTTATGAACTACTAGTAGTATACATTACTATACGTAGATCATTTTATATCACCTCGTCTTATTTTTTGGGGTTCTGGCGGTATTACCCTAATATGCATCCAGGTGCTTTCCGCGACTTTCACTAGCTCAGCATTTATTTATTTATTCTAGAACCTGGAGCGCCAACTAGAAGGCCAGCGGCCATTGCTAGCGGACTTGGAAGCGGCCGGCGCTGCGTTAGGCGCGGTGTTGGCCGACGCGGCCGCTCGCCAGGACATACAGGCCAAACTGGCCGCCGTGGCTAGGCAATACGACAACCTGCAAAGGAAACTGGACCATAGGAAGGCGGAGATTGAAGGCGCTTTGAAGTGAGTACATTGGCAGTGCTTTTTTTTAATCCACAACGTGGCCTGTATCTCACCTGATGGTAAGTGACGATCAGGCCGAAGGTGGAAGCGAGCTTCACCCGGAATCCTCAACCACGGAGGAACTGGCTATCTTACCTCTAACTGCCGGAACACAACAATGCTGTTAACATTATTGTTATGGCGACAGACTTAGGTAAGATGGTGGTAGCTGGCCAGGCGGACTTAGAATAAGCCCTACCACCAACCAAACCGAGCAGAAAAATCTGCCCCCATTGGGGATCGAACTCAGGACCTCTGTGTCTGAAGCAGGTGGTCTTACCACTAGACCACAGAGGCGGTTAAATGTGTCTTATAGGTTTGTAACAAATGAAAATTATCTTGTCGTATGGGTATGAGGCCACACCTTAGCGTCGTGTTCTCGACCCATTAGGATCTTTTATGCTTCCCCTTTCCGTATACCATCTACAAAGTCTGTCACAACTAATATTATAACCCTGGCAGATATAACTAGCTCTCATGAGTAATGTAATAGACTTTCAACGTCATTCCATATTAAAATATCGGCTATTATGAAAATACCTATTACGTTTAAGTTTTAATCATCAATCAAGAAAATATCCCATGTTATTGACCCCATTTGACATTGGGTAGTAAACATAAATCCAAGTGTGGGCAGTTCATAAAAATGCTTGCTTGAATTTAGATCGGGTTTCATTGCAAATAATAGTTTAAATTTCATTAAGGCCATAGCAGATTGACTTTCAGCAGTTCAATTTACCTCTCACTATTTTCCCGTTAGCGTACTCTGATTGCGTTAAAACAAATCACTCACGAACATATCCGTTTCCAGGGAAGGCCGCAACCTCGAAGAGAATGTCGCCAAGACCCTCGGCTGGCTGCAAGCTGAGCTGGGCGCGCTACCCGCTCGTTTACACGTGTCAGCCGACGCAGTGCGCTTGCAGCAACAACTGGACACGCACACGCCGCTGTATAGAGACCTCAATCAGAGGGAGCATGAGCTCATCATGCTTCTAGACAAAGGTAAGTTAATAATATTGTAGTCCCTATGATCATTACAGCCAAACACTCGACATTGACTAAACCAGTGTGTTTCATATACGTAGTATTGAGGACATTATAAAATTCGCGCGCGTGTACTACGTTATCTACATATTTTACGGAACCCTATTTTTTTCCTAATAAAATTTAGCCTATGTTACTCGTGGATAATGTAGCTTTCGAATGGTGAAAGAATTTTTAAAAACGGTCCAGTAGTTTTGAGTTTATTCATTACAACCAAACAAACAAACAAATAAAGTTTTCCTCTTTATAATATTAGTGTAGATAATAAAGACGTCCACTGCTAGACAAACCCTCCCCCAAAGTCCTACATTGCCAGCATCGAAGAGCTTCATGCTACTTTCACCAAATCATCGGCGTTCCACGGACTCTTCATCGTTTTCACTGTATAACAAACAGTCCACTCACTACTGAAGATAAATCTCTTCCAATACGGACCATTTCACCCTGTCTTCGGCTTTTAGATTCTACCATCGACAGGAATCTCACAAAATTCATGGATAAATTGTGTAAATCACAAACCCGACAATTATTGATTGTTGAAATATTTACAAAATTTATTGATCTTGTGTTTAGGTCGTGAAATGGAGAAGAAGCCAGCATACCAAGGCCTCCGCAAGGACCTCGATAGAGTCCAGGCACAATGGGACAAACTCAAGCGGGAGATCGTCGACCGCTACACCCGGCTGCAGACCGCTATGGTATGTATTGATCGGTATACATATTTATCTGGGGGCACGGCAGTGCCCCCACCAAGTCGAGCACGGCCGTACCATCCTTTTCTCGAAGCAATTCAGGCCATTTTCGACCGCCTGTAACTTCGTTGTGGATAAAACTAGAAGGCTGAATTTTCATTAGCTATGCAGGCATTGTAAAGACACGGTATATTTAAAATTTCATTCAATTTGAACCAGTAGTTTAAGAATTATAACGGGTCAAAGTTACTTAATTTTGTCACTCACTGACTCACTGACTCACTGACTCACTGACTGACTCACCGATCATCAAAATTCTAAGGCACTTCTAGCAGACCTAGAAGCTTCAAATTTGGAATATGAGTAGTGTTTGGTGTATGAATCAAGGAAAAACTAAAATATTTGGGGGCACGGTAGTGCAACCGCCAAGTCGAGTAAAATTTTTCAATTTCGGTCCAGTTTTCTAGATACATAACTGCTGTCTACAAAATACAAAAAGAAATGAGATCCCATCAAAAACAATACTTGTCAAAAAAACCAAGTCTCGCAACTCAGTTGTTCTACGGTAAAAAGTTGTGAGATCCATGTAATACCAAGTCCAGGCCAGGAAATCTTTAACGTTTTACATAAATATATTGACTTGGCCATCGCATGAAAACACGTGTAAATTAAATTATTTAGTGCGATGGCCAAGTCAATAATTTATGTAAAACGTTAAAGATTTCCTGGCCTGGACTTGGTATTACATGGATCTCACAACTTTTTACCGTAGAACAACTGAGTTGCGAGACTTGGTTTTTTTGACAAGTATTGTTTTTGATGGGATAAATGTTTTAAAAAGTGTCTCAAAATACATATTTTAATTATAAAGGACCACCTTTAAAAGGACATGGATCTTAGGTCCATGGGTTTAATGTAAAAACCAGCCTAAGTAATTAATTAGCAATGTTCATGTATTGCACAATAAGCATAAGTTTACAAGTTTTTCAAAGTTGCAAAATTGAACTTTTCCACACAACATCAAAAAAACAATTTCTACTTTATTTCAAAGACCTATCAACCTTCACTACTAGCAAACTACTATTTATTTATCTCTCCTACCAGGAACACTGCCGCAAGTACAGCAAGGCGCAAGAGTCCTTCATACCATGGCTTTCTGACGCCGAAGAGCGCCTGGCCAAGTTACCGCCCGTCGCCTTTACAAGGAAAGAGGCCGAAAGACAGCTGCGAGACCTGCAGCAGATCAGAAACGACATCTGGAAGAGGTCAGTTGATACAGAAAACAATGACAGTTAACTTTCCCCCGGAACAAACTTGACCTTCACTGGTTGCGTCTTTATTGGTGGTCAAGCTGCAATCCTGTCTAAAGCCCGGTCGCCGAGCACGTAGAATTTCGTCCAATGACCACAAGCTACCCATCCTTATCGCTCGCCCGTAATTATGTTGCTATCGCGCATACTCACTGCGGCCGCCCGTCGCACAGTCGATAACGTGCGAGCGATAAAGATGGGTAGCTTGGGGTCATTGGACGAAATTCTACGTGCTCGGAGACCGGACTATACACATTGGACTCCTGCGCCTTGCTGATATCAATACGAGACTATTCCCAGTCTCGTATTGATACAACAAGGCGCAGGAGTCCTTCGTCGTTATGTTTTAACTCACAAGGACATCATAAGCAGCAAAGTGCGCACCAGCTGATCCGAATGTCTGTAAATTTTTTTTAAAGATGAATATTAGTAATTTGAATTGCACAAATTACTAATAGTCCCGTTACCCCCCGTAATAAGCTAAATATGCTTGTATTACGAGAGAGTTCATGATAAATAGTCGAATCGATCGGAACGTAACTCGAACCAGCGTACCTCGGATCTCGAGTTTCTACTTTATTTACAAACGAAAACTTTCCTTATTCCTATCCTTCGAAGCCACAGGATTTGTTACTTTCAACAATATCGTGTATTGTTATGAACAAGGAGCTGAGCCGGATGTCCTTGTCACCTTGTTTTTAACACTATGATATGTATTTTTACCTTATTTTCTATTTGGTGACCATAAAAGTTTATTTATTTGTTCTGTCCAGGTCCGGCGAATACGAGAACAACAAGACCCTCGGCGAGACATTCATCTCATCGTGTGACGTTGACCAGGAGGTCGTGCGCAAGCAGCTTGATTCCATGAAGGACCGTTGGGACCGGCTTAACAACGGTTGGTTGACTATATTGTGTTTGTGCTTTAAAGGAATATTTTCAGGAAGATTTTGTTACAAGAGCTTTTTATTATCTATACTTCTACAGTCACGGAAGTGAATTGAAGCTTAAAAGGATCTTTTATATCCTACTAGCTGACCCGGCGAACTTCGTACCGTCTTAGCGTAGAGATTTTATTTATATTTTTTTCCGTAAAAACCTTGTACAGAGTTAGAAAACTACAAAAAAAATCTGCCAAATCGGTCAAGCCGTTTTCATGTTATGTCGTGACAACGGAAAACGGGTCATTTCATTTATTCATTTTTATATATATACATTGCTGGAAAAAAACTCATCCAAACTGCACTGTTGTCACGCAAGCCCGATGGAGATGGTAGAGGGAAAAACTATAATATTATGTTGTATATTTTTTGCAATGAGAAGCCGATTGTACGTACGAGTACGATGCTGTCTGAACATCTTACACCCGTATTCACAAACGATGCTTGCTTTTGTGAAGGAGCAAATCGAACGCACAGCGTTGGATAGAGCTCTGTGATTGGTTCGTGTGTGTCCACGCGCACTGTGAGACCTCATAGTAATGTTTGTGAATACGGGCGTGAGGCTTTTCTTACATAATTTTCACTACATGTGATTTCACCACCACATTCAGACACTCAATCTAATTTTCTTCACAATTTTTCTTACATACACCTCACTTGGTGATTCACCATAAACCTTTTCTAATGCCAAATAAATTCAACAGAGGTTCTCCAACAAGTGGAATTCCTCGAGACCACCGCTCGCAAGCTCGGCGAATTCGGCGAGAAAGTTCGCGCGGTTGAAACTCCACTACAACGATGCGAGGAGCGCCTTGGAGACGCCTTGGCCGCCCCGCCCGCTGTCGCTGCAGAGGCTGTGGCGCGTTTGTCTGACCAGATACACGCGCTAAAGGCACCACTACAGGTAACTAGAATTAAGTTCAGATTGCTTTATTATACTTCCCAAGGCCATAAATAGAGGTAAACTGGAAAGATCGCGCTATATTTGTATGTGGTATTCAGTGAAGCTTTTAGCCCGTTGCGCAGTGACATATTATCATGTTTTATGGCAAAACAAAATGGTAATAGCTCGGCAATACTAAAGCCCGGTCTGTGAGCACGTAGAATTTTGTCCAATGACCCCAAGTTACCCTAAAATTCTACGTGCTCGCAGTCCAGACTATAGTCAATAGCGCTATGTTATGTATACTCGTACGTATGCATTTTCGACAAGATATTGTTTGTGAACACTGACCCCTCACGATTGTTAGTCGAGACAAATTGTTAGTTTTCGTATGCCTCGGATCTCGACTCAGCTAGTTCTACACCCATTACATTGCGCTATTGTCTTTTAATTTTGTCATAGCAAATATTAATCCCTCTATCTCCTTCCAGAGCGTGGAAGTAGCAGCGGACGACATCGTCCGTCTCGCTCTCGAGTGCAATGGGCCCGACGCGGCGGCGCGCGCTCGTGACGTGTTGCAAGAACACGCGGCGGCGCTGCACGACCGGCTCAATGACCTCGAGCAGAGAGCTGATGAGGCTAAAGGAAGATTGGCAGGCGCTGCAGCGGCTGTTACACAATTCCAAGTAAGTTAACGGTTTAACAGGGCAAGTTACTTAGCCGCTTGATAGCGCTGGAGCGCGCTCGTGACGTGTTGCAAGAACACGCGGCGGCGCTGCACGACCGGCTCAATGACCTCGAACAGAGAGCTGATGAAGCTAAGGGAAGATTGGCGGCTGTGACGCAGTTCCAGGTGAGATGACAGTTTGACAGGACATTATATAGCACTTCCAGGTGAGATGAGAGTTTGACAGAGCAATCATACTGCCCTAAGTTTCTTGAATGCTCTCACGACTGGATGAATTACCTCGAGCAGCTGCAGAGGCTGTTACACAGTTCTAGGTAAGTTTTTTATCCACAACGAGGAAGCTTTTGAAGGAAAGTAATGGTCAGGTTGAAGGTGGAAGCTCGCTTCATCCGGAATCCTCAACGATGAGGACAGGGGAAGGTTGACTGGCGCTGCAGCGGCTTTAACCAGTTCCAGGTGAGTGGACAGTTTGACAGGACCATCATAACACACTAGCCTCTAGATGGCTCTCGAATGCAGTGGGCTGGACACTTTAGCACGCGCTTGTGACGTGTTGCAAGAACACGCGGCGGCGCTGCACGACCGGCTGAATGACCTCGAACAGAGAGCTGATGAAGCTAAAGGAAGATTGGCAGGCGCTGCAGCCGCTGTCACCCAGTTCCAAGTAAGTTTACGGTTTAACAGGGCAAGCTACATAGCCGCTTGATAGCGCTGGAGCGCACGCGACGTGTTGCAAGAACACGCGGCGGCGCTGCACGACCGGCTCAATGACCTCGAGCAGAGAGCTGATGAAACTAAAGGAAGATTGGCAGGCGCTGCAGCGGCTGTTACTCAGTTCCAGGTAAGTTATGCCGGTTTACAGGGCGATTACAGACAGCGCTTTAGCCGCTTGACAGCGCTGGAATGCAGCAACTGGCCTTAGAGCGGATGGTACGGTGAAAAGTGCTGGGAGCGACGACAGCGCCGCGTTAAGGCGATCCCACACTTGGCCTTTCAACGCGCACGACACTCGTTTTCATTTTTATTGTTGAGGTTTAATTTCTTCGATGTTTGCGAGTACATTATAATACTTATAATACGGTCCACTTTTATTTTACTCAATACCTAAGGCTCAAACATTGATCCGGCTCGAAGGACCAAAATGTTTAAGTTTGATATTTTTCTTTAAATATTTTAAAAGTTTACCATTACAAAATTGTTTTTGTTGCTAAAAATCCCGTGACAGTGATAATTTTATTGTTTTTTCTACTTCATTTCCTGGAGTTAATTTCTTCATCCATCAACTAAAACAATAACACCCTATTCTACCCCACAGGACAAAGTCAAGAACCTGTCCCACGACTTAACCGACTTAGAAAAGGAGCTAGACTCCATGAAACCTCCGGGCCGTGACGTCAAGACTGTCAAGCAGCAGCTGGATGACATCGGCCGCTTCTACAAGAGACTGGAGAAAGCTGACGACCTTATTGGAGACACTGAAAGGGCCGCAGAGAGCCTGGTGGATAGCGGATACGCTGTGGACTCGTCGAAGACTAGGGACCAGGTATGTATTTTTTAATCATCATCATTTCTGACAATAGTGACTGAGTTTTTTGCGCTGCTTCTTCTCAGCACTGGCCCATTTATTGTCCCGAAGCAGTGCTAGGGTTAATATTGGGACGTGTAAAAGTGATTTTTAAAAGCCTATTTGCAAAAATATATGAGTTTTAAGAGTTTTTTTTAAGTTTTTCAGCTATAGGACGTCCACTGCTGAACATAGGCCTCCCCCAATGACTTCCATTTTGACCGGTTCTTTAATGGTTAGGATATAAGACACATAGTGCATTTGAAAGGAGTTGGAAGTGTTTTAATTGAATCAATGTCGATTTTTATAAAGATTTCATCTATTGGAGGCTGTTCATAATAACTTGTGAGAGAGTATTTAATTAAAAATCAACCATTCAATACCCAGTTGTACGGGTTATTACGTTAATATTATTTTTGACATTTAATCCGCTATTTTTCCCCGTGTTTGAGAGCCTTTTTTATGTTTTATAGAATTTACATGTCTGACCATTATTCCATAGACAAAACTGTACATAACCTTGCTTATATGGTATTTAACTTGTTACAGACATCAAATTACATAGACAAACTGTACCATAACCTCATTTATTTCTCTCAGGTGGAAGGCCTGCGCAAACAGCTAGGCAAGCTCGACGAGCGCGCGCGCTCCAAGGAGCAAGAATTAGACGACACCCTAAGCAAGTTGGAAGCCTTCTACAAGGCTTACGACTCTGTTATGGATGACGTGCAGGAGGTAAGTTGACATTTAATTTTACTGAATGACAGATTTATTAACGACAATAATATGATAGGCAATCCAGCGCAGATAAGTTGGAAAACTGCTAGAAGAACGACAGAAAAAATCCAAGATATAAATAACTATTTGAAAAGGTCTTCAAACTTATTGTGTTCTGCCATCTTTATGTAATTTTTTTAGCTTATCGTATTTTGTATGAAATTCTTATCTTATCTTATCTTATTTTTGGGCCGCGCATGGGCGCAGTGCACGTCGACCCATTGGGATCTTTTGTGCTTCCCTATACCTTTATCCCCCCTCATCCACAAAGATCCTATCCATATAGTGGATCAAGTGCTTGGGTGAGAAGGACCTATATTCTTCTGGCGTCGGATAAGCCGACCCCAGGAGACCCATTCTAGTTCTAGCTAGCGCGTCACATTCGCAGAGTAGGTGTTTCATGGACTCCGCATGTTCTCCACATGCTCGACAGCTGTCATCCGTAGTTAGGCCCATTTTGTGGAGCATGTGGTTTGTAGTGTAGTGTCCTGTTAGCGCACCCGTGATCACTCGGGCTTGCCTTCTGTTTCCATTGAGTATGAGCTTTTCCCATGATCTTGTGTTTCCAACTAGGAATAGTTTGGAGTGGCTCATGCCGTTGGAGCTTTCCCATTCAGCTCTGTGCTTCCTGGATGTATATTGCCTCATGGCCATGTGTACAGTGCTTATAGATAAGGGCACTATCGGCTCTGGCCCAATAGGTGCCGCCTCTGACCCTTGTCTCGCTAGACTGTCGGCTCTCTCATTGCCTTCGATTCCAGTATGTCCAGGTACCCACATGAGGGTCACCCTGTTGTGCCTTCCAAGTTTATTCAGTGCCAAGATTGCCTCCAAAACGAGTCTGGATCCAACCCTCACTGAGGCAATGGCTTTGAGTGCTGCCTGACTGTCACTTAATATGTAAATGTCACGCTTTTTATGCGCCTGTTCTATATTCCTTACTGCGCACATGATTATAGCATAGGTTTCAGCTTGAAACACTGTTGCAAACCTCCCTAAGCTTTCACTGTGCTCAGATTGTTTGGAGTAGACGCCCGCTCCTGTTCCTGAGTTCATCTTGGAGCCATCAGTATACCAGATCAGGCTGTCTTGTTGACGTTTTGGTCCTCTTTTCCAGTCTTCCCTTGTTGGTATAGACACTTTAAAATCCTTGCTAAACATGTACCTAGGCTGCATTGTATCACAACCCATGTCCATTATTGCATCTAATTGAGGATCACTCCCCATCCTTGTGTGCTTGGTGCAAGGTTTGGATGTACTCCAAAGTCCCGCCCCCTTCAGTCTGTGCAGCGCCTTCCTTGCATCTACTTCTAGCGCCAAGTGCAGTGGGGGCAATCCCAGAATAATCTCCAATGCTGCAGTTGGCGTAGTTCTAAACGCACTCGTTATTGCTAGGCATGCAGTTCTTTGCAATTTGCCCAGTGCCGTTCTGCACGTCTGTAACCTAATTCTAGGCCACCAGACAATGCTGCCATAAAGTATTATTGGTCTCACCATAGTTATATAGATCCACCTCATCACTCTGGGACTAAGTCCCCATGTCTTCCCGTATGCACCACGACACATTCCCAGCACTCTCATAGCCTTAGCTATGACCGTATCTTGGTGTTTACGCCATGTAAGTTCCTTATCTAGGATTACCCCTAGATATTTCACTTCATTGGTCCAGGTTATCTGCTTACCATAAAGGTAGAGATGTCCTAGCCCTGTTGTATTTCTCATTTTTGTAAATGCAATAGCATTCGTTTTTCCCGGATTCACCGAGAGGTGGTTTTTGTCACACCACTCTTCCAGTGTGTTGAGGGCTCTTTGCATGATGTCTGTCACAATAGTTGGGAACTTGCCCCTTACCATAATTACCAAATCATCTGCATATCCAACCGTGTAGAGTGGTCCTTTGTTAAGTTTCACAAGTAGTGAGTCCACGACCAGGCTCCATAGCAAGGGTGAGAGTACCCCCCCTTGCGGGCAGCCCTTGACAGTCCTTACACTCATGCACTCTCCTTGCAGTTCTGATTGAATAATCCTGCCTTTAAGCATACAGTCTATCCACCGGCATAGAGGTAGTGGTACCCCGTGGTCAGAAGCAGCAGCTCCTATAGAGACGAAGGTAGTGCGGTCAAATGCCCCCTCTATGTCGACAAATGTCCCAACAGTAACCTCCCTACTCTCAAGAGCCGCCTCCGCCCTGCCGGTTACATAGTGTAGCGCAGTTTCTGTAGATTTCCCTGCCTGGTATGCACATTGTAGCTCATGTAGAGGAAATCTTTTTAGTGGTCCTTGTCTTATGTACTTATCTACAAGTTTTTCAAGCGATTTGAGAAGAAAAGATTGTAGACTTATTGGCCTATATGCCTTAGGGTCGTTGTAATCCGGTCTACCTGGTTTAGGTATAAAGATCACTTTGACTTCTCTCCATACCTTAGGTATGTATCCAAATGCTATGCAGGCTTTGTATAACCTGCATAGATGAGGATTCAGAATGGAGATTCCTTGCTGCAAGAGAATTGGGTAGATCGAATCTGGGCCTGGTGCCTTGTATGGTTCAAAGCTCCCGATTGCCCATCTCACCTTAGTCTCATCCACTACTCTTTTAGCCGTAACCCAGTCGAGCTTGTTTGTTGTTCTATTTTGTTCCTCCACGCTGATTGGATCTTGATCATCGTTTAGGACCTGTGATTCAGGAAAGTGCGTTGCTATCATTGTTTTCAACGTATCTTTGCCTGCTTCCGTATATCCCCCCCTCTCACTCCATACTGTAGTGAGTGGGTTCGCTTTGGTTGTTGACATGGCCTTTGTTAGTCTCATGCCCTCGGGAACTGAGTTGATCATCTCACAATGATCCCTCCATGCCTTCCTCTTTGCCTTTCGCACCGCTTTGCTATACTCCGTCAGTGCTCTTCTATACTCTGTAAAGTCATTCCTAGCTCTTGCTATATTGAATGCCTTTCTTGTCTCCCTTCGTAATAGGGCTATTTCCTTGGTCCACCATGGAAGTTTCTTCGATCCCGCCTCGCGTTCCGGGCAGTTATCCCTCCAGGCAGTCTTCAAGGCATTGGTGATTCGATCAGCGTCAAACTCTATTTCAAGCACAGAGTTAAGTTTGCATTTTGGTTCACTAAGTTCCGTCCTTAGGTCCCGTTTGAAGTCTTCCCAATTAGTGTTCCTGGGATTCCTTCTTTTTATTGCGTCTTTTCTTATAGGAGCATTATACCTAAAGCATATATAGTTATGGTCAGACAATGATATCTCGTCCGAAACATACCAGTTAGTGATTTTCCGGACTGCCTTTTTACATGCAAGCGTCAGGTCAATCACCTCTGCCCTCCGGGCATTGAAGAATGTAGGTTTGTTACCCTTGTTAATAACATGTGTTTCAGAACTCACCAGAAAATCCAGTAACCTCTCTCCTCTGGCGTTGTTGTTTGAGCTGCCCCACACAACATGATGAGCATTCGCATCGCAGCCAATGATGGTTTCCAGATCTTCTTGGTTGCCGTGTTGTATCAGATCCTGCATTTGCCTTGACACAGGATCTGCCTTTTCATATGGGAGATATGCCGATGCCACTATCACTCCTCGCAAATCCCCCTCCCTTTGGATCTTCACTGCTGTGAGATCCCTGTAAGAAAACCTGGATAGAGGAATCGCACTTATCCCATTTCTGACATAAATGCAAGTCCTCGTATCATTAGTAGAACAATTATATATTAACATTCCACCTGTGCCGCCGAGTCCTTTCACCTCACCTTTGTACAGGTAGGGCTCTTGGATTAAGGCGATATCATATCTTTTGACCTTGAGCTCTCGTGCCATGATGGCAGTCGCCGCTTTGCAGTGATGCAGATTAATTTGAACGCACCTTAAACCCCCGAAGAGAGCTGCAGACGTCAAATTCTGTCCCCGAGCTCGGTCTCCTCATCCGCGGAGATATCATACTCCAGCGGCGAGGACCGTCCCAGGTCCAGGTCAGCTATGGCCTCCAGCGAGCCTATGGATGCGGGAGACAGAGCGGCAGCAGGTTCATCTACCACCAGCTTCTCCCCCGCACCCCCAGTCCCTCCGGATAGCCCTTCACTCGCACTAGGTCCCGCTATTGGTTCCAAGGCCTGCTCCTCTGTCCGCGGGCAGTCTTCCGGGACCGCCACCGCATCCCCACGCTGTTCAGCCGTCACACTGGCACTGACCGGTTCATCCCCACGCCTCACATCGTACTCGAGGAGCTTGAAGATGCTCCGGTCAATCCCAGTGTTCAGGATGTACTGGCGGGCTTTGATGTACGCCGCAGAGGCCTCGTCCATCAGGACGATTCTCCTGACCGTCATCCCCTCTACAGTGGAGCCAACAATGCTCCAGTTCGAGGTCTTCAGGCTCGGATGCAACCTCTGCAGCAACCTCATGACCCGCCCTGTGTCCTGCCTCGTGACGTTCCTGGATTTCCAGGCCATCTTCACCGGCTTTGGGAGGTTCTTAGCATCCACCACCCTAAGCTCCACACCATTGACGGCAGTGCCATCAAGTGTGCGAAGCCACTTCATTGAGCTCTCCCCCTCACACCTGAAGAGAATCGCTCCTGACTTCAGGTTTCCCATGCTGACGACGGGGATGGGATCCGGCGTGATCTCCAGTTTATCAAAAATGATACCCTGAAGCGCCAGATACTCCTCCTCGCCTAGCCAGGTCCCTGGAAAGTCCTTAGCGGTGATCGCCATCTTATAGATGTTCAGAGCCGCGGCATAGGACTGAGTTTCCTCAGTCTTAGCACGCTTGGCGCTGACCAGCACTTGGCTCTCACCGCTGATTTCTCTCGCCCTTTTAGATCGGTCTGCCGTTGAGGTGGCGTCCTCAGCCTGTTGCCTCCGCAACTCAGCCTTCACCCTCCTCTGGCATCCCGACCGCTTTTTGCGCCTCCTTCTCCCCTGCAGATCGCCGCCCTCCGCTGCATTAAGCGCAGTGCCACTGGTGTTACCCTGCGGCCCTAGCGCCTCACGTACATCAGGCAGTCGCTGCTCGGGTGGTGCACTGTATGGAGCCACACTGCCAGAGCCGTCCCCCTGGTTCAGGCCGCCCTCGCTTCGCACGAGACCCCGTGGGTTCTCAGCGCTCCGCTTGGTGCCCGCCCCATGTGGGGAGCATTCCCAGACGGTGCCACCTCACTCCCTGCACCTGGTGCGCCCTCCACTTCACCTTTCGGTGCCTTTATCCCTTTCGGGACCTTTGGCCCTCCCAATTTGGTCTGGCCCCTGCTGCCTCCTGCAGCTCCTCCAACACGCAATTGCTTGCCCCCCCCAGAATACGTAGGGCAGCCTGAGCGATGCTCAGGGAGGGATTCTCCAGCCTTGCTGGTACCCTCCTGGGGTAAATCACTTTTGGCTTTTGCGCTCATGTTGGTTTTTTGGGATATTTTTGAAACCCGTGATGCCTCCCCTAGCACCACTGCCACACTTTTTGCTCAGATTTTCCATCGCATGGCTTGTGGTAGCCGGTTGTGGTTATACCGCCACTGTTCGGTTGGGTCCTTTCTGTGTCCATCCAAGGCCGCCCGCGCCTCCTCAACCTCTGGTTGGTTAATGGTTATACCGCCATTGATTCGGTAGCTTAGGACTTTTGTTTCAGCAGCGGTCCCTATAAAAGTTCGCTGCTATGACTCATCTATCATCAGGTTACAGCGCTTTTTCTTGGGGGTATACCACGCCATTGGCTCCCCAGCACCCTTCAAGATGAGCTGCCCGATTTCTGCATCCCGGTGGCATCAGGCCTGCCCCCTGAGAATGGACCCTCAGGGTGTGACCTAGGTGCAGGAGGTCATTCTACCATCTACCATCGTCTTTTTGATGATAGACACGCAAGGACATGACCTCGACATCCCGGCGGTACTCCGACAGAAGGTTTCCGTTACGTCTATTTCATAAGGAATTAGACCAATAGCAGGGCGGCAACCACGTGCAGGACAATCCTTCAGTCTTGCCTTGAGGATCTTCACGACCGTTGCGCTCTCCCTCAAGACCATTCGCCTCCTCACCCGCAGTGATGCGGATAAGGAAGGCCAGCATCTATACTAGACAAGCAGCAAAGCAGAAGCAAAGTGCAAGTTAGGCAACGCAACTATTAAAGCATAGACAGTGACCCGCCCGCTCGCCGCGAGTGTATGAAATTAATAAATATAATTTTTAATGTTACCTAAATTACCCACTACGAGACAGTGTTCTTCTACATTTCCTAGTTGACTTAAAACCCAGTCTCACGATACTCTTGTTAAGTATAATGTATTGTTAAATCATTTACCGAGCTGTTAAAGCTGTCAAGTGTTAAATTGTCATAAAAAGACGGTCTGAATCACTGCTCTATACAAGTGATACGCTATTGGGAGATATGTGAACACACTATTAACCCTTACTGACATAAAATCCCTTTTCCCAGGCCTCCGAACAAGTCCGCAGTCTCAAGCCGGTCTCTTCCGAAGTAGAACAGATCAGAGCCCAGCAGAAAGACTTCGGCGAGCTGCGCCGACGCACGCTAGAACCGCTCGGCCAGAACGTGGCTCATTGCAACAAGATCGGACAGGGCCTGGTGCGATCAGCGCTGCAAGGAGTTAGCACGCAACAACTGGAGAAAGATTTGGAAAAGATGAATGACAAATGGAATGCTCTTAAGGAGAAAGTAAGGGTGTTTGGTTTACCAATAATTTCATTTATTTTAGACAATCCATAGAGAACGAGTAGAAAAGGACCAGGCCGACAGCCAGACTTTAGAAGTGAAGAATTACCTTAAGATTTCTAATGCTTCAACTTAAGTACTCAAATGCCCGTTTTCATTATCAATCCCTAATTTTTAAGTGACCCCTATGGTAACACATAACAGGAATTCTGTTTTCTAGGGGTCACTTAAAAATAGGGTTTGATGGGCATGAGAACATTGAACAATTTAAGCCAAAAATGGATTCTATTTATCTTGCCACTCGTAACTGTCGCGTAACTTTGAATTGAACGTAACAACGATTGATTTGTTTCTTCTTTGCTCTAAAAAAATATTTTTTTCTAAGATAGGTCCTAAAAGTGCTTCAGAAGTAAACAAACACCCAGACTAAGGACTATCTTTTTAATTTATTGTTCTCAATGGAAGTCCACCATAGATCTCACAATGTATCTCCATTTTTCCCAATACTCGGATTTTCTTACGGCGGTGCCAATCAAGTCATCACAAAGTTAAAGAAGGGTGTCGTTCACTCCATTCACTCATTCGTTCATTCACTCCCAGATGAACGAGCGCGAGCGCCGCCTGGACGTAGGATTACTCCAGTCCGGCAAGTTCGCCGAAGCACTGGCCGGGCTGGACAAGTGGCTGGCCGACACCGAGGACATGGTCCGCAACCAGAAGCCGCCGTCTGCTGACTACAAGGTCGTGAAGGCACAGCTACAGGAGCAGAAGGTAGGCTTATTTATTTATTTATTACAAGCGGCCGTCCGCGACTTCGCCCGCGTGAAATTTTGTCTGTCACAGAAAAACTTCATCGCACGCGTCCCTGTTTCAAAAACCGGGATAAAAACTATCCTATGTCCTTTCCCAGGACTCAAACTATCTCTGTGCCAAAAGACAATGCCGGAAATTGGCGTCTTTTTTTTCGCGCAGCCATCGACCAAACCATATTTTTTGGTTACAAAATAGTGTAATAAACCAAACTAACTATGACATGTATACCTTATACCAGTTCAGACTGAGTTACGAGCATTAGAAGTTTGATTTGCTACCAGTACAAGAGGACGACTGACGTATATATGAGTGGCTAACGGGACTTAGTAAATTATGCAATACATTTGTTTATATATTCTTTTTAAATTAAAAAAAAAAATGTTTTTTGTCTCTCAACTTTGTAATCTGTTCAAAATATTTTTCAATAACAATTTACTCGATCTAACCCGTGATTCTCATATTACATTTTTATGGTTATTGTAGCAATAAAATACTCTTTTATTATTTCAACAAAGTAAATAAACAGTTCTTGTGAGTCTTCAACCGCATTTTACTCTGAAAATGTGGGCTAACATCATATTGCATATTAGCATCAAAAATGTCCAATATACAGATCATAGTTCTTTACCTCCTAACCTTTTTACCTCAACAGTTCCTCAAGAAGATGCTAATGGACCGTCAGAACTCCATGTCGTCTCTATTCGCGATGGGCAACGAAGTGGCCGCGGGCTGCGAGCCGGCCGAGCGGAAGGCGGTGGAGGGACAGCTCAAGAAGCTCATGCAGCGGTTCGATGCGCTGACCGAGGCGGCGCAGCAGAGGATGCTGGATTTGGAGCAGGCTATGAAGGTCAGTGGACTAAGACGTGTCAGCAACTGTGATAGAAGGTGAATTGGATGCAATGAGACGTGTAAGCTACCTTGAAATTATGTGACGTGGTCTGATCAAACGTGTGAACTACCATGTTGCGGTCTCGTGACACATTCTAATCAGAAGTGTGAGGTACCCTTATGCAATCGAATATGGCTTCGTCAGACTTGTGATCATCCCTTTAAAGACATGTAACGGACTGGTAAAACATTTTCAGCAGGAAATGCTTTGCGTATACCCATTGGCAGATGGGGACCAGTAGGTTATGTGGGAATATCTCCCTAGAACTAGAAGAGCCCTAGCCCTGCCCTATAAAGGCGGAGCCTACCCACTAAACCCCGAAGGTGTCCAATACTGTAGCCGCAGGTTATTGTCCTGGACACTTAACATCCAATCTACACTGTACAAAGACGATATAAAAATCTACAGGAAATTATAAGTACTGACACCGATCTTTGCCGTTCGCTCCTCTCCAGAAACAACACTAATCAATCTCAATATTGCAGGTGGCGAAACTGTTCCAAGAGCAACTGCAACCGCTGGTCGAATGGCTCGGGGTCTCTGAACGCAAGGTCAAGGCTCTACAACTGGTGCCCACAGATGAGGAGAAGATACAGCAGAAGATCAGGGAGCACAAGGTACGCTTAGGATAAGCTTTATATTACATCTTTACCGTGGTCATTAAGTAGTATTTGTGAACGCTGTAATGAGGGTTTTTGCGATTGAAAAATACGCCATGATTGGTTATTTTTGACATGACATTGACAGATATGTCAAAATCCACCAATCATGCAGCATTTGGACCTAGCGTTTACGTATTGCCATCTGGCGGATTTTTCAATCGCGAAAACCCTCATTGGTTTGAATTGATTGCTATAAAATTTCATCTTTATTGGATGTTAAAAGCTTGACTGTACTGATAGTATTCACATGAAACATTGGCAACTGCAAAATATTGTACAGAAATCTCAAATTAAAGATAAATTCAAATTCAAAATTATTTATTGTGAAACACAGGTGTTTATAGCCTGACCAGGAACATAAAAACCCTCGCCATGTTGCGGAAAACTAATGGTACTAATTTCTTTTAATGGCAACAGTAACTGAAAACTTCATTGACATGTCACCTTGCATGTCAGTCTATTGCTGTCAAAGTGTAAACAAACTTTATTTTAAATGTGCGCAATTGATTTTGTGAATTACATTGCTAAAATCTTTTTATAGTCGTGAAAGAAAAGTGGTTCACAATATGTTAAAGTGTTTGTCGAAGAAAAATACTAAGGGTTTGGACAATATTTTCGTTGAATAATTTTTCCGACAAGGGTGTCAAATTGACTGACATGTTTATCGTATAGTACAGTCCACTATGAAAATTAGCTGTGGTTTGTTTCAACTACCTATTTTAAAGTTTTTTGTCACTTTCTAAGTGTTGAATTTTATGGAATTGGGAAAGAATACCGAGTTTGAAGCGCTCATGAGCAGACATTGCAGTTGAATATTCAAGTTCTGAATTTGATTATTGATTTGAATAATAAAATAAATCCTACTAGCTCGATTGATGTTTTCATTTAATTTATTTAAACCAGGTTACCTATAATAATGTTTTTTCGTTAATTCATGAAAATATCAAATTAGCCCGTAATCCTGAATCCTGATACATAAAGTTAGCCTATTAATTTAACACAGGTACGACTGTACTCAGTGTTGCACTATCAAATGCAATTGACGCGCCTCTATGCCAGGGTTTTTATGTTCCTGGTCAGGCTATACAGATAATATTAGATTGTAATAGTTTCACTATGTTTCGCCTGGTTGGCATAAAATAATATTATACGATATTTATTTACTTACTAGCGGCCGCCCGCGAATTCTTACGCGTGGATCCCGTTTTACTAAGGGGTAGTGGTGGAGTTCCGTAAAATCCTTTCTTAGCGGATGCCTACGTCATAACATCTACCTGCATGCCAAATTTCAGCCCGATCTGTCCAGTGGTTCGGGCTGGGCATTGATAGATAACTATGTCAGTCAGTCAGTCAGTCAATTATATATTTTATATTACAAACAATATGAGTTGATCTTACAATATATTCATTTATAATGATAATTCACAAAGTAACCCACCCTTTTCTTCACCAACAGAACCTCCACGAAGACATCCTGTCGAAACAGCCCGCGTTCAAGCAGCTGACCGAAACCGCGTCCACGCTCATGGGACTCGTCGGCGATGACGAGGCCACCGCCTTGGCTGACAGGCTGCAAGCCGCTACGGACAGGTAAGGACTTAGAAGCATAACATAGGTTGACTGGTAGAGAATGCCCAATGGCATTAACGTTTTGGCATATTATTATTAAAGCCTGGTCCGTGAGCACGTAGAATTTTGTCCAATGACCACAAGCTACCCATCCTTCTCTCGCGCGTAATTATGTTGCTGTCGCGCTCGCACACTCACTGCGGGCGCCCGTCGCACAGTCGCGACAGCAATATAATTACGCGCGAGCGATAAGGATGGGTAGCTTGGGGTCATTGGACAAAATTCTACGTGCTCAAGGACCAGGCTACAACAGGTCATAAAAGACCAAGCTAAGAAAATTCATACAAAACAGTAGCACTAACAATATGGAGAGAAAATGATGAATAGTGACCTGAGTAGTGCCACCTTGTCAACAACAATTCGTAAGCGTACGTTCGTTTCAGCCAAATGACGTCCACTGCTGGACAAAGGCCTCCCCCAAGGTTTTCCACAATGAACGGTCCTGCGCTGCCCGCATCCAGGCTCTTCCCGCGACCTTTACCAGATCGTCGGTCCACCTAGTAGGAGGCCTGCCCACGCTACGTCTTCCAGCCCGTGGGCGCCACTCGAGAACTTTCCTGCCCCAACGGCTATCGTCTCTACGAGCTATGTGTCCCGCCCACAGCCACTTGATTTTAGCAATTCTGCGAGCTATGTCGGTTACTTTGGTTCTCCTGCGGATCTCCTCATTTCTGATTCGATCACGCAGGGAAACTCCGAGCATAGCCCGCTCCAACAACGTTCCTCCATGTCGTAAGCGTACAAGCGACAGGATATAAGACTATTTCAGTTGTAATATAATGATATTGATAGAGACAGAGTGCTGGTAAATATTGATTTCGGCTTCAAAAGAGAGAAAATTGAGTTTTTAAACCCAGGGGGATTATTGTGGCAACTATACAATATACCCATAGGTTTAGCTTTATGTGCTGTCATCTTAGTTACTTCGCCACTTGTTATGTATCTAAAATTACTGTTAAATTACACTTTTATACAGTTGTTTTCAATTATCTTTTGAGCCATCTTTTCTGACGAAATGGTGTCTCTTTTTACTTGAACCGAACCTCATTGAATTTAAACAGGTGTTTCATTGAAAATATTCCTTCTGCAGATACCAAACCCTCGTGGACAACAGCTTAGACACCGGAGCGTTGTTAGAGCGCTCTCGAGCTGGGCTTAGACACCTGGTGCTCACATACCAGGAGTTAGCAGCCTGGATGGACGCCGTAGAACAGGCACTGGCCAGGAGACGCCTGCTGCCGCTGCAGATGGACAAGCTGCTGAGGACTATGGATGAGCTTGCTGTAAGTAGACTTTAAGGCTATAGATATAAATACTATATTGCAACTTGAGTGAGCCGTTAAAGATGGACAAGCTGAAATTAGACTACATTCTAAATTGAGTGGGTCACTGCAGATGGACAAGCTGATGCGGACTATGGATGAGCTTGCTGTAAGTAAACTTTAAGGCTATAGACAGAAGGACTAGATTGCAACTTGAGTGAATCGTTGAAGATGGACTTGGACAAGCTGCAGTTCGACAGGCGTGCAAAATGGAGTAGATTCCTCTTATTTAGCTCTTTTCTAACCTAAGCGATTAAATCATAACTTCATAAAGATGTCCTACACTGAACCGTCCCAGCCGTGACATTGACAGGGGGGCGCCACCGTCAATGCCGGATCGCTGGTTCCGATTTTTGCCACGTTGGACAATCATATAATATGATATGACATTACCGGAGGGTGCTAATATCAATACTGGGTTTAGTTTTTGATTTTTGCCGCTGAAACGTCATTTCAGAATCGCAGGACTATATCGAAAGTTGTCATTTTAGACGATTTGCCCATACATTTGTCGTCTATTACGACGATAAGATTATATGGAGCGCTTCTGTCTCGAAAAACCCCGTGGATATGATCAAACTTCTAATTAAATCTAGTGAAAACTTAATATAATAATTCATAAATCTTTAACAGGAAAAAACCGAAGAGATCGCCTCCAAGCAAGAAGCGGTAGACAGCACGGTGGAGTCAGGCCTCGAGCTGATGAAGCACATCTCCGGAGATGAGGCTCTCCAGCTCAAGGACAAACTGGACGCTCTGCAGAGACGATACAATGATCTGACGTCTAAGGGCGCCGACTTGCTGAGGATTGCTTCAGAGACGCTCCCGTTGGTGCAGCAGCTGTATAACAGCCATAACAAGTGAGTTTTCTACACTAATATTATAAAGAGGAAAACTTTGTTTGTTTGTTTGTTTGTTTAGTTGTAATGGATGGGCTCAAAAACTACTGGACCGATTTTAAAAATTCTTTCACCATTCGAAAGCTACATAACTCACGAGTAACATAGGCTAAGTTTTATTTTGGAAAAAAATAGGGTTCCGTAAAATATTTGGGTTTTTCGGAGTCCACGCGGGCGAAGCCCCGGGCAGAAAGCTAGTTATTTATACACGATGAGAATCTACAATCTTATTTAATAAAATAATATACCGTCAGCAATTTCCGTTGAAAACTTATAGCACTTATAAGAAATGGGACTGAGTGAATAGGGTTTTACTACGATTAAAATAAATAAATAATGTTTTCAGAAAGTTCGTTATAAAATATTGTAGCTCTTTTGATGATGTGTTAGATTAGGCGTGCTTCATATTTTTTGTCTCTTACTAATGTAGATGTTATAAATTTCAAGCTTTATGGGTTGGGGTTTGAGTCAAACACATTTAGCATTTTATACATTCGAAAGTCATCACTTTGTTCTCTTTTTTTCAAAGAGTTGTTCAAACAACAGCATATGTCGGCAGCTGCTTCGGAAAAGCATCTTAAGCCGTGTCCTTATTAGGAGTATTACCTGTGGTATTACTAGTTGCTTACATCTCGTTTGGAGACTTGGCATTACTATCGCATTTGATTTGAATACAGACTTGCCACACATTTATTTAACAATACAACTCTTCCTACAGACTCAACGAATGGATGTCGAGCGCGGAAGCGTGCCTGCAGTCGGTGGAACCTCGCGAGGAAGACATCTTGAGGCTAGAAGCTGACCTGCAGGAGTTCAAACCTGTGCTGGACAATATCAACCTGATCGGACCACAGTTATGCCAGGTAAGATGCAGGAATACTGTTACAAGTCTATCTATATATATAAAAATGAAACCCGTTTCGCGTTGTCACGGCATCACGTGTGAACGGCTGAACCGATTTCGATAATTCTTTTTTTTAAATGTTTGTGGAAGTCCAAGGATGGTTCTTACGGAAAAAAAACCGGCCAAGTGCGAGTCGGGCTCGCGCACAAAGGGTTCCGTAGCAGCAAATATAATAAACTTATTATGTCAATTTATACACCTGGTGAATGGAGCCTAAACTCTCCCGATATTTTGCCTTGTACTTTTATGTATGAATATTAATTTTATATATGTANATTAAGAAAATCTCTACGCTAAGGCGGTACGAAGTTCGCCGGGTCAGCTAGTATGTTATAAAGGTCATGCTAAGCACTGGTAGTGACGGGCCAGAAGCTTCAAGTCTTGCTTCAGAAGACTTCATTGAAGTTTAGTTTAGACACATGAATTTTATTTGGTACAGTTTTTCTAATATGTTTGTTGTTTAAAAAATATTTAAATTACTTACTCTCTTCATTATATCAGCTTTTTGTCAGATAATGATCCTTCACGGTTTAAGGATCTAGGTAACTCCTAGTAAGTAGGCCCCTAGTAACTATTTGGATAACTTAGGCTTATAATAGACTGCTGCCCGTTTTCACCATCAATCCCTTATTTTCTAGTGACCCCTATGAAAACAAAATTTATATTATGTGTTAGCATAGAGGTCACTTAAAAATTAGGGATTGATGGTGAAAACGGGCATGCATCTCACTTAACATCAGGTTATCACACCTGCCTTTTTCTGCATAAAAAATCAGAGAGGACAGTGAGAACGTGTATCGTATGTGTATGTATAGTATTGTAGAACAAAGGGTTTGTTTGTTGTCTGCAAAACATTTTGCTATCGTTGCATTGGTAAAACACAAGCTCATGGCCATGATCACAAGAGGAAAACAACTCATTCCTTATCTTCTAACCTGTCTATCCTTTACAGATTTCCCCTGGAGAGGGCGCTACGCACGTGGAAGGCATCGTGACCCGCGACAACCGCCGCTTCGACGCCATCGCAGAACAGATACAACGCAAGGCCGAACGCCTGCTGCTTAGCAAGAAGGTTAGCCATTATTTATGATACTTACATCATCATCTGATGATCATCAGGCCACTTGGTCTCCACTAAAGGAGCACGATTTTTCTATAATTTACCAGAGGCAAACAATGGGGAATTTTTCGTATAGATGACCCACGCTGAACTGTCCCACCAAACTCAATGACAGGAGGGCGCTACCATCGTTCAACTATATGGTTTCCAACATGGTAAAAATCGGAACCAGCGATCCGGTATTGACGGTGGCGTCCCACTGTCAATGTCATGCATAGGACAGTTCAGTATTTTGGAACTATACAGTCAGTACACTCCCACGCTTGTCATATTATTATTATGGCAGTTCTCACTAACTTGACAGATAGATACGGGAGAACAACTCTTGTTTCTACTGCTGCAACTTCCGTGTAGCTAAGATAGATAAATATCTGATGTCACTTAAATATTTTGAGTATATTCTTAGAGAGTAATGAAAACAGTAATAATTTCAGTATAATTTTTTGTACGAGATCGTTTTTGTTATGCTATATTAGTCTTTCGACTTCCATTATCTCGTCGCTTAGTTTTCATTATGTTCCGTGTATTATAAGCAGTGTTGTCAGTTGTACTAAAACCATACTTTCCCCCAACAGAGGTCACTAGAAGTCGTGGGTGACATGGAAGAGGCCGTCGAATGGCTGCGCTCAGTCGAAGGAGCATTGCGAGAGGCCGAGCCTCCCGCGTGTGAGGCGGCACTTGTGAGGGCTCAATTGAAGCAGCAGCGGCCTTTGAGTGACGACGTGGCCGCACAGAGAGTCCGAGTGAGGGATCTCCTCGCTCAGGCTAAGAAGGTAAGAGGCTGCGAATGACAGCGGTCAGTGGAGAGTGTTTTTAGAGGCCGAGCCTCAGCGTGGGAGGCGGCGCTAGTGAGGGCTCAATTGAAGCAGCAGCGGCCTCTGAGCGACGACGTGGCCGCACAGAGGGTCCGAGTGAGGGACCTACTCGCTCAGGCTAAGAAGGTAAGAGGCTTGGAATGACTGCGGTCTGTAGGGAGTGTTGTTAGAGGCCGAGCCTCCCGCGTGTGAGGCGGCACTTGTGAGGGCTCAGCTGAAACAGCAACGGCCTCTGAGCGACGACGTGGCCGCACAGAGGGTCCGAGTGAGGGACCTGCTCGCTCAGGCTAAGAAGGTAAGAGGCTGTGAATGACTGCGGTCTGTAGAAGACGCGTTGCGTAAGGCCGAGGTGATTAGCGACCTCTGAGTAACGACGTGGTGGCACAGAGGGTCCGACTAAGTATAATCCCGGTCAGGCTAAGAAGGTGAAAGGCTTATCATGGCTGCGTCAGTGGATGGAATTTCTGCATTGATGGAATTACGCTGACTAAAAGCGTGAATTACGACTGTTACACTTAACATTTCAGTGACCAGAGCATTCGTCTGGCAAATGGGAGGACATAGGTTCATCCTCTTCTGAGACAATTTCTTTTATAAAGTTTCTAAACAAAATTACTTTATAAAATTATAATTCCAATCTTCCTCCAGGTTCTTCGTGAGTGCCAGTCGTCCGACGAGACGGCCGTCATTCGCGAACGCAGCGAGGAGCTAAAGGAACTGATGGAGGAAGTGGGCCAGCTCAGCGCCGAGCGACTTGCTGCCCTTGAACAGGCCCTGCCATTGGCCGAACACTTCGCCGATACACATCACGGGTAAGTCAAAGTGTCAAAACCGTTTCAGACAAATGACAGCTGCAACGGCCATCGATTTTGCGAGCTACGCGCCCGCCCACTGCCACTTAAGTTTGGTAATAAAATTCTGCAAGCTACGTCGGTTACTTCGGTTTTATTCCTCACTCAAAGCTGATGATGACGTTCACTGCTGGATAAAAGATTTCCACAACGAGCCTGCGCTGCCTGCACTGGTGCTTCCCGATACCTTCACCAAATCATCGGTCCACCGAGTGGGAGGCCTGCCTACACCTTGGTGACCACTCAAGAACTTTTCTGCCTTAACGGGCATCAATTCTACCAGTTACGCGCCCCGCCCACTGTTTAGCTATCCAATTGACTAGCGGTTAAGGGTGCAGATTTAATAATTTCGAATTGACGCTGGCTCAATCCCCTTTTATCGCTTGACTATTATAGTAAACCCACTCTTAAACACAGGCGTATAGGCGGTAGGCGAAGCGATTGAATATTAGCTATTTTAGCACTGCAAATTAATGCTCGTTTACAAAAATAATTTACTTACTTTTGGGCATCATGTAAGTTATTATTGTCTAGGGTACATGTGTATTCAAACTAATTGTCAATTGTTTGTCGCAGGCTGTCCTCGTGGATGGACGACATGGAGAAGCAGATTCAGATGCTGGCCATGCCGGCGCTGCGCCCCGACCAGATCGTGCAGCAGCAAGACAAAAACGAAGTGAGCACTTCTATCTATACTATTATAAAGAGGGAACATATTTTGTATGTTTGTCACCAATAAACTCAAAACTACAGGACCAGTTTCAAAAATTCTTCCACCATTAGAATGCTACATTATCGCAGAGTAATATAGGCTACGGCAGAAGGCAGGTGAAGCCGCGGGAAAAAGCTAGCTTACTCATGAAGCCAAATAGTTTTTTTCTTACACTAGCAATTTTATAGCTTAGTGATATTGTATCTATCAATATTTTGTGATAATGTTTTTTACGGAATTTTACGATGAGACCGAATATGTTACTTTTCATGCACTAAGGTCCTTAAAAACACCAGAACTCGATTAATCTAAATATTATTTAATCAATAAAATGCTTGAAAAGAATTTGACCTGAGTTTTGTTCTATTCTAAATCCTCATTCGCTCTGCAGATGTTGCAACAATCGATCGCGGGGCACAAGCCGTTGGTAGACAAGCTGATGAAGACGGGCGAAGCCCTAGCGCGTCTCTGTGGAGAAGACGACGCCGCCAAGGTGCAGGACACCGTGGAGACCGACTGCGAGCGGTACAACGCGCTCAGAGCCGAGCTCAGGCAGAGGCAGCAGGAGTTGGAACAGGTAGGAGTTGTAACAGATGAGTTGTGACCAGCTGATGAAAGGTCGAAGCCCTAGCGCGTCTCTGCGGGGAATATGATATGCTCAGAGCAGAGCTTAGGCAGCGGCAGCATGAGTTGGAACAGGTAGGAGTTGTGACAAGCTGATGAACGGGACTATTCCCACCTCTCGTTCCCACCGCTGCAACTCCCGTGTAGCCAGGATCTACAGCTTGACCAATAATAAAAACCCAACCAGTGAAGGTCAAGTTTGTCCCGGGGGGAAGTTAAACTGTCATTGAACCCGCAACGAAATTAATCAGAAGAACATAGGAGGAGTTAAAAGAGATTCAACTTCCGAGAGCAGAGTAGGGCAGTGGTTGTAATTAAAAAAAATTTCTAATTTAATTGGTAAATTGTGTCATCAGCTTGTATTATCCTACCTACATTCAGTCGCGTTTTAACAGCTTATAAAAAGTACATGGATTGACTGATAATGTCAATAGACATCCTAATCTCTAGGCACAACTCCTCTAAAGAGCTAGATTTCGATTTTCACTTGTTTCGAAATCAACGATAGGCTGTCTATTAAGTTACTTCATAAGTCCCCGAAAATCTATCAGACGTGTTCACAGCACATAAAATCAATAAATTGATCAATAGCGTTGCTGCCACTCTTGTGGCAGAGTTTTGGGCTGACAATGTGTAGGTTTGTTGTCGACATGACAAGAAGACGAATAGCATTGACCCTAGATCCTATTGTGAAAGTTCCATTAACATATTAGTGAGTTGAGTAGACTACTTACTGCCTTATTTTGGATTTGCTAAACGTTATAATTGTTCCAGGCGCTGCAAGAGTCGTCTCAGTTCTCGGACAAGCTGGAAGGCATGCTTCGCGCGCTGGGCGGCGCCCGCGACCAGATCTCCCGCGCCGAGCCCGTCTCCGCGCACCCGCCCAAGATAGAGTGCGTATACAACGACTAGCGGCCGCCCGCGACTTCGTACGCGTGGATCTGGGGGCACGGCAGTGCCCCCGCCAAGTCGAGCGCGAAGCAAACACTGCCGTACCATCCTTTACTGGAACCATTTCGCCGCATTTTCAGGCCCCTATTTGAGAACCTCTGGATAAGACCAGAACGCAAAAATTTTCGTCATCTAGTAAGCTATAATCACATACTTCAAATCCAAAATTTCAAGCCTGTAGGTCATTTAGTTCCGAAGTTAAGCGAAAGCAAAGTTTCGCATTTACGACACTCACTCACTCACTCACTCACTGATGATCATCAAAATAGAACTAGTACTTCCCATTAACTCAGAGGGCTGAAATTTGGTACAGAGTTAGGGTTTAATGGCCACATAAAGGGAAAACTATAAAAACTAGGAAAATCGAAGATCTGGAGTAACCACATTCATAATCAATACTACTCCGGCCCCGTGGTGTTCGCCTGTATCGCTCACCGCTAGATGGCGCTAGCACTAGCAAGCGGTGTCCAGATTTTTTTCCTTTCTAGAGAAAGTCGTCGATTAAGTTGAATGTTGTGTAATTTGCATTTCGTTGATTTCGTTTATTATACTGTAAGGTTCGCTTAGGTTATGTTATAATTAAAAACAATCTGATTCGTTGTCCATTTTAAAGGTCGTTGAGTTTATTTGTGTTTAATATCGTAAAAAATGTTGATAAACGACGACGTTAAATAAATTTGCTACGTTCCACAAAAAGAAGTGAAATCCCACCAAAAACATTCTGTAAAAAACTAGCCAAGTCTCGATGGAGCTGCTTGTTTATCTCTAAAAATTAATGAAATCTAGACATAGTCGTGCCAAGTCTATGGTTCCTTACTGCGATTTCTTTATTATTATAGTTAATGTTGTGTGACTTTTTATATTTTCATACAAAATAAATTTTATAAAATCCGATTTGTATGAAAATTAAAATAATTAAAATTAAGATATCAATTTTCTGACTTCACCATACCATTTATATGACCATATTAACATGGGCTAGTGTCGGCTCATATACCCATTTACCTAACACCCTGTATATTTAGATAATAATAATCATTATCCCGCCTCAGCAATAGTACTTGCACTTAGCGGGTGCTGTCTTTGGCTGTATCTCCTCAATGGTACAGGTATCCGCTAGATGCATTTTAATCGGCTTATACGAATTGGATCTGTATGATGAACGCCTTCCAAAAGATCGCCCTCCGCGCCGTGCTTATCCACAGGAGAGATACAAATAATAATTGTAGCCTGTTGATTTCCCGTATTTTGTTTTGATTTTACTTATATTTTTACTTATGTTCGGTGTACCTCTTGGCATTTATACCTCCTCCAATGGAGAAGTTTCCATTTCTTTTCCAGTTTAATAGAACTTGAAAATATAAGTAACACCAATAATAATTGTGAAAGAATCATAAAAATACCTCTAGAAATAAAGAAGTTGCAGGGTCCCAAAGTAGCGCATATTATATTTCGCGCCATTTGATCGGTGACGTCACGGCACTCATTTGGAGTACAAACAATGAATCACCCCTTGACCAAAGCTTTTGACAGATACTTTTTGAAAAATCGAGATGTTTTTAATTTTTCAGCCAGCGTCACTCAAGATTATTTCTTAGTAAAATTATTTTGTAACCTTTCAATCTTTCAACAGAGACCAAATCGAAGAGAACAATGCACTGGTAGAAGATCTGGACAAACGCAAGGAGGCTTACAACGCGGTACAACGCGCCGCCTCTGACGTCATCAGCAAGGCCAATAAAAGCGACCCGGCCGTCCGCGACATCAGGAACAAGCTGGAGAAGCTTAACAAGTGAGTGGAAAGATATATTTACAGGTTATTCCAGTTATTGTAAGTAAAGTCCGGTCACCGAGCAGATAGAATTCCCTCACTCACTGCGGCTGCCCATCGCACAGTCGCGACAGCAATATAATTACGCTCCAGCGATCAGGATGGTTTGGGGTCATTGGACGAAATTCTATGTGCTCGGCGACCGGACTTTAGTTTAAATCGAAGCAAAAAATGTATTTATGAAAGAAAAAAATACGCTAAAGGGACAGCGATGCTATTTAGCGTAGCATCGCTGTCCCTTTAGCGTAATTTCTTATTAGAAACGAGATCGCCATCCTGCCCGTGGACTTATACACGTCGCGTAACTCGGAGTTAACTTTGCATCGTCGTCCCTGGAGCTTTTAAGTCTTGGCTTTATCGCTGTTGTATTTTTTTAAACACTCTTTAAAAGATTTTTGTATACGTTTTATATCTACCGAATCACTCAATCGTTATCATGACAAGTACACGTATTTTTGTCTTTAATCCCAACGATGACATATTGGATTGCTCTTTCTTTCACATTCAGTAGTCTGCAGCTGTTTCAACATTATCTCTAACCATTCCATTATCCGCAGACTATGGGACGAAGTGCAAAAGGCGACGAACGACCGCAGCCAATCGCTGGAAAGCGCTTTGGAAGTGGCCCGCCGCTTCTGGCAGCAACTAGATGCCGTCATGGCCACTCTGGCTGAACTACAGGATACGTTAGCAGCGCAGCCGCCGCCGGCAGCGCAACCGCGCGCTATTCAAGCGCAACAGGTCGCGTTGCAGGAGATACGGCACGAAATTGACCATACCAAGCCTGAGGTAAGTTGAGAGGACACTGTTGGATACGTTTGGGGATACTTTGGATATGGATGGACACTTATGAACATAGCAGGGCATTTATAGACATAGTCGGACATTAATAGATACAGTCGGACATTTATAGAACCAGTGCGACATTTATAGACACAGTGGGACATTTATAAACACAGTGGGACATTTATAGACTCAGTGGGACACTTTTAGAACCAGCAGGTCATTAATAAACAAAGCAAGATACACATAGACATAGTGGGACAGATTTAGACACAACAGGACACATGTAGACGCTCATAAACACAGCGAGATACTTATAGACCCAGTGGGATATTTATAGACACAAGAGGACACTTGTAGACCCAAGGGGACACTTGTAAACCTGACGGGACATTTATAAACCTAGCGGGACACTTATATACTCATTGGGGCTTCATTTGTAGACAAAACAGGACACGTATAGACTCAAAGGGAGACCTTATTGAAATAGTGGGGTACATTTAGACATAGAGGGCACTTAAACATATAGCGGGATGCTTATAGATACAGCAAAATACTTGTAGACACAACAGGATGCTTAAAGAATTAGTGAGATAAGAGAGAAAGATACAGTAGGTAACATTTATGGACATAACAGGACACTAACAAACCCAGCGGGACACTTATAGACCAAGCAGGACGCTTTAAAATCCAGGGCAACATTTGACACAGTGGGGTACATGTAGGCACATTTATGACTATGATCCAATTAAATAATGATCATGTTAACTAAACTTCTTTACTCTTTCTCAGAGGATGTAAGCAATAATAATAATATTTCTTCATACTCATAGGTGGAGAAAGTCCGCAAGACCGGTTCGACTCTCATGTCGCTATGCGGCGAGCCAGACAAGCCAGAGGTTAAGAAACACATGGAAGACCTGGATAGCGCCTGGGACAATATCACAGCGCTCTACGCCAGAAGGGAGGAGAATCTAATTGATGCCATGGAGAAGGCGATGGAGTTCCATGACACTTTGCAGGTTGGTGCGGAATGATGAGTAGTTGAAACTATAACTCAATTGAAATACTTCTAGCTCGGTATTATTAAAGTAAATGGAATTAGCATTGTAGCATTTGATTGTCTAATAATAATGAACTATGGTCAAATCGCAATTTTATTCACGCCACGTGTCAATTGAATGGTTGATACCAAGGTTCGAAAGAATAATTATCAATGATAATTATCGTAATAATAAGATGGATAATTATCGGTTGATAATAACAAAAAAATGCGCTCGTGAAAAAGAACTGTACCTCTAGTACGAAAAACTTTCGAGTTCGTTTCGTTTGCGTATTCAAAGTGTCATCGAAAAATTTTGTATGAAAAATTAAACAGCGCCCCCTATATTATAGCCGCCCTAGGGGGCGCTGTTTAATTTTTCATACAAAATTTTTACTTACTTTATACTTACTTGTACTAGAGGTACTGTATATTCGAAGCTTTCGAACGTGTATTTCCGCACTTGCGTCTAGTAGTGGGCGTTAATCAACATAGATATCTATAAAACACTAGCTGACCCGGCGAACTTCGTACCGCCTTAGCGTAGAGATTTTCTTAATATTTTTTTCCGTAAGAACCATCCTTGGACTTCCACAAACATTTAAAAAAAAGAATTATCGAAATCGGTTCAGCCGTTCACACGTGATGCCGTGACAACGCGAAACGGGTTTCATTTTTATATACAGTGTGAGTCACGTTAAAGTGTACATATGAAAATAGATGAAACTAGACCTTTTTTTATCGACAAAAAAGAGGTCAAATAATTTTTGTGATTTTTTTTTAATTTTTTATAGAATTTTTTTTCTTCCAATTACTTATTGTAAAGAAAACATAATAACTTTTAAACTAAGCGGTATATCTTGATACAATAAAAACAGTAACAATGCTAAATAACAGGCAATACTAAAAAAATACATAAAATACACAAAAAAGGCCAACAAATAATAAAAAAATATACTTTTTGAAAAAAATCCGCTTAAAAATTCGTGTTTTTTTGGTTATTTGATAAATTTCTCCAAAAAATGCCCCTATAACAGGTAGTTTTTATTACTTTGTATTATTCTCTATCATATTACCTTCGTAAAACGAAAAATCGCATGTCTCTATCCCTATCACAACGTTTGCAATGATCGTTTGAACTAAGCCTCTCCGGGCGCGCCATTCAACGCTTCGTTAACAACAAAACTGAAAATGGCTCTAGATTTGTAATTTTGATAAAGACAAGTTAGATTTCAAATAAAAACAAAAGATTTCGAAGTAAAATAAGCATTTTAGTTAAAATTAAAATTGTCTCTACCTGTAGCGGAGAATAATGTTGTGGCAGGCCTTTGTTCAAACGATCATAGCAAATGTTGTGATAGGGATAGAGACATGAGATTTTTGGTTTTACAAAGATAATACGATAGAAAATGATACAAAGTAATAAAAACCACCGGTTATAGGGGCATTTTTTGGAGAAATTTATAAAATAACCAAAAAAACACGAATTTTTAAGCAGATTTTTTTCAAAAAGTATCATTTTTTATTGTTTGTTGGCATTTTTTGTGTATTCTATGTATTTTTTTAGTATCGCCTGTTATTTAGCATTATTACTGTTTTTATTTTATCAGGATATACCGCTTAGTTTAAAAGTTATTACGTTTTCTTTACAATAAGTAATTTGAAGAAAAAAAATTCTATAAAAAATTAAAAAAAAATCTCAAAAATTTTTTGACCTCTTTTTTGTCGATAAAAATAGGTCTAGTTTCATCTATTTTCATATGTACACTTTAACGTGACTCACACTGTATATAGATTTACAATCAGAATTTCTTATGAAACAATATGACAAATGTATCTTATACTATTGATAATTATCTGATAATTATCATGAGGCGTAATTATCTTGATAATTTCGAACCCTGGTTGATACCGACAAACAATATAATAAAAGACTAAATGTAAAAATAACTTCATTCAAGCAAGTTAGTTTTTCACTGGCTATGAAATTTGATTTTAGTAGCTCTGAAATCAATAAATCCTTTAGTTAATTGACTTCGCAACCTTCAACCTTCGTTGCGTGAGAGTCGCATTTGACAGCTCATAAAAAGTATGTCAATTGACTAGAGTGTTGTTCGCTACCCTATTTTCATTTCCTTGAATGTAAGTGATTTCATAAGTATTATAAACTTTTCTTAATCTCTACTAGAATCTCCAAGAGTTCCTTGACTCCGCCGAAGACAAATTCTCCCGCATGGGGGCGCTGGGGTCAGACATCGACGCCGTCAAGCGACAGATCGCGCAACTGGCCTCCTTCAAGCAAGAGGTCGACCCGCATATGGTGAAGGTCGAAGCGCTGAACAGGTATGGACTTGGGACATGTTACATGGACATGTTTGAATTGATACGGGGCGTGGGCGGGGCGTACTCTGTCTTTGCAACATTTTAGGGTTCTGTTGTCAAGGTTACCAATGGGGTTCTTTTATTTACAAAGCCTCCGCTATTTGGTTATACACAAATTTCTTTTGCCGCTATTATGAATAAAAATGTATAATGTAAGATATAATTTTTGAATTCGTACCTCAAACATGGTACCTATATCATGGCATTTTTTACCAATCACGGTTGTAGCAGTACCTAAAACGATTAAAACTATTATCACAATAACAAAAAATAATCAGAATTACATTTTGTTGTGTTCGATTTTAAATGGCAATAGGTTATCCTTATACGATGGTACGGAAGCCGTCATATCCGAGTACGATTCGCACTTAAGCCTTGATTACACGTACCGAGTAAACGGGCGAAATGTTTACTCGGTCGAGACAGTTGGGTGAGCGAGTCACATACTCGAGGGTCGGCCGAGCACTCGGCGTAATGTTCATACACACCGAGTACTCGGCCGAGAGCACTGTCTCGCCCTTTTGCTCGGTATGTGTGATCAAGGCTTTAACTGCAATATCTGTCTCATACATTTGTATGAGACCAGACCTTACTAATATCTTTGTGGTCTCGTTAACATAGTCATACAGAGTACACCCCGCGCATTTCACGTGACTTGATATTGTTATGGTGGGGGTTTTATTGAATGGGGAGTTCTACCTTTTCTTTGAATGGTTTTGGGGTGTTTTTTGGAATTTTTGGGCAAAATTTTTAATATTGATATCTTTAGATCGGTGAAGAGGTGATTAAATATAGGGGGATTGATAGGATCTAATAAATAAATTGTAATTTATCTTACATTAGAAGAATTTGAATTTTGAGTATAAGTAAGATATTGAAATATTTGGTGATGGTTTATTTTCCCCTTTAATATTGAGTTGTTTCATCAGTATTATAACTACCCCGTAGTCACACAAATTACCTAATACTCTAGTTAAATAGTGTTGTGATAGGCGACTGTATTTTAAAATCAGCTTAAACATAAATAAATTAAGTTTCCATAGAAATAAATAGAGATTACACAATTATAAAAATACTTAAACTTTTAGTATTAGAAAAAAGACGCTTAGGACTCGTTTAAGTACAAGCAGATACAAGCTTGTATTTACTTGAATAAAAAAAGGATTATTTTGTTATAGAACAATATTAAGCTAGTATTTGTTCTTGAGATTCATACTTAGGCCTAGAACAGACGGTGAGAGAACACACATGACGCGACCAGTTTGAGAGTTTCAAACTGGTCGCGTCATGTGTGGTCTCTCAACGGACGCTATGGCAGAAACTTAGATGCAATTCAAAAGTAACTAGCAGTTGCAGTTTCGTTGCAGTTGCGTTTAACCGTCTGTTCTGGGCCTTAAACGTCGTTTCAGAATTAAGTTCTCGAATACAAGTCTTGAGACAGTCTTTAAACAATGTGTAATTTTTCTACTGAATTTTGGCTTCTATTTGGTCAAATACTATCTGCAGTCGCCTACCACGCGTCCCCTAACTGTGTACTAATCTTGTATTTTTCTCTGCCCCACCCGGTGCCCGCAGGAGTTTAATGAGGCAAGGATTTCTTTATTTGAGTGTGCCGCTTCTGTAGTTGTCCCTTAGAAATACAGGGTGTCCCATAAGACCGTGCCAAACATAAGGAGAAGATAGGCTATTGTCATCCATTAATCTATCTTATTCTTAAGTTTGGCCCGGTCTTTAAGGGACAACCTGTAGATGTTACATACATTGTAAAAAGATTTCTGTATTCTCAATACTATAATATTTGAGTTAAACAATACGTCCCAGCTCTCACATAAAGGCAATAGATATCGAGGTTGCAGAAGTCGATTTAACCACATTTCTTTCTACTCATACCAAGTTTGGATAATATATTTCACATAACAGACCTTAAAACTGCTCCTGTGACTTATTATATAAGCGCGACTTTTGCAATGTTGATGTGCCATGGAAAGTACTTCTAATAACATTCATAAATATATTTTTTTAGATTCAAAGAAGTGTGGTTAAAAATATGATCGTAATAATACAAAAACATTACGAGATACAATGTGTTAGTAGAAAAGTAGAAATTGTGTGTCATGTTCTCAATTCTAAGGCTGAGTTGCACCACGTAATTATAACGATAACCGGTGTTTTTTGTATGGAGTTTGACAGATTTTTGACGTTTGTCAAAGTTAAAGTATGATGGTGCAACCCTGTCTAAGTGCATCTTCTATCTGTGCCCGTCTCAGCCCGTTCGCTTCCGTCTGTCCTTTCTTTTTGTTTTTTGTCCTCTTGTTGGTTGTGTGGTGTTTTTTGTCCTTTTGTTTTTTGTCCGCTTGTGTGTTTTATTTCTATTTATAGTGCTTTGAATGATTCGCTTTGTTTTATGTGACTTGCAATCAATACTTTTATCAAAAGAAGTACAATAAATGAACTATTATAGAATTTACAAACGAAATAGGTTTACAGTGTCAACGAATCAAGTTAAATTTTTTGTCAATAGTATTCTTGTGATAGTTGACGTCAAATATCGTATTTTTGTCAATATTCACATAACATGTTAATTCTAAACAATGTTGCTGAATTTCCGAATAAACAAAACATGACAGCGCACAAACTATAGTCTAAAACATATCCTGAAAACTGTAATGTAATCTTTAACATTTTGATGTTAGTCGCAATTGCAAGTCACATATACACCATACCTTCTTACCTCCCAATAACCTCCAAATCTTCTCCAGACAAGCCCAAGAGCTGACCGAACGCACATCCTCCGAGCAAGCGGCTGCCATAAAACAGCCTCTCACAGAAGTCAACTCTCGGTGGTCGGCCCTGCTTAGAGGCATGGTGGAGAGGCAGCAACAGTTGGAAAGAGCGCTGTTGAGGCTGGGACAGCTGCAGCACGCCTTGCAAGAGCTGCTGACATGGATCCAGAACACTATGGACACTTTGGACACGCTCAAACCTGTAAGTTGCGACAGTAATATTATCAACATCAACTCTCGATAGCCAGCCCTCCTTTTAGGCATGGTGGAGAGGCAGCAACAACTGGAGAGAGCTTTGCACGTCTTGCAAAAGCTGCTGGTAAGTTGCGACAGGAATATTATCAGATGTCAACTCTCGGTGGTCGGCCCTGCTTAGAGGCATGGTGGAGAGGCAGCAACAGTTGGAAAGAGCGCTGTTGAGGCTGGGACAGCTGCAGCACGCCTTGCAAGAGCTGCTGACATGGATCCAGAACACTATGGACACTTTGGACACGCTCAAACCTGTAAGTTGCGACAGTAATATTATCAACATCAACTCTCGATAGCCAGCCCTCCTTTTAGGCATGGTGGAGAGGCAGCAACAACTGGAGAGAGCTTTGCACGTCTTGCAAAAGCTGCTGGTAAGTTGCGACAGGAATATTATCAGATGTCAACTCTCGGTGGTCGGCCCTGCTTAGAGGCATGGTGGAGAGGCAGCAGCAGTTGGAGAGAGCTTTGTTAAGGCTGGGACAGCTGCAACACGCCTTACAAGAGCTGCTGACCTGGATCCAGAACACGATGGACACTTTGGACACGCTCAAACCTGTAAGTTGCGACAGTAATATTATCAGCATCAACTCTCAATAGTCGGCCCTCATTAGAGGCATGGTGGAGAGGCAGCAACAGTTGGAGAGAGCTTTGTTAAGGCTGGGACAGTTGCAGCACGCGCTACAAGAGCTGCTGACTTGGATCCAGAACACTATGGACACTTTGGACACGCTTAAACCTGTAAGTTGCGACAGTATTATTATCAACATCAACTCTCGATAGCTAGCCCTCCTTTTAGGCATGGTGGAGAGGCAGCAACAACTGGAGAGAGCTTTGCACGTCTTGCAAGAGCTGCTGACCTGGATCCAAAACACTATGGACACTTTGGACATGCTCAAATCGGTAAGTTGCGACAGTAATATTATCAGATGTCAACACTCGGGAGTCGGCCGTCCGTCCTTTGAGGCATGGTGGAGAGGCAGTAGCAGTTAGAGAGAGCTCTACTAAGGCTATGACAACTGCAACATGCCTTACAAGAGCTGCTGACTTGGATCCAGAACACTATGGACACTTTGGACACGCTCAAACCTGTAAGTTGCTTAAAAAAACACAGAAAATTTTAACGAAAGTTACCTGCACCTTACTTACCTGATGGACAGTGATGATCAGGCGGAATGTGGAAACAAACTTCGCACAAAATCCTCAACCACAGAGAAATTGTCTATCTTAAAAAATATAATCTGTTTTTATCTCTCGTTTTTATATTCCGGCGATATTGTCTATTAGTCCAGTCATTTGAATCCAAATAATGGGGTTTCCTAAACCTGGAAAGTTTTCCGGGAGTTTTGAAATGTCTCCGAATTTCAACTTTGCGACCTCGTATGGTTGCGTTGCGCACGTGCCGTATTGGAAAACGATACAGCTAAATGTGTCTCAATTTATTGACTGGTGCTGTCAAGTGTCTAATTTGTCATGTATAGATGACCCACGCTGAACTGTCCCACCAAACCAATGACAGGGGGGCGCTACCATCGTTCAACTATATGGTTTCCAACATGGCAGAAATCGGAACCAGCGATCCGGTATTAACGGTGGCGCCCCACTGTCAATGTCATGGATAGGACAGTTCAGTATTTTGGAACTATACATATATTTAAACATATTCTTCTTCTTCAGGTGGCAGGCGACCCTCAGATCTTGGAGGTGGAACTGGCCAAGCTGAAGGTGCTGGTGAACGACATCGCGGCGCACCAGGCCAGTGTTGATACCCTCAACGACGCCGGCGCACAGATACAGCAGCACGGTAAGTTGAAGAGCACAGTAGCACAGGTTTCAGAGCACTGGGTCACATTGCCGCGCATTAAGCCAGTGTCCACAAGCATAACGATGGCGGTGCGCAAATACAGCAGCACGGTGAGTGGCAGAGCACAGGTTGCTGAGCACAGATTGCTGAGCACATGAGCACAGTTTTCAGAGCACAGATTGCTGAACACAGGAGCACAAGTTCCAAAGCACAGGGCATGGATCACGCAGCATAAACAACAGACATAAATTAACAAAAATCAAAGATCTCATATAGGACATAGTCTGAAATCTAATTTGATTTCAGACAGTCTGGTGGATTTAAATGTGCAACGTTCTCGTAACTAAACTGGGATCTAATAACCCGCAAGATCATGCCAATTATTAGGGAAGAGTCACCAGCACATCAGATCATTCATTTCAAATTCAAATTATTTATTGCATGTCACATGGGTAAGGGTTGATAAGAACATAATTTTGTACATGTGACGCCCAAACACAAACTCCACAGAAGTTTCAAAATAAACGTCATCTTGGTCGTATATTTCATAAAAACTTATTACTTACTCATCTCTTGTTCTCTCTCCAAGTTAATGTAATGCCTTAGTAGATAATCCCTTAGAAAATCCTAATTAATCAGTACATCTAACGTATATGTTTATTCTGTAACAGGAACCGCAGAGGCCGGCGAAACAGCCGAAAAGCTGTCGACCATGAACAAGAAGTGGCGCGAACTGCAACAAAAGGCACGCGACAGGCAATCGGAGCTCGAAGACGCCCTTAGGGAAGCCCAGAGGTAAGGAATAACACATCAAGGGCTACGGGACTATGAGAGAGGTGGGAACCTCTCTCTTTCCCCGCAGCAACTCCTGTGTATCCAGAACCTACAGCTTGATCGCCAATAAAAAGTCAACCAGTGAACACCAAGGGTATTTGCACTTAGGGCACTCTTTGCGTTAACTTCTAGAAACCCTAGTATTTAAGTATCACGGGTCCTTTTGCATCCTAATTAAAAGAGAGGATGCCTGGGCCCCTGGATTTGGGCTCTTTCAAATTAAACGTTTTCAGCAAGGATGTCTTGTGCGTTTGCAAGACCGCACACTAACTATTGGTTTGTCAATTTTATTTTATTCCGGCGCAGTTCTGTTGTCCTACAATTTACCGTGTGCGGTCTGATTTGAAAGAGCTAGGCAAAACATTGTTTCAAAATCGCTTCACGGAGTAAAATAACTGCACTCACAGAAACTCTGCTCTGTAGCCAGGATCTGCTGTTTAACCGCTGATAAACCTAACTAGTGAAGGTTAAGTCGGCCCCATATATTAAAAGATCTTTATGATATGTGTGTTAAAACTCAATTTTGTTTGCAGCTTCAATGCCGAAATCGGCGATCTGCTCTCGTGGTTGTCCGAAGTGGACAGCGTCATTGCAGCCTCCAAACCCGTCGGTGGTCTACCCGAGACCGCCTCAGAACAACTGGAGAGATTCATGGTAAGTAACTACTTACTGATATTAAAAATATGAAGGTGTTGTGTAACGTTTTTTAAAGTAAAGTAAATATTTATTTACTGCACACTTACACAACATTTTTGTCAAAGTTACAATATTTAATATTTAACATGCACTTACAATAGGTTTAATAATGAGAAAAAACCGGCCAAGTGCGAGTTGGACTCGCGCACCGAGGGTTCGTGCTTTTTCGCAAAATAATTTCTTAAAAAAAAAGAAGCAAAATTAAGAATTGTATGCATAGCGATATAAAACATTGTTTCCACAATACTTAATATTTATTGAATTACGACTGGAATTTGTAATTATACCTTACTAAGCAGCAGAAATATCTACTTATGTACCTCATCAATTTAGGAGTAGGCGCACACCGTTGATTTTTCGTCGGCCGATAGTTTAGTCGGGCAGTTGATCAGTATGGGCATGTATGGGAGTGCGCACACTACGCCGATTCGATTTGGCCGATTCTTCATACAATTAAAATCGGGCACAACTATCGGCCAACTAAAAATCAACGGTGTGCGCCTACTCTAAACCTTATTTCGTTTTCTTGAGGTCCAACAAACGCTTATTTTTCTTTGTCTGTTTAATTTTAAATTGTACTTACTTTCTAACAGGAAATATACAACGAGATAGAAGCCAACCGGCCGAAGGTGGAGGCGGTCCTGCAACAGGGCCAGGAGTACCTCAAGCGGCAGGACAAGCCCAACCCCACCTCGCAGTTGCACCACAACCTCAAGACGCTCAAGTCCAGATGGGACAACGTCACTGCTAGGTACGTATCATCAAAAACACGGGACTAATCTCACCCCCTTTCGTAACTCCGCATCATCGAAACGGGACACGGGACTAATCTCGTTGCCGCTGCAACTCCTGTGTAGCCAGGATCAACAGCTTTACCGCCAGAAACTTAGACAGTGAAAACCAAGTTTGCCCGGGGAAAGAGAAACGATATTGCCACTTCTCGTTCATAATCAAAATTTTCACTTCCCACGCTTACCAGACGGGTTGGGAAGACTGATGCCCGTTTTCACCATCAATCCCTAATTTTAAAGTGACTCCTATGAAAGCAGAATTCCTCTTACGTGTTACCATAGGGGTCACTTAAAAATTAGGGATTGATGGTGAAAACGGGCATTAATGTTCGGATATAATTTGTCCTTTAGTTGCACAATAGCCTACCGGATTCAATCGCTGGAATATTGTTTTGAAGCCAATAACACTTGGAGTACCTAGTTATTTATGCAGATGACAGCATGTCATGCTAAACTCTGTGGCAGTGCAGTTGTAATAGGGTCTATTTTACAATAAAAACGTACAATATGATGTGTTATTGGTACATTTTAAATTACTGGTGCATATTTATTAATCTATTTGATTTTTACAGGGCTTCAGACAAGAAGATCAAGCTGGAGATCGCACTCAAAGAAGCTACGGAGTTCCACGACGCTCTCCAGGCGTTCGTGGACTGGCTGACGGGCGCCGAGAAGACTCTTACTTCTGCTAAACCCGTCTCGCGAGTCATGGAAACTCTGCTCAGTAAGTACATACCCTATTTTTGCCTTTTAAATACTTAGAAGTCACTTGTTTTCTGCAAAAAGGCTTCTAGTTGCACCACCTAACTTTAACCGTAACTATACCGGAAGTTGGCAGATTTTTAACGTTTGTCAAAGTTAAAGTAAGATGGTAAAACCCAGCCTAAAAAACGCTTTTTTATCTTTTTATTTTTAGTACCAAATAAATGATTTTTCTTTCTTTCTTTCTTTTACACGTCGTATTTTAACTGTCTCAATAAAGGAGATGCATAATAATATTATGTCAACGTGAAATTGTGAACTCCGTCAGTTTATAATATGACGCGTGAGATTGTGAACTAACAGTGGTTTAGGTTAGGTAAAGGTTAGATTGTAATCTAACTATGTCAGATTATAATCTGACTGAATTCACAATTTTACGGTGAAACATACATTAGTTGATCGCTATTTCATATCATGAGACTTTCAGTAGTCCTTATTTCACACTGATGCAACGATAGCATCTAACATTATGCAATTCATTTTCACTTTGTACTTCCCACAGCCCAAATCGAAGAGCACAAGGCCTTCCAGAAGGAAGTGGCCACGCACCGCGAGACCATGCTACATCTGGACAAGAAGGGCACCCACTTGAAATACTTCAGCCAGAAGCAAGACGTTATCCTCATCAAGAACTTGCTGGTATCGGTTCAGCACCGCTGGGAGCGTGTGGTATCTAAGGCCGCCGAGAGAACCAGGGCGCTGGACCACGGCTTCAAAGAGGCCAAGGAATTCAGCGACATGTGGTGAGTGAAGATTCTTTTTTCTATTATTTAATAACTCGTTTACTGACGTTTACATAATACTATTTAGTGTAAATATTTAACCCCTTCACTGATCACAAAAGACAATAGTAAAACAATAAGATATTTAGTACATCTGGGAAACTGTTAAGTAGTTTTGTGTCTGGTTTATACCTTTTACAAAACCACGATAATTAGCTACGGTCCTATTTTGAAATTTACTATTCTGCTAATTATTGAATAATTGGACTATCCTAGAAATAACTGCCCTGAAAATATTAAATACAAATCAAATGTTTTCGAATGAATTGCCAAAAAATAGACCATAACTTAAGAAATATTGTCTATAGGAACAACTTGATGAACTGGCTGAACGATACCGAGAAACAACTGGACGAACTCAACCAAGAGGCGACCGTCAACGACCCTGAGAAGATCAAGCAGAGGTAAGTTTTAAAAGTTCATTTATTTCACCACTAGGTGGACCGACGATCTGGTGAAGGTCGCGAGAAGCACCTGGATGCATATTAAAATATTTGTAGAAGACCTTTGTCCAGCAGTGGACGTCATCTGGCTGAAACGAATGATGTTGTGTTCAAAATTAATTGAATTACAGTCACTAGCTGGTCACATTAGAGTTCATAATTATCCTTTAGCTGTCTCTTACGACATCCAAAGAAACACTACATAGTATTGAGGTCATAGCAGACTTATCAACTTGGAAAGCGATCAACACCGTATTGCCTTTCGCGAGCTGTCATCGCCTCTCGCGCAGTCATCCGCGAGGCGAGGCGTTTACATTACAGTGCCGATAAGTGTGCGTTGCACTTAGGAGTTTCATACAAAGAATACTGACCGCCGTTACGATTCCTTACCGAGTTGATTTATGTGTGCTACGTCCTTGTAAGCCGAGCCCGCACTACAGTGATTTTATAACCCAGTAAAACGAATGCAACTGCTTTTTCCCGCGTATACGTTTCGAGCGGTCTCGCGGTTTTACCGTAGTGCGGACTCAGCCGTATTCTACTACGAGGGCGGCACTGAAAATTTCGGGAATCAAGGAAGTGAAACAACATTACTATTTAAAAATGTATTTATTGCTTTTTAAAGTATTCTCCGCGAAATTTGACACATTTTTCCATACACGAAACCAATCATTGAAGCAACCATTGCATTCGGAAGTTTGGGTCTCCAAAATGGTCGTTTTGTAGGCTTCCACAGCTTCTTCAGGTGATGAAAATCTCAGACCACGCAATTTATTCTTTAATTTAGGGAAAGTATAGAAATCATTAGGGCTTAGGTCGGGGCTGTACGGCGGATGGACTAATAATTCTATGTTTTCTTGCTCTAAAAACTCTTTTGTTCAGTGCGCGGTGTGAGAACTCGCATTGTCGTGATGGAGGATGATGCGGCGGTTGCAGTTCTCTTTACGGAGTTCAGAAACGACCTGTGGCAAACAAATGCTAGCATACTAATCTGCATTAACCGTTCTTTGTCCCCCAAGAGGAATAGTCGCAACATGGCCGGTTTTGGAGACAAACGTGGCCACCATTTTTTTTGCAACACTCCGTGAACGAACAATTTTTGTTGGCTTTAATTCATTTTCGAACACCCAAACTCGTGACTGGTTTTTTGTTTCGGGTTCGTACGCGTATATCCATGATTCGTCACCTGATACGATGTTGTATACAGCATTTGAGGATCCTGCATGTAATCTCCCGAGAGTTCTAACGTCCGGAAGTTGTAATAGTATTATAGAATAAACGTTAAAAGACTTATTTATTTAATTTTTCAATGCTTAAGTGTCCATTAGAATGAAAGGGTGCTTAATGTATTAAAAAAAATAGAAAATAATTATGATGGGTTAATGTTTTTGGGCGGTTTTTTAGGCGGTTTCTGACAATGTCCTTTAAACATCTACTATCCAATAAATAGAAAAGAGTGAACTCAATTATGACACAAAGAAATGAAGCATAAGAAATATCTGACCCGGAACATGTAAACAAAGAAGACGTCAAAAACTCAGTAGGTAACTACCTAACACAGACCTCAGGAGAAAAATGAAGATAGCCTAGCAGCAGTACAAGAACCAAGACATCTCACCAAAGGCCAGACCGCCCGTCTCATCACAGAAACGCTCAGTCCTTCCAACGATATCAAGAAAAGTAGCATAAAATTGGAAAAACAATGAAGCTAGTCTTGTAGCAGTAGAAGTAAGAAAAACCAAGCCGCCTCACCAAAAGCCAGACCGCCCATCGCATTGCATCAACGCTCAGTCCGACCACCAATATAAAGCAAGAAAAGAAGCATAAAATCGGAAGAACAATGAAGCTAGTCTTGTAGCAGTACAAGAAGTACTAAGAATAACCAAGCCGTCTCACTAAAAGCCAGATTAAGCTAAAGAAAAGAAATACAAGAAATGTTTTATATAGGCAGAAAATAAGACGATACAATTGGGAGAACAATGAAGCTAGTCCAGCAGTAGTACGATAATAAAGAATAAACAAGCCACCTCCCACACCAAAGGCTAGACCGCCCATCTCATCGCACCACGCATTTAGTCCTTCCAACGACACTAAGAAAAGAAGTAGAAGAAATAATTAATCTGGAAGATACAGAGACGACAAAAACTTAGTACCGCAGACATCAAGAGAACAACGAGGCTAGTCTTGCAGCAGTATATGAACCAAGAACAACCAAAGCCATATCATCAAAGGCCAGACCGCCCATCTCATCGCATCAACGCTCAGTCCTATCAACGATAACCCGTCTTTACCTATTTTCCTAGACCAGGCTCAGGATGCATATCTACTTGGTTGTGGTCGACCGGTTGCGGTTTAAAAGACGCAGCGGCTAGTCGGCCGTCCTCTCCCATCCCAGAGCGTGTCTTTCCTTAAAATCGTGCCCCCTGGTATACCGGTTTGACCGGGACAGGCCTCGTCCTGGCTGGGTCGGCACTATCGTATCGTATCGTATCGTATCGTAACTTATTTCTAGTACAACTAGGTACCACAGATGTAGATCATAATAGACTAGACCTGTGTGTCATCATCATCATCATCATCATCATTTCAGCCACAGGATGTCCACTGCTGAACATAGGCCTCCCCCAATGATTTCCACATCGCACGGTTGGTAGCGGCCTGCATCCAGCGCCTTCCTGCTACTTTTATCAGGTCATCAGTTCACCTTGTGGGTGTGTGTAGGCTCTATCAATTGACTTTACATATAACGAAATAAAATTACTTATAAACAACATTTGTATAACTAGTTTGGTCTTGTTTTTCAATAAAATGATAGGTGTGTATCGAAATTTTGCTTTGAGCTCGAATGGCAGCCATGTTAATTCAACCACCATTATTACGCTACAGTGAATTTCTTGCAGTTTATGTTGAATTATTTGCACGTCGCAATACGGAAATAAATATGAATAAATATTACCTAACCAATGATATATTATACCAACAAAAACTACAATCACAAACGTAAGATTTGCAATTTGCATCTATTGTTCTTTTCATAATCCATTATCAAGCTCATTCGATTTCTACCTCGAGAAAAGTTGATTTATCACTGAAATTGACGGCGTAATTATTATTTATCATTGATTTAATTATTACATTTTCCAACGATAATATATCGGCACTCGTCACGCTACTGTCCGAGGCAAATTATCCTACAACACTTCATACAAACTTTCTAATACATTTTACGTTTAATTACTTAAAATTGCTATAATACTAAAGATAAATAAACCAGTTATTTTTACTATTCGTTGCATGCACATTTGGAAACGTGTTCATGACGTGATTAAAGTTTTAAAAACAGTACGAGTAATGTTTCGTTCCTAATATTTTATTTGGTGCTCTTTTTTTAAACTTTATTTATTTGTTTACAAAATCCACAACTCCAATTGTTTAAAGTTCACTTAATTACACAATTTCTAAGCCTAGTTTCTAAACAATGACACTTTCAGCTTGCACAGACTTGTCAATTAATTTTTACGATATAGTTTAGTCGTGAAGAAAGCTGGTGTTTGTCAAGTACAGTCTACTTCAGACTTTACATTTTTGCTACAAAATAGCCCGTATTACAAAGAGATAAGACTCCGTTGAGATTAACTGATGTGTTGTCATCTGTACAAGCGAAAATATAGGAAACCGTATACTAACATTATAACAGACTATGTGATTCTAGAAAAGCAAAGATGGGACTACACAATGTATCGTAAATAATATCAGACCTAAATAAATAATATATTATCTTTATTTAAAATAAGATGCTAAACAATACTATACTTATAGAGCCAAAAATAATAAAAAAACTATCACACGTATTAAAAGAAATAAATAAATGGAATTCAAAAAGTAAAAATACCTTTATTTCTTAGATAACTTTAGCTTTATCTTCCCAAAGTACCTTTTTTTCCAAAATAGTCAAAATTTTCTCAGCAAAGACTGTGAAAATGTACCAGAGTTGAATTTCACATTTGTAAATATCCAGAGAATCTTCAATCGTTGCTACAATATAAACCCGATGACACACGTACGAGCGATTTAAAATCATAATAACTCCGCTACCAATTTGTCGAGTTAGAAATTGTCTGGTATTATTTAGCGGTGAAATGTTGGGAGATGTGATGCGGAGCGGCGCGTGCGCGTAGTTATATCGGCACGTTCCAATACTTGGCGATTGCGCGCGCGCAAGTCATGAAATACAGCGATTAGAAGAAAGAAAGCACCGTTTATTACATGACGTCACATAATACAAATTGGTAAAAACACAAAATAGTAACCTAGCCTGGCACTAAAAAGACGAAAACAATAAGTTTTTGTGGCTGTCTCTAGAACTAACGGGACTATTCCCACCTCTCGTTCCCACCACTGCAACTCCTGTGTAGCCAGGATCTACAGCTTGACCGCCACAAAAACCCAACCAATGAAGGTCAAGTTTGTCCCGGGGGAAAGTTAAACTGTCATTGGACCCGCAACGAAATTAATCAGAAGAACATAGGAGGAGTTCGAAATTAAGGTTCGACTTCCCTCCATTGCAAAGCGGATGACAGGTGACAAACAAAGGTTTAAAACCTTTAAGAAAAAGATTATGCACCACGGACAATAAATTAAATTAAGGGGGCCTATCTTATGAGCAATTAGCAACTACCTGCCAATAATATGTCTAAAGTTGCCTGAATTTCGCGGTATATCACATGTCGATCTTCTTCAATCAGCTTACGCACAGCATCAACGTTTTCTTAGGTGACTGCAGTTTTTGGACGACCTTGACGGGGATCATCACTGAGCTTGACACGTCCACGTTGAAATTCAGGAAACCAGCGATAAATTGTGGTTTTGGATGGGGCTTCATTACCAAATGCAGAAATCATCCGGTCAACACACTGTTTTTGTGTTAAACCACTTCAAAAGTCATAATAAATCATCGCTCTTGAATTTTCTCGAGTCAATTCCATTTTCTCAACGACTAAACAAGTTTGACAAGACCTTGTGATACGACCGAGAATCTTTTTTTAAATAAATAAATGGTATACGATTTTTAAAAACCTGGAGTTTGCAATTAAATAGATTTTAATATGACTGGAACAGTGGAAATATTCCATTCCCGATACTTTTAGTGCAGCCCTCGTATGTAACGTACAAACAATTTACTACTGGCTACTTTCCAAATTCAAATTATTAGACTCAATTTTCTCTCAAGAAATATACCTACTTCCAAGTAGATGGGAGATCAGACAATTTTATCAAGGGGTTACAAATTGGATAGGTAGGTAAGGCACCTCTATCTTTATCATTATTGTATAATTTCAGATTGCACAAACACCGCGAGTTCCAAAAGGCCTTGGGAGCGAAACAGCCCGTCTACGATCAAACCATGAAGGGCGGTAAGCAACTGAAGGACAAGGCGCCCAAAGCGGACGAACCCGCGCTGCGAGACATGTTAAGCGACCTCAAGACCAAGTGGACCACCGTCTGCTCTAAGGCCGTTGACAGGTTTGTACTTTTTTCTCTTGAAAAAACTGCAGTAACACTAAGTTAAAGATAAAGCACTTTTGAATATACTTGTGTACTTCTCACTAATACTTATCTACAAAAAAATACTGAATCTATTTTGAAATAATATTCTTTCAAATTTCAATTTCTTGCCGTTTCCATATCTCAAGCACTACTGTTTTGCGCTAAACCTATTATAGTATGTAAGCCTTATGCATGGCGTTTCAAGGCACTTATACACGTCCCAAATATAGCTTGCCTTATCACCACATCGGGACAATATAAATCGACTGGTGCTGAGAAGAATTGGCGGAAGAAACTCAGTCACCTTTAGGCACTAAATTCTAACACTTGTATTCACAAACGATGCTTGCTTGAAATGTGAAGATGAACGCAGAGCATTGAAGCTCTGATTGGTTCGGGTATGTCACTCTGCCACTCAAGTATTGTCTATGAATAGGTTCTTGGGACCCTGTGCGTCCACGCGCACTGTGCGGCCTCATAGTAATTTTGTGAATACGGGTGTTAGTGACAATCTTTACTTCACAAATAGCAAATATTTTTTAGAGAAAAGCTTATACGCATCTGTAATACTCTTTTATAGGCAAATAAACATATTAATTTGTATTATAACAGGCAACGCAAACTCGAGGAGGCTCTGCTATACTCGGGACAGTTCAAGGACGCCATGTCGGCTCTCCTGGACTGGCTGAAGAAGCAGCAACTCAGCTTGTCTGCGGATTCGCCTGTACACGGAGACCTGGACACGGTCATGGCTTTGATAGAACAGCACAAGGTGAGTTCCACTCTATTACCTAAGCAATAAGGTTGTAAACAGAAGCAGCAGCTCCGTCTCTTTGATGAAGACCTAGAATACGGTCATGGTTTTGATAGAACAGCACAAGGTAAGTTCCTCTCTATTACCTAAGCAATAAGGTTGTAAACAGAGAAGTTGCAGCTCCGTCTCTTTGATGAAGACCTAGAATACGGGTATGGTTTTGATAGAACAGCACAAGGTGAGTTCCTTTCTATTACCTAAGCAATAAGGTTGTAAACAGACAAGCAGCAGCTCCGTCTCTTTGATGAAGACCTAGAATACGGTCATGGTTTTGATAGAACAGCACAAGGTGAGTTCCACTCTATTACCTAAGCAATAAGGTTGTAAACAGAGAAGCAACAGCTCCGTCTCTTTTATGAAGACCTAGAATACGGTCATGGTTTTGATAGAACAGCACAAGGTGAGTTCCACTCTATTACTGAAACAGTAACCCCCTTACTAATAAAAAGTTACACAGTTGTTGATCACTGTTTTAAAATGTCATTTCCATACTAAACGTCACTTTAAAACACTGATCACCGAGCGTGTAAGTTTTATTAGTAAGGGGGTAAGGTTGTAAATAGTTTGAAGGAAATAAAGCCAACCTCAAACTGTTCGCGTTCGGATGAATGTAATTCTTAAACGCAATGGTGAACTTAAATGAATTTTTTACCAGTTTTTAGTAAACAATTAAGCTACCTGCCCAATTTTTTGCAGTTTTTTGTGATGGCTAGAAATATCCCATTCTCATTGCTTTCTGAACACCCCTCGTAAGTTGTAAAATGACTTAAGACACTAAATTGAACTCTATTCCGCTTTTCGGTTTTGATTGCAATGCAATTTGGTTGAACAGATAGGCTGGAACTGACTTGAATAATTTTCTATAATGCCTTCCGTTTCTATATAATTCTGTAATGATCTCCTTCTTACAGCAATTCGAGGAAGATCTCCACTCCCGGGAACAGCAAATGCAGTCTGTCATGAAGACTGGAAAAGATCTGGAAGCTACTGTAAGTTATACTTTAATTCCATTACTAATAAGGTTGAAAATACTTTCACCCCAAACAAAAAAATGTACCTTAACGAATTAGCAACTCGCATACTTGTACAGAACCTGACCTTTATAAAGAAGTGTGGTCCAAAACGTATTCTATATCCTTAAATATAAGGTGTTTTATCCGTCTCTACTTGGTGGCAGCGATGTATCGAACATCTGCAAATAAAAGTGTATCTTAACATGCTAACCATAAGTGTCATTTTAGGTGCCCCGCGAAGACGCAGTAAGCATTCGTCAGCAGTGTGGAGAATTGAAGCAACTGTGGGAAAGCGTCCATTCGCTTAGCGACAAGAAGGCGCAGAAATTGGAACTGGCGCTGAAGGAGGTAATATTATATTTAATTACGTTGTCGTATTCTGTTGTTCGTCAAAATCCGCAAACTTTTTCGATCATTTGTTTAGGTTAAGCTGAAATTTGCATACCCCTTTAGTTCTAGCAACAGTAGGTATAATGTGCAATATCCAATATTGTAAACTCCAAGATGGCGGATTACACATTTTTTCTTAACTGCATTTGAAAGCAATAAAGTTCATTACATTGCACTAAATTCAAGACGAAAGCTTGTTTTGAACATGTTTTTTATTGCTATTATATTCAGTTTTTAGAAATTAGGCATAGAACCGATTCTGCCGGTCTCGACGAGAACCGGTTCCAAAATTTGAAAAACCGTTTTTTTGTGACCGTTTCTATGCGCTATTAGAAGTATTTTTTCTAAATATCTAACATTATTTTCCTGTCTCTCACAACATTATATTGAAGAAAGTAAGAAAGAAAGAAAGGAAGAAAGAAAGAAAGAAAGAAAAAATGTTTATTCAGTATCATCGACATCATTTTGAGACTAAACTTGTGTCTTTTCCCAGGCGGAGCGCCTCCACCGCTCGGTCAACATGCTCCTAGAATGGCTGTCGGACGCGGAAACGCGGCTTCGCTTCGCCGGCGCGCCGCCCGACGCCGAGCACGAGGCGAGCGCGCAACTGCGCGACCACGAGCGCTTCGTGCGCGAGCTCAACGAAAAGAAGATCGACAAGGTGACCGCTCTCACTCACACACACTCACTCTCACTCTTGCTCTCACTCTCACACTCGCTCTGTCTCACTCGCTCTGTCTCACTCGCTCTCACTCTCACTCTCGCTCTCACTCCCACACTCGCTCTCACTCTCACACTCGCTCTCACTCCCACACTCGCTCTCACTCCTACACTCGCTCTCACTCCCACACTCGCTCTCACTCCCACACTCGCTCTCACTCCCACACTCGCTCTCACTCTCCCTCTCCCTCCCTCTCCCTCTCCCACTCTCTCTCACTCTCTCTCTCTCTCTCTCGCTCTCACTCTCACACTCGCTCTCTCTCACGCGCTCTCACTCTCACACTCGCTCTCACTCCCACACTCGCTCTCACTCCCACACTCGCTCTCACTCTCACAATCGCTCTGTCTCACTCGCTCTTACTCTCACACTCGCTCTCACACTCGTTCTCACTCTCACACTTGCTCTGTCTCACTCACTCGCTCTCATTTCCTGTCTCACTCGCTCTCACTCTCACACTCGCTCTCACACTCGCTCTCACTCTCACACTCGCTCTCACTCTCACACTCGATCTGTCTCACTCGCTCTCAATGTCACTCGCTACTAGAGTGTTATCGGACCACGAGCGCTTCTTTCGCGAACTCAACGAGAAGAAAATCGATAAGGTAACTCCCACTTCCACTCTCCGTCCCACTCTCAGGCCCGGTTTCAAAGCGGGACAGGAAACGGGACAGATGTGATGTGTTGCATATTAAAAATAAATAACTATTGTAACATTACACAAGATTGCTCCCATTGAGAAAACGCCTTAAAATATTGTGACAGTGTTTTGTGATTTATAAATGCATTGATCTACATGTAAATGTAAAGATTATTTTTGCCCCTGCGGAAGTACAAGGTACCCACTGAAAACCAGTGTTAGCACTTGACTCTTTGACAACATTTTTTTTTCTCTCCATTATTTTGATGTGTATTAGTTGTCAAATAAATATTTTCATTTCTTCCTTTTAAATGAATTATTAACAATAACATTGCCTTCTCTTTCTAGGACGAGACCATCACGCTCGCACAGTCGATACTAAGCAAGGCGCATCCGGACGCGGTCACGGTAATCAAGCACTGGATCACCATCATCCAAAGCCGATGGGATGAGGTGAGTCTTTTATATCTTATCTTTTGTACTTGTTTTCTTATCCACAACCAAAAAACTTTTGGTCTGCATCACATGTGATGGAAAGTGATGATCAAGATTCAGGCTGAAGGTAGAAGCTCTTCGTTCGTTCGTTCGTTCGTTTCAGCCGAAAGACGTCCACTGCTGGACAAAGGCCTCCCCCAAGGATTTCCACAAAGACCGGTCCTGCGCCGCTTGCATCCAGGTACTTCCCGCGACCTTCACCAGATCGTCGGTCCACCTAGTGGGAGGCCTGCCCACGCTACGTCTTCCAGCTCGTGGTCGCCACTCAAGAAGCTCTTATCCACAACCATAAAACGTTTGGGCTGCATCTCACCTGTAGGAAAGTGATGATCAGGCCGAAGGTGGACGCGAGCTTCACTCGGAATCCTCAACCACACAGGAACTGGCTATCTTACACAACAGAACAATACTGTTTTAAATGCTAATTTAATAGTTTATTTATAGAAATAAAGAAATGTAGGTATTACTTTAATTATTATCTGAGACGAAAATTGGATAGTTGACCCCAATAAGATAACTTAAAAAATACCGAAATTTATCTCTATTTAATCTATAGTAGAAAATAACGCCCTACGCCCGTATTCACAAACATTACTATGAGGTCTCACAGTGCACGTGGACGCATAGGGTGAGACACAAACCAATCAGAGAGCTCTATTCAACTCTGTGCGTTCGATTTGCTGCTTCACTTAAGCAAGCATCGTTTGTGAAGTGTTGCCACAAGTCCCCAACCTGATTCTTTTGAAATAGAGCCACAGACAGTAAACTGCCGGTTCTCTTCCCACGCTGTCTGGAAGAAAGCGCTTCCTAGCGATAAGACCGCCTAAATTGTACTTCAATTTATTGTTTCTATTCTGATTATCAATTTTGTATTGCACAATCAATAAAAACATTTCTACTTATCTAAAGAACTTAGATAAAAGTGTGCTACATCACATTAAACAAGCGCATTTAAAACATGGAACGTAGATAAGTATTTGCATCGCGCAAAATGTTTTCAACCTTCGTAAATCACAATATCTTTCGACAGATAAAATTTTAATCATTTTTATCAAATAATATGCACTGTGCTTCAATGTTATTTAGTATTGATTCTGTTGTGATTGATTTACGTAACAGTCGTAAAAATAAAGTTTTTGGGTGATGTGAATTATTATTACCATTAAAAATGGGCGAAGCACACAAATCGAGAAAACTCATGGTGTCCGTGTTGCCAGTCATAAGAATATTCAGTAAAGTTACACCGGGACAGGTAACTTCATAATTTAAGACCCTAATGCGCCGAGTTCGAAACTCAGTGTCGCATAAATACTGAACTGTCCTATGCATGACATTGACAGTGGGGCGCCACCGTCAATACCGGATCGCTGGTTCCGATTTTTGCCATATTGGAAACCATATAGTTGAACGATGATAGCGCCCCCCTGTCATTGAGTTTGGTGGGACAGTTCAGCGTGGGTCATCTATAAGCTGTTTACATGATGATGTCGCTGCTGTCATCATTGATGTCACGAGCAATGTGTTCTGTTTTTGGGCATATTGCTGCGACACCGGTCCCGCCCCTTTGTCACATCTCCCTTTAGTTTCTGTGATCTGTGATATGAACCATGTAATATCCTTTAGGTGTGGCAATGGGCGATGCAACGCGGAGGCAAGTTGGAGGCGCATATGCAGAGCCTTCGAGACTTGGATCTGGTGCTGGAGGAGCTCCTCCAATGGCTCATGGGCCTGGAGAACACCCTGCTATGTAAGTACCCGTCATCAGCAGGCAATTGGGTATTTGACATCATTCACCAATCATTCTAAAGAACAACTTTTTTAAGACACATTCTGGTCTTAAAAACTCGAATAACAAATGCTTTTTAATTGATAAAAAGTTAGTCAATTGATAAATGAATGATTTATGATCAATTGAGTTGGTAAAATAGAGACGTCATCTCGTTATGACAGTTTTAAAAATACGCCAATTGATTGTTTGTATCAAATACCCTGTTAAACTAGGATATTAAGAATTAGAGTAAAAACATCTTTAATCAACATCTATTTTAAACCTTGAAAAGTTAACTGCCTCAAATGGGGTTTGAACCCGGCCTATATTTACCCTTACTAATGAAAGAAAGAAAGAAAGAAAGAAAAAATATTTATTTGGTACTAAATGATACACATTGACATTAGAAAATCAAAAATTTATCTTACCTTACAGCGTTGGAATCAGAGCCTCTACCGGAGTCGATAGAGCTGTTGGAAGGACTTATTGAGGACCACAAAGAACTGATGGAACACACGCAGAAGAGGCAAAACGAAGTGGACCGAGTCTGCAAGGCTTACCAGGTAAAATGCAAATACAAATGTTTGTTTAATTCGTTCGTTCGTTTCAGCCAAATGACGTCCACTGCTGGACAAAAGCCTCTAGGATTTCCACACTACAATGAACGATCCTGCGCCGCCCGCATCCAGGCACCTCCCGCGACCTTCATCAGATCGTCAGTCCACCTAGTAGAAGGCCTCTGACGTCTTCTGTTGTCATTTTCCAAAAACTAATATCTCTCTTGCACTTCGCTCTGTCTCGCTCACCGGATCGACCTAGTGTATAGTGCAGCAGGGCCAAGTTTTGATTATTGCAAGCGCCGTATTCTTTCCTTTTTGTTTTACGATAACAAGCCTTATTGTCACCAGGTTAAGAGTCAAAGCCAGGGCCGGGAATCGACCCCGCGAAAGGTGTCCGCCAAGACCGCCACTAAAGGAGCTCCTGGGTATGTAAAAACTCGAAAATCCGAATACCAAACTTTATTTTTCCTCGCCTTTAAGTTAAATCTGTCTTGTTTATGTGTTTGCTTTAAAACCATTGATATAAGTTTGATATCAACGACTTGGCAACCTTATTTTTATACAAGTGAGATAAAAAAGCGAATTTTCCAGTCCTAGGAATGGTCATCTTTCTCGCTCTCTCTTTATGGTTGAAAAAGATATAAATCTATTGTCTTTTAGATAATCTAAACACTCCTATAGTCTGGTCTGCGAGCACGTAGAATTTTGTCCAATGACCCCAAGCTACCCATCCTTATCGCTTGCGCGTAATTATATGATACACGATAAGAATGGGTAGCTTGGGGTCATTGGACAAAATTCTACGTGCTCACAGACCGGGCTTTAGTACATATTTATTACTAAATAAAAATATCATTCATTTGTCATTACACAGCGCCACCTAGTCTCAGTTGTACACTTAAATCAATGGTCCACAATCATTTGTTCTGTCATTCATTTTTACGTTCCGTCACTCATTGTGTTTGTCTGTCTCCCTCACTCGTGTGGTGTCGCTGTGACGTCATTGCATGGTGTGATTTAGCCGGGGTTCCCAACACGACTTGAGTAGAGAGAGATCGGTGTCACCAGACTATTACGGCACTAGGCGGTACAGGTGTGTTATGATTTCGTTTTTTTATAATTTTCCCTTGTTTTTTGTTCTTTTTTGTGGGTATATTAAATTAGAAAAACAAATTCATTAATTTTTCAATTTTTATATTTTTTAACGATCTTTTTTCTTTATTAAAAATTACTTTTGTTTTTAAAGATATACCCGATTTTAAATGTCATTCTTCTAAATCATGTTTTAACATTCATTTGCTTTTCAATGTTAATGTGACTTTTTCGCCGTCAGATGATGTTTTAACGCTTATTTATAAATAGTTGTTATTAATCTATATTGCCTTCTCACTTGCACAATATCGGATAATTTATGAGAGGGTTATAAATAATGGAGTCATTCTTTAACTTCTCGTGTATTAATCTAATCAAAGCACATCCCATTGTCTATTCCGATTTCAGAACGTATCATAAAAAGTAATTAAAAAAATACTGACAAAATTATACGATATTTTTATTTCCTGTCAAAGTTTGATTCTGGCATTATAAAAAAAGAAAAAATAACTTGCTTTTTTATTAAGGTTATTATACTTTTGTTAAAACATCATTTGACGGCGCCTCACGTGACGTAGCTTCGTCTCGCTCTAACACGTGTAAATGTTGCTTTCTGTCTCGTCCACGCGCCACGCTTCACGGCAGGTCGCGGATTCACAGTCGCAGTAGACGTGGAAGGTTTGACGACATGTTTTATAAAGATTGTGTATATAAATGTAGTAGTTTTGTAGTTTTGCTAGTCGGTTGCAAGATTCTTATTTCATTACCTACTAGGAAGGAAGAATTCTTTTATTATGTGTTACCATAGTGGTCATTTAAAAATTAGGGATTGATGATGAAAATGAGCGTAAGTCACTTTTGTCAGCCTCTTCTTTTATTAAAAAAAAACATTTGAAACGAATTTGGGTGAGAACCTTCCTACTTCCTCAGCATAATTTAGACTAAAAATACATAAAATTATTGGTACATGCTTAAAAAAAAACCAATATCTTAAAAAGAGAAATAATCGAGTCTTGCAACTGATTTTTGTGTGTAGTTTTGTGTAGATAGTGTGTGCTTCAAAAATATGTATAAAAAGCATGATTTTCTATACTTTTACAATCAATATTAAATCTTGTTTATCCACGAAATAACAATATCCTAATGGTTAACAAGGATATTAGTAGTTTTTTTAGTTATTTTTTTAATTATTTCTAGTGGATAGTTAAGATATCATTTTTCGCTGTTGGAGTTAACTGTGGATAAATACGATATTAGTTTTTTCGTTAGTCGTTAGAATCTATTCAATTTTCTATTATAAATCTATTTCGTACTGTATAATTTAAATAAACCTAGCTAGATTAAATTCTATTTTTCTTTCTTTGTTTTGAATGCAGTCATTTTGGATTCTATTATCATCATAGGTAAATATTACTGGAATAAAATTGCACTAACTTAAGCTAGAATTATTTACCTACCTAGCTGACTATCCACATCAGCACAAGTTTTGATAAAGTAAATTCATCTCTACTGCGATGTTCATTAAGTTTAAATTTGCATGCGGTATCATGGAACAATTGGCACAGTTGACAACAACATTTTTTCTAAAGATTACTTGTAATATTTATTACCGCTAACTTAAATGATAATGAAAACAAATAGAAAGATAAGGTTTTAAATATTTAAAATGTAGCCAACTGTACTTAAATGATTCATATAACCATGCAATTGTTATGAAATAAAAGCTCTCATTGAATGCTTGCATGTTTGAAATCATGATGGCATTATGCATATGCATGCTCATGGTGGTTTGGGGTTGTCAGACACAATAATCAAAAGCCCATTATCATTCGACCAAAATACAAAACCATCAATACTATCTAAATGTCTTTCTAACATATTAAAACATTAACCAACGGGTAAAATTCTCTCACAAACATACCACTAAGTCTAAAAGTAAATTAAACCTACTTTTTGCAAAAAAACAATCAGTACTAACAGTGAACCTATCACAGTAGAATTCACCGAACTTTTCACTAAAACTAAATTAAACCTATAACAACGACTAATTCCTAATTACACCCGTGTACTTATCAGCATAACTTAGTAAACTTTCCACTACATATAACTAAAATAAAACCTATCAAACCAACTAATTTTTAATTACACACGTCGTGTACCTACCCATAAGCATAACTTAGCGAACTTTTCACTAAAACTAAATTAATAAACCTATCGCAATGACTAATTTCTATGTATTTACACCCGTGTACTTAGCAAACTTTCTACCATAACTAAAATTAAACCTATCACAATAACTAATTCCTAATTACACCCATCCCAGACTTTATTATAATAACAATTGAACATACATGTCGGTGTGCGTGTAATTACACTTCACAAACACTAAAACTAAAAACAAATTAACTAACCGGTGTCGGTGTGTGTTAGTTGTGACTTGTGACTTATGATGAGTGTGCTTTAGTCGCGTGAGTCCGGGACGGGAGACGCCGGACAGGAATCTACCGCACTACGGGCCCCGGTTCCCGCCTAAGGGAAGGTAAGATACCATAGACTATGTTCGGGATATACGGAATTGTTGGAGCGAAATGCCATTATTATTTGTTAAATAAATTAATTGAGAATATCAGAAAGATAGGAAGATATAGAAATCTCAGAAACTACAAGTGCTAGGAGTCTCAAATTTTGCATGGGGGTTCCTTTTTGAACGTAGGTACTTACTTAGTGTTGAGATAATTGACCAATTTTAGTTATTTTTGGAAGTCACCTTAATAGACATTAGTTATATTTTAAAATGGACTTTAATATTTTTTCAATGCGTCTTAGTTTAGACCCATCTACCTCCGTTATCAGTGCTAATTTTGGGACCTGTACATCAATGGCTTTTCACCACAACCCTAAATTCCTATGTTATTCCGAACATACACTTATTCAAAATGGACTACCTACGCTTAAATCCTGTGTTTTGTAAATGTCTTAAATCATCATTTTAAAAACAAGGGAGCTTAAAAGCTTGGTGTGATCGCAAACGCATCGTTTTTCAACTGATGCCCAATTTTTGTGCGTGACAATCCTAATTTTAAGTATTTTTCTTGCATCATTTTGCTAGATTGAGTTATTGATGAAGCATGAAAGTATTTTAGAATTAGCCAAGTTAAATTATAAATAGTAACTTAGATATTTTTATATAATACGTATTTAGTTAAAAAATAGATGTATTATTTATTTTGATGGTAAATTGAATTTATGAACTGTTTTTTTTCGTCGTCAAAACAATTGTTTTTTTTAACACAAAAATATACCTAAGTATAAATTTTAATATAGCACTATCCACTTGTGTGCGCACTTTACACAGATGACGGCATATCAAGTTAAATACTGTCTTAAGTAATTGTGATAAGAGTTATATTCAACAAAAATTGAGTCTGAGGTACGGTCAGGTGTAGTCTAAAATATGTTTTTTTTTACTGCAGATTCGATAGAATCGACTGTAATAATAACATACATATTTGTTGCAAAATAACAACTATCATAACTACTTAAGAGTCTTACCCTCTTGCCCCTTTGTATATTAATAAAAATTACATGCTCGTTGAACAGTGTTATAAAGTACGTACCCACTTAGTATGGAAATGTCACTTTAAAACAGTGTTCAACAAGTGTTTAACTTTTTTATTAGAAAGGGGGTAAGTATGCTTAATACGCTGTCAACTGTTATAAGCAAACCTACTTAAACCTCTAACAAAACCGTCCGCCCTACAGCAAAGGCGCCGAACCGGAGTTCAGGTCGCCACGCGTCCGTCAACTGTGGGACAAATGGAGGACCGTCTGGCTCCTGGCCTGGGAACGCCAGAGACGGCTCCACGCTCGCCTGGCGCACCTCAAGGAACTCCAGAGGGTGTCCAACTTCAGCTGGGACGACTGGAGGAAGCGGTTCCTCAAGTTCATGAACCACAAGAAGTCCAGGCTGACTGATCTGTTCAGGAAGATGGATAAGGACAACAACGGCCTGATACCGAGGAACGAGTTTATTGACGGCATTATTAACACCAGTGAGTATTTTAATTATCTTCATCATTTCGGCCACGTAATGGTTTCTAGATTGGCCTGCAGCGCCTTCCTGGAACCTTTATGAGGTTCTAACCAGAAATATTTAAGTTACGTCCTTACACTAGTGTCAGATGTAGCCATTATATGCGATATAATGACAACCAAATTGTGAGCAAACGTACCTACCCACAGGGTCACACACGAACCAATCACAGAGCTCTGTTCAACGCTGTGCGATCGATGTGCTTTTGTGAATAGGACGGATGTTAGCTGTCTCACAAAACGGCACAAACTTTGGCTCAAAATACAAATGTCAGATGTCAGCTTGACACTGGCTGCATGTGCAAACCGCACGGTGCCTTGAAGAAAAATCTCAACTCGAGGTCACTATGGGCCGTAATGGCGCAAGTACATCACTATGCGGAAAATTATCCAAGTCGAAGCGCCCAGCCCGCACCCCGAAGTATAGGCGACACACGGGTGGGGGAAGGAGAAAGTAAACCGAGATGGTGTTCACACTATTACGTCATGGCCAATTTCCAGCGTAGTGTACTTGCGCCATAATATTCTAGACCTGGCCAGAAACAAACTATGAAGAAGAAAACTCACCCCAAACATTTCCACAGAGTTCGACACCTCCCGACTAGAGATGGGCGCCGTGGCTGACCTGTTTGACAGGAACGGAGGCGGCCTCATTGACTGGGAGGAGTTCATAGCGGCGCTCCGACCTGACTGGGTAAGTAGAATGGAATAGAATAACTTTATTTTAGCCCAGGGTGCCAAGGCCAACCCATTACGCCATCACTGCCTCCTTAATCTGTCTGGTTAAAGTGGCGTGGGGAGTGTAGGTCAAAACAATTTTTTATTAGGCATAAAAAAACTATCAAAACTGTTACCTACTCTGTGTAGAAGCAGCGAAAAATATACGGGAAAATTACCTTCTTTGTTGTAGAAGTAATTATGTACCTAGTCTAATTTTTCATCAGTCAAATTAAAAATAAATTATAAAAATGTTATTTAATTAAGTAGATGTTTTAACTACTGCCTACTTACTGTTTTTTATCAATTCCCATGGTGTCCTACATTACATGGCATCACGTTATCTGAACCATTGCAATTTTCTCCACAATAATCTAATCTGACGATTTATCACACACTTGTAACCAATATTATGTTTTTCTTCTTTGCAACACTCATTTTTCGCGCGGACACAGGCGGTACGTATTTTTTGTCTGTAGTATTGTCGAAGTATTTTTAATGAAATATCAATACCAACCGTGGTATCTAGCCACGTTAAAATTAATATAAAAAGATCGATTTGGTTGGTTGAACTTTTGCTGGAACCTTAGCACAATTAGTATGAAGATTAGTTCGTAGGCCCCTTACTAAAGATACACGCGCGTTAAACACTTGTTAAAAGTGAAGTTTACTATGTAAATGTCATTTAAACTACTGTTGAACGAGTGTGTAACTTTTTATTAGTGTATTTCAACTCACCCTGTATTTACCAGGTGGAACGCCGAGGCCCGCCGACCGACGCCGATAAGATCCACGATGAGGTGAAGCGTCTGGTCATGCTGTGTACCTGCAGACAGAAGTTCAGGGTCTTCCAGGTCGGCGAGGGGAAGTACCGGGTAAGTACACACCATAGACAATCTTTTTTTCTGGCGAAATGGCCAGATTGGGACTGGGAGCTCGAAAATTCTTTTTTTTTTCAAAATGGACTGGGAGCTGAAAAGTTAAAAACTCAAGTGTTCTTACTGGAAAGTAGAAAACCGTAGAAAACTTACCCACTTACCTAATGGCAGTCCTTTTTGATCTATTACTATTGTATTCTGTTTTGAAATACAATGTATTGTGCGTGCAAATAATGTAAAAGTGTTTTTTAATTCAATTCTGGCTAAGTAAATAAATAATCGATTATAAAATTTCAATAGCTTTAACTACGTATTTTAAGTATTTGACCCGACGATTTAAGCGCGTCATGTCAAAACGCAAAATGTCTATATTCACAAAACTACTGTAGTTACAATAGACCCAGGGTACAACTACCAGTCCCGTGGAATAGACCAAGGGTACAGCTACCACTTCCGTGGAATAGACCCACGGTACAGCTACCAGTCCCTTGTAATAGACCAAGGATACAGCTGCCAGTCCCATTGAAAGGGTACAGCTACCAGCCCCGTAGTATAGATCCAGGGTACAGCTACCAGTCTCGTGACCTCATCTCGTTCCCAACAGTTCGGTGACTCCCAAAAGCTGCGACTGGTCAGGATCCTTCGCTCCACCGTCATGGTGCGAGTCGGAGGCGGTTGGGTGGCGCTCGACGAGTTCCTCGTCAAGAACGACCCGTGCCGAGGTATGTCACTTGTCTATAACTATATCTACACACAAAGAAACATACACACTCGGTTTGTTCGTATTGATACGAGGCAAGCGCGCGGATTGTGAGCAGAATAATTCTGTTGAAATAATTTGATTATTGTAATTCACTTCTTTTAGTTATTGCAGTAAGTGCCACTTGTGGTCTAAACTGAATAAATATTTTTGATTTTGATCGATTTAATCTAGTATTTGTTACATGGCCATGGGTGATAATAAGAACGTAAAGAGATCCGTAACCGTACCCTGTACCCAAAAGGTACAGAAGTAACTATAGTGCAATATTCTTCTTTGTTTTTTCTATGATTAAATTATTGTCTTTAACTTTTTACTTCTGCTGGTATCACACTTTTACCACAAAAATCTTAGAAGCGAAACGAACGAACGACTCCGTGTTCAGACAGATCCCCATCAACGTAGTAGACTTGACAATTTCACTATGGGATTTTTATCTGTGGCAGAAGCCCCGATAAGAACCACCACAGTGTCTCACACAAAAGTCCTATGCCCCGCGCACGCCTCGTAACAATGTGAATATACCTTTATTGAACTGTGCCAAGATGTCCCTTTTTAAAAATTGTGATGGATGATAGGTTTTAAGTATAATTGAAAAAAAGTTTAATGAAAATAATACATAACAAGATCACGTAATATGTATAAAAAATTATACCAACCGAATTGAGAACCTCCTCCTTTTGTTAAAGTCGGTTAAAAATAGGCTGTGTAAAGCCTGATCGATCATGCGATGCCCATGATCCTACTAGAATCATTCTATGGCTAATAATATGATTTATGTGATAGATGAGTAGGTACTTAGGTTTTGTTATAATGTAAATCTACCAGAAATTAATACGGTTAGCGAAAAAAGCACAAAATACCCACCTACAGTCAAAAAGCTATATTATTCTTTCATTTACTTACTTATTCCTTGTTAGTTATTTATAATACGTAGGTACCTGTCTCACAAGAAGACATCTTGGCACACTTTTCCTACACAAAAATCCATGATTTACTAAATATCTCAAATCAGAATCAAGAAACAAAAGACGAGGAGAATAAATTATGTATTATGTAAACAAAACAAAACTGAGTTAAAAAATATATGGGCTTGTTTTTCTGTGAAACGAGTATCTAGTGTACTACAAATATTTACGTTTTTTAACACATTCTCCTCGTCAAAATATTATAACTTGGTATAAAAATATCATTCACAACAATCCTGATCAATTTTGCAACTTACCTATTTTAAGTTAATTTTGCCAATTCTTATTATTGTGAATGTTATTTTTATAACAATGATTCCAAGTTTTCAGAGCTTTGCATTCCTAAAAATAAAGTTTAATGTTTTACTAATAATTAATTCAAGTCAAGCTTTAAATACTTGGGATCATGTCAAAAATGTATTTTTTTGACTTTCAGGCATTTGTTCGTATTTTTTAACAAATGCCGGGAGTCCCTTTAATTTTAAGATATTTATGGTGATATTCAAAGTGTCAATCAAAAACATATCGGGAAACAAAATAATTAACTGTGTGTTAACATTTAACAAGGGAACTAATTCCTATTTAATTAATAGTAATATGTGACGTCCCTTAACTTTGTAACTAAAAACATAAAATATTTATAAAGGATATTATAACATGTGTGATGAAATAACAAAATAACAATATTAAAATTAATCAATTTATTCATTAATCAGCTAATCGCGTACAAATTTAATATGGCTACAAGTTACAAAACTACAATTAGTAAAATAGAACTTAGCATTAAATAGACGCACCTAAAAGTTGTGCTGGCAATACAATAGGCTAAAAATACTGAAATAAATGCAATTTTAAAAACTATCACAGAAAATTTTAAGTAGGTAAGTCAAAATCGAGGCAGTCTAAAATTATACAAAAAACAATTTGATGGAAGCACAGATCAACTGGAGAGCAAGGTCGCGAAACCAGTTATGAGTATTAGTCAGACAGGTATTTTAATAATTTCCTTTACCTCCCACCATACCATCTGGAAATTATAAAGTTGTTGAACTCATGGCACAAGTTTTGTAAATATTTCTACACCAATTTGGCTCATTCTTTAAGAATACACAGGAAAAACTATTATCTATGGTTATTTACTTTCTACATTAGGCTTAAATAGATAAGATTCTAACATGGATACACTTCCATACTAATATTTGAATACAAAGTTTGTTCGCTTACATTAATACTGTCATGTTTTCCTTACACATTCTAAGCAATAAATTATTGTAAATAAGTTAATCGCAAAAGGTTACATTTATTGACTGATTACAGTGATAAAGGCAAAAAAGCTTAAAAATTAATCCACAGTAGTTTTCCTAATGAAAGATGTCAACGAAGATATCTCACTGCTAGCTCTTTCACCAGATGTATGGCTAAATTCAATTTCTTCGCTCAAATTCTGTGTGTCAGCAGTATTCTCAGCCACTGGCCAGCGTTTGTGACTTGGTGCATACAGCACAAGCAAAGCAAAAATGTAAATATTCCACATTCCATATACTCCAGTGAAAAATGCTGAGGTGTATTCCAGTTCAATATTCTCGTCCCATTTCCATTGGCCTTCAGCAACTTGTCCCAGTATGAAGCCAATAACAGTCAGGGCAGCGCATAACAGAGTAGCCAGCATCAGGAATTGAAAACGGTAGATTATTCCCTCGTAATGTAAACGCCTCACAGAAGACATTGTAGGCAGTGACTGACGTTTCTGAGATATATTAATGAAAACCTGCCAAATCATGTAACACAAGAACAGAAAGTAGATCCCGGTGGATATACCAGCCAATATTATAAATGTCAAAGCCAAATTAGTGCCAATATCAGTGACCCAGATGGAATAAAACGGGTTTCGTAGTTGCACACCTCTCTCGCACATGTCAAATATGAAAAGAGAAATGCAACCCATTGCAACTGCACTCAAATGACGCCAGTACTGCTTCAATGAACTCTGCGCTGAGGCGTCTTGGATCAGCATGTGCTCTCCAGCAAAAACAAGCCAAAACGAAAACAGTGTAGCGTAGAATATGCCCTGTCTTATATCTCCCAGTAACAACATAAATGGCAAATCAAAATGCAATGTGAAATATTCTAAAGGCATGTTGAGAAGACACAATGATATTCCTAAACTCAGAAGCATCTTTTCCAACAAAACAGGTTTGCGTTCCAACATATGTATGCGCCGCCAGAACCAAACTAGAATGGCTATGATACATGGGAAGAAAACCGTTTTCAATGATAGCCAAACTTTAGTAAAACCTCCATTTTGGTTGATCACAGTCAGCCACACGTCTTGAATGTGGCCAATGTGTGCATTCATGTCAGGCGTATCAACTGGGAGCCTGATGTTCAAAAGATAGAAGTCATGGAACAGTGAGCCTAATTCAAACAGTGGAATTGCAGAACAGTTGTACAAATATTCTTCAGCTTTGTTATCAATGTCGCAGTCCATGTGTCGCTTTTCGACCGACTGAGTGTACAGTTTCCACCCGTCGTCCGGGTCGCCTTTGTTACGATAGGCAAGACGCGCGTCAATCGTCACGACGCTTCGCGGCTGCACTTCCATCTGAGAATGGTACCTAATATCCACTTGAAGAACACCAATGAGGTTTTGCTGCCACCTCGAATAATCCAGGATCTTGTTTTCACGCGGAACCGGCATTTGGAACGCGAAAACTATGTCCGTCTCGGACAGATCTTGGTGCAAATCCCCAAGGTCAACCGTTTTGCAAGCGCCCTTGCCACGGTTGTAGAACCACTTCGTCGTATCGTTTTTCATAGTCGCCGTGTCCTTGCATACAGTGCCGAGGATATTTTGAGCGTTCGCAGGCAAGGGTGCGACCAATCCGCCGATGAGAAAACATGTTAGTTGACACAGTAGCAAAAATGTAACTAGTATGGCGAGTTTACGCCCACTCAAGTTTTCAATTATTGTTCCAGTCATTTTGTAGCCGCATTAACTTTAAGTTTACATTTGAAATAAATTAGCACGCACAAAATCGGTAAAATTACGAGTCCATTGTTCTTTGTTTTTCAGACGCGCTCCGATTTGACATGCGCAGTAAACTGTGTTGCCAGCGTAAAAATAACGTTATTTTAACGTCGCGTTAATAATATTCGTTATTAGATTTTAGATGCAAACATTTTATAAACTTTTAAATAATAAACTATAACTACAAAATATCGCGAATCGCGAATCAATTCATAAACATTCCTTATTCATAACTTAGTGTATTAAATTACCGTATTTGTCAAGAATGCTAGTATCGTATAGCTAAAGTAAGCATCGACTTTGTCCACATTGAATGATTATGGCTACTAATTTTTACTAATTCGTATTCGCTTTGCCCATTCCAAATTCCTGTTGTCCCTTACAACAAATCATATGACTTTTGGTTTTTTTTATTTTTATTGCGTTGAATCCCTATACAATCCCCTTTATAAAAGTAGTATCATTAGTGCTACCGCTGCCTGATCCGAGCAAGCCGGAGCAGCATGAAGCTTGTTGCCCGCTCGGTAAGACTTTTAATCCTGATTTTGGAACCAACTTTTTTTATTATGCAACATACTTTTTTCACATTATTACAAAAGCCTTATAATCACAAAATGTATTCCAAATTTGGTTCCAATTCAGGACTCAATTAGATGGTGTGGCTTAATTTTTGTTTTCTGCAATGTTAAAAATAATTTGCTCTTTTATCTATTCGTTTTAGACGTTTGGTGCTTTATAGTAGTTAGTAGCTTCACTAAATTCAACCATCAAATGTGTAAAATGCTTTTGTAGTTTCGTTTATTACTAAATAGAATTAACTGGCAACTTGCCTGCGGTATATAAATATTAAATACGTTATAAAATAAGTTGCTTTAGATATAGCATGTTGATTATTTAAAATTTATTTGCATTTATTGTACCTACATACATATTTTATAACGTTTATTTTTATTTGGTAGATATTTACTAATACTTAAATATAGAGCAAGTGCAAGATATTATTGATTATTTCATAACTTCAGTGTAAATATTCAAATCATTATCCAAGGTTACATTAATTACAAATACGTGATTAATAGGATCCATGAATTAGAAATACTTAAAAAAAAAGTGATCTAATCGTTATTACAATAACTTTATTACAATATTACTACTTTATACAAACAATTATTAACTACTCATGAATTTTTTTTTTGTTGATAATGTTGAAAGTCTTATCTTGCTCTTGATTTATATTGAATGCCATTTAGTAATTTGGTGAGAGTTAAACTAATGATATTTTATAATTCCTACTCCTAACTGCACACAATACAAAACATCCGACTTTTATTTTTATGATGCGTTTGTTTGTTTTATGTTTGACATGTTCTGATTTTGTTTGTTGTTTTTTTTTTCTTTTCCTCACTACCACTGCACGCTGTCCCTTTTATTTAACACTTTGGTGTTATTTTCCATCCGTCCTGTTACCATACGGTTTTCTTTTCTCCCTCCCTATTCCATTCCGTTTGTGGACCGCAAATTGGACGCCGCATGCAGCCAAGGGACGCACCAACATCGAACTGCGAGAACAATTCATTCTGGCCGATGGAGTGTCACAGAGTATGGCAGCGTTCAGACCGCGTACGCCCCGCTCTAATACAAACACGCCTCCGTCTACTGGACCAATCACAAAGGTAAGGAGCTACAAGCTGCCAAAGTGTTTACTTAATACGTTTCTCTCTACAGGTTTTAGAACTTACTTATAATTTCGCACAGTACCACATAAAGCGCACAGTAGTTGTTGGAGGGAGCAATCGGTTTGGGAACCATTTTTTTTCCGCTTTTTCTCTTGCATCCTGCACATGGATCTGGTTATCCATATGCAAGGTGCTTGTCGTGAGTACAGCATGTGTTGAGCTCGTAGCATTTGGTCGTATTGCATTAGTGTGTTCAAGCTATGCATTGATGCACAGGCTCGTTGTAGTGCATTGGTGTTGTTTGTTAGTGTACCTACTCATTGGATCCACTGCATTGGAGAGGTGGCACGTCAGCGCATTGGAATTTTGTTGGTAAAGTATTTCGTTTATCCTTCCCGCTAGAATCCCATCATACCCGCATTTCGCAAAACCGCGCGGCCGTCGACTAAACGTGTGGACTAATCGTAAACCGTCAGTAACAGTGTAAAGCGTACGCGTTCCGGCAAAAAGATTGGCACTATGAAGGCAAAAACCTTTTTTGTAACGGTGTACCTTCCCCTTAATGAGTTCCCTGGTTTTGTATTGGTACGTTTAGCCGAGGAGTTTATGGCGCAGCTGAAGCCTATATTTGAGGCTCTAAGGCAACGAGAAGAGCTCCCGTGCTCGTACCCTCTCCACGTCGGTTCGACACATGGCACTAAGCAGGCGTTCATATATGGCCACTCAAGATCTCAAGGTTCGACGACGCCGGGGGCCCATCATTATACGCATCACCACGGATACCAGCCGTCTCCTGGATATCACTGGGTAACTGCTAATTAGGCTATGAGTGATAGTGTCGTGGTTGATTGCACCATTTGATCTGAGTCAGTTGTCAGCAGCTCATTTTGTTTGTCCATTGTGTTAGTCCATTGTCAATGTTTGAGTAAATTAGCTATCGAAATGTCAAGTCCATAATATTTTAGTATAGCATGCTTTATTTATACATTATGAAATAATAATATTATTATACATACAGTTTGACGAGTGCTATGTTTTGTTTGATCATGATAAGGTTATGTCTCTTAGTTTCTTTAACCAAAAAATATACGTGCAGGTGAGAGAACGCACAGCTCGGTCGGTGCCGATGTCCGCTGGAGGAGCTCCGGGACGAGCATCCAGGTCGTCCCTCAGCGCTGGCACACCAGACTCTCTCAGCGACAACGAAGCGGCTAGCGGACTTGGTGCTAGATATAGGAAACCAAGTGTACCTCGGTAAGATGCATAATAATAAAAGAACAAGCTTAAAAGTGGGTAAAATAAAATAAAGTTACTTAATTACTTGTTTTGTTTAGGTCGACTCTCACGCCAGGTGGATCGAGACCCGGATCACGACCGGGTTCAAGAGCAGGTTCAAAACCGCCGTCAAGGCATGGATCAAACCTCTCATTAGATAGTACAGGTAAGGACTTATACTTATCTGTATAATTTTAACCCCCAGAAAATATAGAAACGGCATAATTTAGTGTATAAATGAATACACTTATAACATCAATTATTTTTGATAAATAGATGATGTCTCTACACCGTCGCGTATACCTATGAGAAAGGTGACGAATACCCGAGCGTCTGTAGCTCGCGCGGCTGCGACGGCAAGCAAGCTCGGAGTGGCCACGCCCAACGGCGGGTCACGGCCAAGAACACCGACAGGCTTCTTGACACCAGCCAGTGGAAGGTAAATTAACGTTTCTTTAACTTGACAAAATATACAACTGGTGACAGAAAATAGGTTGCGGATATAAAATCAGCATCTATTCTCTAAGCTTTATTATCAATTATTGACAATATTAACTCAGTTCACCAAGCTATTATTAATGGCAACTGGGATCAAACTTGGAAAAAAGTTGTGAAACTAAAATTATTGAAATAACAGTTGATGATCAATTAGATAAGTTTAATGCTGAAGAAATCTATGAGCTATGTTTTGTAATAATGATGTATCTAAAACTGGTCCACTGATGCACACGGACAGGTATCCTAGCGGCGCGATGTACCGCACATCCAGTATACCGACACTGTCCCCGGTGCCGGCGTTAGTGAGGTACACAAGCTGACAGTTTGAACATGAGTGGTTTGCCATGCCCTTTACACAACTGGAACTTCTTTAGAACCATAACTGAAAAACTTGTTCACTTAAAAACTTATACATTTTGTTCCTGATTTGACAATAATTTAAGCACTGTTACTGGAATTGACGATCTAAAAAAGTTCAAGCTGTGTTTGTCTAAGAATAAAAAAATGGGAAAAGCACGTCACGTCGCTTCTTCGTTGGGGAATATAGGGTTTACGTAGTGACGTCTGGGTACGCATTTCAGTCTCGCACCGTTTGTGGATACACGTTTGTCAGTATGCATTACGACGTCAACCATGAGGTGATGGAAAACTTATCTTGACAGGGTACTGAGGATATAGATCGACAGCATGTCAAATGTAGTTAGGACTAATACATAGCTTATCAAGTGTGAATTTACTAACATTATACAAGAAAAAATATTTTACAACTAAATATATTATTTTTTTCTCCTTCCCCCGCATGCATCGGTTACGAACGGATACATACAATAGCTCGACACATTCCCAGCCATCTTCTGTGGCATCTGAACATCCCAAGTCATTATCACACACCCATCCTGCATTCCAAACTCAAGGTTCCACAAAGATTCCTGTATACATTGGACATTCCCAGAGAACTCCTTCCGTCGAGAGACGTATGAAAAAGTCCCGGAAGTCCCATTCCAGGGAAACTTCCCAAGAACCAAGTCCCACGTCCTTAGATCCTTCAAGGAAATCCGAGCAAAGAAGTCCAGAAGACGACTCTTCTCTGTTCAGCATATCGGGAATGACGAGCGACAATGAATATGAGAGTAATATAAGCGAGTCAAGCGGTGAAGCGTCTAAGCCGACCCAGCGAGATGCCAAAGGGTACAAGCTTGTAGAATGCTAGCTTCGATTATTTTGATTGATTCTCCTTGAATTTTTGAATTTGTTTGACTGTTATAGTTACTACTCATCCACTCTTAGAATACAGTTACATCAGTCATCAAATTCATTCCCTCCCAACATCATCTTGTTTGTTATCATCACTGTTATAAACTCTTTATTCATTGTTAAATCATCATCACATGCAAGCATTGTCGAGACGGCTATAAAGTAAATAATATACATTTATAATGCATTCAATGCATCATGTTAAATTGCGTAACGCTTCGGCAGAGTGTAAAAATTTGAATCGGCTTATAATGCTTAAAACTAACATAATATTTTGATCGCGCATTTCACCCACCATGCGAACTTAAAAAGTACATGCATCATTGCTTGTAAAATACTAATATTTAAGTAACTTTAATACATTTTATAAGTCAAATTTATTAATTTTAATTACTGAAATCATTCTTGTTTTCTATATTTTTGTAATATTTACATTATATAAATCTTATTAAGAACTGTATATTATGCTTCTATTCTTCGTTTCTGTTTCTATTGTTATGTTAATGCACATGCACATAAATCTTTATTCTTGCACATTTCCTAAAAGCACTCTAAATAATACCTAGATATTTAGTAAGTAATTATTTTATATTTTGAGAACCTTACTACTTATAGTTTTCTCAATGTTGATCATTTTTTGGGACTGTTAATCTTGTGTCAGTTTCTATGTCGAACTTAGAGATTGTCACGAGAAATATCCCGCGATCAATTTGGTTACCATTTTGAGAAACTAGATACGATTAGTTATTCTACAATTAGTCACCTAGCATGTGCAGTAACATTACAATCTAACATACTTCTTCTATCTGTTTACTAATTTGTGTCTGTTGTCTTGTGTGCTCGCTAACTCATCGTAGAAGTGGGTCGTTTGCCTCCACCGAGGGACAAACGCCCGGCAGGAGTCGGATTCCCGTTCTTAAGGACCACCATACTAACAGTAACACGAATAGGTAATAATACTAAACTTCGTAGTGTTCGCTTCTTTTTAGTTGTCATATTTTCTTCTGCATTGTTCAGTTTAAGTAGTTATTTGATGTGCATCTTTTGTTTTGTAGACTGCAAATTTTAATAGTTTTTGTGCGTTACGTTTATTTATCGTTGGCTTTATTTAGTTTACTTGTACTGTTGTTTTAAAATGAATACATTAAGCAGTTGAGTGGGATTTGGAGTTGTTTTGTTTTGTAATGCTTGATGCATGATCGAGTACAGTGTAGAAGGGTTATTAATATGTTATTGTGTAACAGGCAAAGGACGCCATCAGGCAGCACGACGCCAGTACGGTCTGGTCAGCAGACGGCAGTGTCGCGGCTGCTGCGGAAACCATCCGATGCGTCTGACAACGGAGCGCCCTCGACGCCCGGCTCACGACGCGGCACTCCCTCAACTACACGAACCACGGAGAAACGCGAACCATTCCGACTATAAACGAATATAATTAATGCCGTCACAGATCCGAAATATGACAAAAATCTAACATTTCGATCTGAGATATCAATTAATCATGACTATGTAATGCGAGTCGTCTTGATACCTTTGAGTTCTTATAAATACTTAATCAAAATTTCTTTTGCTTTGTAATCTTAATAATCTTTGTAAATGCCTACCCACCTTTTACTGAATTATTCAAAGTTTTCCATCAATGCGGCTCGCATAAACATAGAGGCAAGTGACCATATTATAATATATTACTAACCTGAATTAACCAATTCGCGAATTAAGCCAAGCTTAAAAAAAACGAATTTGCGAATGTGGCTTTTTAGTTAAGGGAAACAATAGATGGTAGTAGTAAAACTTAAAGTCTGCACTTGTTGCCTTGTATACTTATTTTTTTCTATGATCCGTGCAATTTTGTGCACGTTGGACTTATTTTATTTATTTTGTGCTGTCAGTATTTCCCCTTTACGTTCAGAACCATGGGTGGATTAAGGATCCAGTGTGTCAATGTGAATGTTATTCATTTTTCTTATTTATTGTCAACGTTGCCATAATTGTTAGCGTATGTTTTGTATGATAATATACGTATTATGTCTCTCTACAGAGACAAATGAAAAGTGTGATTTTGTAATCTTTTTTGTAATTATTTTGCCTTTAGGGACCATTTTGTTATCGAACTATTTGAAAGTAGGTGATTGCGTGTCACCGCTTTTCGCTATCCGAAGCCAATGTGTAATAACGCCAGATTGTGCATTTGGTAGGAAGGCAGAAAGCTGTTACTCGGAATCTAAATAAGGTGATAATAGAATTATTTAAATGTTTTCTTTCGTAATGCACAATCATGTCTCTATCATTATCGATTCTTCGGTGTTCAATATTATTTTTTTGGAATGGTATATTGATAGTTATCATCCACTCTGTACATTTATGTATGTGATTTATTTATATGTTGATAATTGCACAATATCTTTGTTATGATGATGGTGATACAAATGTTTTGGGTGGTGTTTGGAGTTTCATGTCTGCGACTGTCGCCAGAGTTGCTAGATGTGTTCGCCTTTCACCAGATAATATCTGCTCAGTTTAAATTCTACATACGACGTTGGTTTTAGTAATTTAACAAAGTACACTTTGTCGCAAAAGACATTTACTTAATTTTTCTAGGAATACTTTTGATATGAAATAAAATGCTTTAAAATGTAACCTTCGTATAATAATGTTAACCAACACTCACACTTATTTGTTAATTTTTATTATAAATCTGACTCTTAAGCTTATTATTAGAGATATAAAACTATTAATCTGGTCATTTTTATTTAAATCATTGTTGTATTTGTTATATTATATAAAATCGAGGCAGATTTAATAAAAGCTTGCAATTTTTGTATAAAATAATGATTCTGAGACCTACAGTTTTAAAATCTCATTATTGATTTCAAAATATAAAATAAACAATAACAAATAATTTCTTGTTTCATTATAATGCAATATTTCCCATCCTTTTATAGGTATTGCTTATGGTTTCTACATAATTTTGCATATTATTATTACGTTAGGCAACTGGTATTCTTTCTGCTTAGTCTGAATAAAACATTGAAACATTTCCGATTGAAACTCTCTTTCAGACTGATTAATTTTATTTATTTTCTACCTCAGCTTTAATTATTTACAATTAATAGTCTTAGATTTTCAGATATAAAATAAAATTATTGTTTTTTTTTAAATAAGCCGAAACATTCAAATTGAAACGAAAACAATCTAGAAAAATCATCATTATTAACCATAGTTATTAACAATATACATAGTATTGAATGAAAAGCACATCAAACTATACATTTTCGTTGCAAAATAAATCCAACTTAAAATAACGTTATTTCTGTAAAATAACGCGATGGTCGCATTATTTTTATAACATGGCAACTGGTAAAACGTCAAATAATTTCTGACAACCTGTCAAATCCTTATCTGTACTGTCAAACGAGATTGCTTTTTTTTTCTAGCTGCAGACGCTTTGTTCCGAAACGTGCTCCGAAGTATTTACTTTACTCTTTGGTGCTCTGTCTGTCTGTGTGTCGATGAAACTACACCGACATACACCTACATTTAACAATAATGTTACGGCGCGCGTTTTGAAATATTTTTATTGTATGTTTCATTATTTTCGATCACTATAGCCTCTGTTGCTAAATTCTTTCATCTACATTGATAAAAATAATAATTGGTATTTATTTACACAGACACACGAAGCTATACTGCAGGAAAACGGGATCAATATCCTCGTGTGCAATGCAACTACACAAAACAAGATTCGAGATGGCAATGGGGGGGGGCTACTTCATACATTGGACGAAAACGTATTTTCAGCTCTGCCCGTCTCATTCACTTCAATCAATGGAAATTGGCAAGAGGACAGCTATTTTAGTTAGATACATAAAGTTAATATTCCTTCGGAATAGATATTACAAGTCTTGTAGCTTGTAGACCGCCATAAAAGTGCAGAAGTGAAGTCACCGGTCACGGGCACGGACTCACGTTGTCGTGCTCACGTTTTCGCGCTCACGTTGATCTCGCAATCGGCCACCGGAAAAATCAATTTTGACTAATTTCGGAACGCAACGCACAAAAAGTGTGTGTAATTGTTTTGTTGTTCAAAATTTATTAATTTACCTTCTAATTAAAAAAGGGAGGTTTAAAAAGCTATAAAAACCGTTAAAAATAATTAAAAATAGGCTGATAAATTGAAGTTTTGTGGATTATTTGAAAAGCGTTCACAATGGTTGGATACTCAATGAATGGTCCGGCCAGGGATCGCGTTATAAAACTTATGGAAGATAAGGATCGAATAGAGACTGAGATTCGAGAACAGTACCTCTAGTAGGAAAAACTTTCGAGTTCGTTTCGTTGCGTATTCAAAGTGTCATCGAAAAATTTTGTATGAAAAATTAAACAGCGCCCCCTATATTATAGCCGCCCTAGGGGGCGCTGTTTAATTTTTCATACAAAATTTTTCGATGACACTTTGAATACGCAAACGAAACGAACTCGAAAGTTTTTCCTACTAGAGGTACTGACGGCGGTCCTAGCAAGCAATAATGTGGGTATGTCGGATCCTTTAGTGGACGCAGACGGCTTCCCCAGAGCGGACATAGACGTCTACAAAGTCCGACACGCAAGACATCGGATCATCTGTAAGCATTTTTTAAAACTTTTAAATTATTTTATTGCTGATCACAATTCAACAGCGTATCCATATGCTTTCCTCAATTTTGGATTATTAATCAAAATAATAATTTTATTTATTTTTACCAGACTGCACAAGGAGGGTTATTGATTGAACAATATTTTACTTGTTCAAAAACTTTATGTAATGCGTATTTTTCTAATTTTATCATTCTTTAGTGTATATCAATTTCAATTAATTAATTTATTATTTCATTACTTGATTTATTTAGAAGAATTTGCTAGATTTTTGTTACTATTAAGAATAGAGGGTAAATCAATTTTAGGTCAATTAACTTTTGCAATAGTTACTTTTGTTCCGTCCAATATCAGCAATTATTTGGGGCAACTAATGGTTAATAATAAATAATATATCTAAAAACTTTCAGGCTTGCAAAATGACCACAAATCCATAATGAGGAGAATTGAGCAAGGTTTAGCGGAAGTGCATTCCGACTATGTCGGTCCCAACGGAGAAGGTCCATCGGTGGTCGCTCCATCATCGAGCGCTCCGTATGCTAATGGTCACTCCAACGGGCACAGCAATGGCTATGCCAACGGTCATGGCAACGGCCACAGGAATGGCGATAATAATTTGGATGACGCTTGCTTCGCGGTCGTGGGTGAAGTACAAGACGGTTCACCTGCTTATGTAGCGGTAAGTTTTGTTGTTTATTTAATAGTTTATTCATTCACAATGTCAATATTGTTAAAGTGAATTCAATAAGCACAAATTAATGTTCGTATCACAAGTTTAAAGAATCTACCTACTTAATTTGATATTAAATAATGTGGGTAGTTTTGAGAATTTATTTCTTTAAAACTTAATGCACATAACAGTCGAACTTAATGCCATTCAGCATTCTCCTCCAGTTAACCTTAGGACCAAACAGAGGATTTTCATTCCCCATCTATGTGTTATTTTGTTGCTGAAATAGGAGGGTACGACTTCGATGGTACCTATGAGTGTAGATTTCCAAGTGACAAACAAATAACACTAATATTTTTTCAGGGTCTCCGTGAACACGATGAGATACTGCAATTCGGTTCGATCAACAGTGACAACTATGCTGACATACTCCAAGTATCCCACCTGGTCACCCATTCCGTGGGACAGAATATACACGTGCAGATCCGGCGTGGACAGCAGATACTAGACATAGATCTTGTCCCGAGACAGTGGTCCAGGCCAGGACTGCTCGGCTGCCATATACGCAGGCGTAACACTTAAGCGCTGGAAGGTTGTCAACTTTTATTGTAAGGGATTTAATTTAATTTTAAATAACAGACTCGATTGTATAATTGTGTCCACACGTTGGTTATATTAGCATCAAGATATTGTAGCAATTTTGTGATTCATCTCAATATTGAATTGAAATATTGATTTGAGTCTAATGCGTGTTGTGCACTTTTTTACTCAGCAATCAAAAATTTTTAAACTTCTTAGCTAATCTCAATCCAAAGAGTGGACGCAGAATTCAAGTATCTCTAAACTAACAATATCTTTATCTTCAATGATATATGCCTACGAAACTTTATAGCGAACATTTTCAATATTACAGTAGTTACAGTTAATTAGAGCTTCATTCATAATAAATTACCGTTTAAATTAGTTAAATATTTCTAAGGAATTACAACAAGTTCGTGACTAATTAAGTAGTTCTCTTTCCGTTTAATAATAAAGGAAAGAGAGAGACTGAAGTTTAGCCCAGTGTACTGGTATGTACTCACAAAAGCACTTGACGTGCTGACTGTACTAATTAAGGTATTGTTAACTGTTTTATTAATTACAAACTAATACTACTTTAGTGGGGAAAAGTGTACTCAAATTTTTTAATCGTAAGTACCTTTTGGTGTTAGTGATAATGCTGTAATAAAATAATAAATATTAAATCATATTACTAAACTTCTAATTGGATAGTTGGCACCATTCATTTATAATTTCAAGGCACATTTTTTCTAAAATAACACAATTTCAACTTTGAAACCCAATCATGAATTATTTAGTACCTATCTTTGAAGTAACGAAAAAGAGTCTTTCTTCGTCTTTGCATACATAATCTATGGTAGAATCGCGTTTATGTAGTTAATTAAAATGCGCCAATAGATTGGTGTCAGCTACCCTATTGTTTAATTCAGTATCTATAAACTATTAAAAGTATCACAGGGCTTGTTTTGCTACCGTCTACCTTTATAAATTAAAGAAATTGAGTTAAACACTAAGGTCTTAATTTTTCTTAGTATTACATCTCAATTTATTATTTGGAATGAAACAACTTTGCCATTTGTAGCAAAACTCGTTTATTAAGTTATTTTTATTCATATTTTAAACTTTAACTACAAAATTACAATGTATTTTGTATGTAATTAAATTACTAGTTATAAATTACTAAAATTACAGTCTCGCGACTATAAAATTTGAAAACTTGGGAGTAGATAGAATATTTTATTATAACTTATTTCTATTCTAACCTAATGTTTTATACTTATCCTAATTAATAATTATATTTTAAATAATATACCTAACTGTAACTTACCTACACACTAATACAATACATAATATGCCACAATTTTTATATTTTTTCTTTTACTTTATAAGGTGTGGGTTAGCTAAAACATAATACAGCATTCACCTATCAGTCACATTCACAGTGCACAGTGGTCGGAATTTTAATATCATTAGTATTTTATCATTGAAATGATCAATGTTATTTAGTCATTCTTTACATTTCAACAGTAATTGATAAACATTTAAACTATTTTCTTATAACTAAGTAAGCTGCCGTGTTTAAGAAATTCGACCGATACAGCAATTTAAACAACGCGTTTAGGGGTTCGATACCCACCCTCTGTTGTCTTTACTCCTCTCAGGTAATAATTTAAGTTTTAACCAACACATCGTTTTGCGCAGGCAATTAATCGAGTATCTTTGTGTAGGCAAACTTGAAGCCGAGGAGATATAATACGTAGGTATTCAGCTATCCAGTCAATTATGATCAGGAAGTTTACGATTAACGGTTAAGGTAATTATCTTATTGGCCGACTTAAGATCCGAGGAACGCTGGTTCGAACACCGCTGCCGCTGGACTATTGTTGTGAACCCACTCGTAACACAAGCAATTTTCTTCCGCTTTAGTATACGCTAATTTTTGGTAAGTCTTTAATGGTCTTTGATGTTTGATAGGTCTAGATATATGGCGAAAGAAGGCCAGAATAGACTGCTGGTTTCAGTCTCAATATCAGTGGCGGCGTAGCATGGGTTGGCACCCGGGGCGATCCCCCCCGTCCCCCCCGTCATAAGGCCTATGGCACCCCCTGGTACCCCCCAGGATTTTGGGGTTACCTACTGATTCGAAGATTGGAAGACAATGGTCCCCCCCCCCTTCGTATCATGACATAGACCGCAGATTTTGCCATGCAGATGTGCCAGTGAGTACTAATCTGCGCGTCTTGTCACCCCCTAATGCTTGGCACCCGGGGCGGACCGCCCCCACCGCCCCCCCCCTTACGCCGCTACTGCTCAATATTAATGACTCTGTTTGATGGTCCTAATACTTCGCGGGGCTATGCTATTATTTTATGGTACGGCACGGTTTTTCTGTCGTAGGCGTCAATTTTCTGTCTCAACGCTGCAACTTGTATTGCAGCCAGAATGGACAATTGGTATCAGTTTTTTTAATATTGACTTTGTTTGATGGTCCTATAGTCCGGTCGCCGAGCACGTAGGATTTCGAATCTCGGCCAACGGGCTTTAGTAGGTACTCGTCGGTGGGCCTGCCTAACCTGAACTCTTGTATAGGTAGGATGACCCTGACAGATGTTTCTGTCGGGAAGGTTAGCTGTGTCTTAGCCTGCTTCTCCTGTTTTGTTCTTCCGACGATTCACTCTTGGTTCCGTCCTGTCCATCCTTGTCAGTTTACATCTTGATAATAATTATGTACATTTTACGTCAAAAAGTTGCGTAGACGCATTTTAGTGAACTCTGACATTATCTAACCGAACACAAAACATTAAGGAAGGAGCGAGGAATTCCAAAGGAAATTTTGTTTTAACTATTCTGTATTTTTGCTATTCGCTTTGCATAAGTTTTCTTACATTTTAACTAAAATACAATCAAAATAAATAAAAACAAAAACAAAACAACTATCATAAACTTAATTACTACATAAAAAATAAGAACTAAATAATAAATAAAAAAATAGATAAAAATAAATTAAAACTGCATCTTTTGCGTAGGCAATCCTGTATCTCCAAGTGTATCATTGCTACGTGTAATATCCATGATACTGTGCCTTGTCATTAGGACGTGTCTTTCAGACACATTCAAGAATTGAATTGAAGTTTGAAACCACCATTCGGGATACGTCAATAGCCCACCAAATGTTAAACCAGTCTCACTGTGGTTCCCTATCACTATCGCGATCAGCCCCATGGTACTTCAGCAAACTGAGCTGCTGTGATAGAAGTTCACCATAAACCTTGAGCCCACCAAGATTAACGAATCTCACTGTTGTCGCTGTGGTCCCTATAACTAACGCGATCCGCCCCGTGGTTTTGGTAGTAGAACCCACCATAGTATCAACAAGCTTTTCCCTTTGTCTCCTGAGACTGGTCTGTCTACTCCTCCGGTATTCCATGGTTCTAAGCAGTTTCTCTTGAAATCTCCTTTCAACTATCGATGGATGCAATCATTGCCTGCACTTTTCGAGGAACTCTTGTAGAACCCACCATAGTTCAGAGGGTAGAGGGCATCGACAAGCTTTTCCCTTTGTCTCCTGAGACTGTTCCGTCTACTTCTCCTGTGTTCCGTGCTTCCGAGAGGCAAGTCTGCCGCGACAGACTTATGGCAGGCAACAAATCATCTCCAAAGATAGAGGGCATCGAGGAACCTCATCCCTGTCTCCGAGGGTAGAAGGCATGGAGGAACCTCATCCCTGTCTCCTGAGACTGGACTGTCTACTCCTCTTGTATTCCATGGCCCCAAGCAGTTTCTCTTGAAATCCCCTTTCAAATATCGATGGATGCAATCATTGCCTGCACTGTTCGAGAAACCCTTCTTCGATTTTTATTTAGAAACATTCCTGTTCAGAGAGTTCTCTTAATAAAACAAACTGCTCAACTATTACTTAAAGCTAAAATATCAAATAGTAGTTAAAAAATAATAAATAGCAGTAAAACCTACGGTGTCTCTGAGGGTAGAGGGCATCGACAAACTCATCCCTATGTCTATTCCTCTTGTATTCCATGGTTCTAAGCAGATTCTCTTGAAATGCCCTTTCAAATATCCATGGATGCAATCAATGCTTGCACTGTTCGACGAATTCTTCTTCGATTTTTTAGAAGCATTCCTGTTCAGAGGGTTCTCTTCAGTACTTTGGTTTGGTTTTCTAAACCAGCACAGTTTTGGTCCCTATCACTATCGCGATCCGCTCCATGGTGATTCAGTATACCGAGCAGCTGTGAATCTAATAGCTCACCATAAAAATTGAGCCCACCACGATTAACGAATCTCACTGTTGTCACTGGGGTCCCTATCACTATTGCAATAAGCCACATGGTATTTCAGCAAACTGAGCTGCCGTGATAGTCTAATAGCTCACCATAAACCTTGAGCCCACCAAGATTAACGAATCTCACTGTTGTCGCTGTGGTCCCTATAACTAACGCGATCCGCCCCGTGGTTTTGGTAGTAGAACCCACCATAGTCATCAACAAGCTTTTCCCTTTGTCTCCTGAGACTGGTCTGTCTACTCCTCCGGTATTCCATGGTTCTAAGCAGTTTCTCTTGAAATCTCCTTTCAACTATCAATGGATGCAATCATTGCCTGCACTTTTCGAGGAACTCTTGTAGAACCCACCATAGTTCAGAGGGTAGACGGCATCGACAAGCTTTTCCCTTTGTCTCCTGAGACTGTTCCGTCTACTTCTCCTGTGTTCCGTGCTTCCGAGAGGCAAGTCTGCCGCGACAGACTTATGGCAGGCAACAAATCCTCTCCGAAGATAGAGGGCATCGAGGAACCTCATCCCTGTCTCCGAGGGTAGAAGGTGTCGAGGGAATTTATCCCTATGACTCCTGAGACTGGTCGTCTACTCCTCTTGTATTCCATGGCCCCAAGCAGTTTCTCTTGAAATCCCCTTTCAAATATCGATGGATGCAATCATTGCCTGCACTGTTCGAGAAACCCTTCTTCGATTTTTATTTAGAAACATTCCTGTTCAGAGAGTTCTCTTAATAAAACAAACTGCTCAACTATTACTTAAAGCTAAAATATCAAATAGTAGTTAAAAAATAATAAATAGCAGTAAAACCTACGGTGTCTCTGAGGGTAGAGGGCATCGACAAACTCATCCCTATGTCTATTCCTCTTGTATTCCATGGTTCTAAGCAGTTTCTCTTGAAATCTCCTTTCAAATATCCATGGATGCAATCAATGCTTGCACTGTTCGACGAATTCTTCTTCGATTTTTTAGAAGCATTCCTGTTCAGAGGGTTCTCTTCAGTACTTTGGTTTGGTTTTCTAAACCAGCACAGTTTTGGTCCCTATAACTATCGCGATCCGCTCCATGGTGATTCAGTATACCGAGCAGCTGTGAATCTAATAGCTCACCATAAAAATTGAGCCCACCACGATTAACGAATCTCACTGTTGTCACTGGGGTCCCTATCACTATTGCAATAAGCCACATGGTATTTCAGCAAACTGAGCTGCCGTGATAGTCTAATAGCTCACCATAAAATGAGCCCACCAAGTTTAACCAGTCCCACTGTGGTCCCCTATCACTAACGCGATCCGCCCCATGGTTTTTCAGCAAACTGGGCTGCTGTGAATCTAATAGCTCACCATAAACCTTGAGCCCACCAAGATTAACGAATCTCACTGTTGTCGCTGTGGTCCCTATAACTAACGCGATCCGCCCCGTGGTTTTGGTAGTAGAACCCACCATAGTCATCAACAAGCTTTGCCCTTTGTCTCCTGAGACTGGTCTGTCTACTCCTCCGGTATTCCATGGTTCTAAGCAGTTTCTCTTGAAATCCCCTTTCAAATATCGATGGGTGCAATCAATGCTTGCACTGTTCGACGAATTCTTCTTCGATTTTTTTAGAAGCATTCCTTTTCAGTGGGTACTCTTCAGTACTTTGGTTCGGTTTTCTTTCTCTAGTCCAGTCCCTATTACTAACGCAAGCAGCCT